CAGTATGTGTGTATGGGGGCAGTGTGTGTGTGGGGGGGCTGGCAGTGTGTGTGTATGGGGAGCAGTTTACCTCTTTCATATTAAGTGCACCCATACCCATACTTATTATATATACTTTTGTTCAGGAGAAATAGAGCGTTCATTACACATCATATATTTGTATATAACATGTAATTTAATAAAATCTAAACAAGTGTGATAACTTAAGAACATTTGTTATTTTCCAAGTTCTGCATAACATTTTAACTCTGAATGTTATAATACTGTAATACTGTTAGCTTTTATTGTAATAAAACACACATATTGTATGCTGTGATGTCTCACGAGTAGAACAATGCCCCCCATATGCAGGTTTTATGGGATTTTGGAAAGTTACTGGGTCAAATACTCTGGCATTTCTGCTGCGCTGCTATGAATTATTATAATATATTTATATTATTGTATGTATATATGTATATATAGTATATATATATGAATTATATCATTTATTTTATATATATATATACATACATGAAAATACACTTAGAATAACAGTATATATAAATATATATATATATTTTATATATATTTATATGTATATATATATATATATATATATATATATAATACATTTTTTTAAACTAATTTATTTATTTTATAATATATCAATATAAATTAAACAAAAATAGAAAAATTAGGGGAGGTTTATGTTGGGTATGCTTTTATATATTCGGGGCCTGGAGTTGTTCCTTTTCTGTTTCCTTGTTGTTGCATTTTTCCAAAAAGGAACTATTTAGGTGCTGCACTTACTTTTAACCGGAAAAACTAGACTCCATTCTTGGTGATTGAGCTGCCATTGGACTGTAATCACTATAACTTTTGTTTTTTTCTATATTGGGGACCTGTCTGACAACCCAGGCAGTCCCCCCTGCAGACAATACAGCCGACCCAAGTCCTGTGATTGCGGGGTCACTGTATTTACATCACTCAAATCAGCTGGATTGACTGCAGAGGGACTGCCTAGACAGGTCCTCCAAGCGTGAACCGGACCCTGCAAAAAAAGGCAGGGCAGAGGGAGGGCTAGATCATTAGATCGCAAACAAAGTAGAAATAATAGGAAATAGGACAAAATAGGTTATATATGTGAGCATTTTCATTTTAAGTGTGTGAGTGGGGACGTGACCAGGGCCAGACCATTCTGTTCTTTAGGTGACTTAATAATAACAATTTATGCAAAATGTAATTTAGAACAAGAACTATGTATCTTATTTACCCAGGCTGATTTGTAAACACATTTTTGTAGTTTAAAGACATATTACTATGAGTATTACTGCTCTGGATTTCTGTTATACACTCAGGCACACCAACAATATCGAGAACCTAGCAATTTGCACATCAGGATAGGAATGAGGGACAGAGGGAGTTTGGCCCAAAATAGGGACTCTCCCTCCTAAATAGGGATTCTCCCTCCTAAATAGGGATACTTGGTAGGTATTTTCTGCTGTGTGAAACTCATTTAGAAATCCGTGTGTAAATAAGTAATGAGTAATATTGTTCTTGTTGCATAAATTATTAGTAAGTCACTTAAAATTACTCAGAACAGCCCCGCCACTGGCCACGCCTCACCCACACCCCTAAAATTAAAGTGTCCCTCTTGTCCATTTGAAATGGAAGGTCTGCAGAAAGCCTTACTAGAAGTATAGATGCAACTTAGTGTAAAAGAGTTTGACCTTGCCTCACCTGGGAACTTGCTCTATGTGTTTAGAGAAAGCTCTGTGAAGATGCCTCTACCTTCCCAATAACAACGAGCATTTGCAATATGTCTCCCTCAAATTCTAATGGACAACCACTGGTTAGATTACTTCTTTTAGTCATTTCCATGTTGCTGTACTGTGAAAGGATCATTTCTAATTCCTGGGAAAACCTAAACACTTTGGTTTAATACAAGGATTGGGACTGCGTATGAAAGAGGACAGGAATTAATGGATAGGAGACCTCCTTACAACATATTGTATACATATCTGATATCTTGTACCTCATGTCATTACACAGGTTTCTAGGTTTTGTAGTTCAGATGTTGGCTTTCTGCTTTAGGAAGTTGAAAACTGAAATACAACTCCCAAAAAACCTTGTTGTCCCTACGAAGTGCCACAGTGTTCTTAAAAGTCAAGTAAGCATGGGAGATGTGAAGCGCAAAACATGGGAGGCAAGAATAATGGATGGGCTCTCTGCTTTGATTCATGACACGACAAAATATTGTAGCAAAATTATAACACCATCCCAGGACTCCTTGCCAACCGAAGGAATCGTGAGGTGGCAGGTGACATCTCTCAGGTACTCTGGGGAGACCCTTCACCTTCGAGATTTCCCAATCTCAGTCTTCTCAAAGGTTAGCCCGAGTCTTGGGCACGCATAAACCCATAGCAGGACAATATCTTGCATGGCCTACCTATAATTTCTAATGTTTCTATAAACGATTACCCCAACGAGGCCTGATAGTAACCTTCCAGCACCAACATTTGGTAACATACCCACAAACTATACTGAGTAAAATATTTATAGGCCTGAATTTGGGAGATTGTTTTACTGTTTTGTCGACCTGTTATTTTGTGTTCTGTTTCTTTATGTCCTGATGTACTGTACTACAAATGTGACAAATCCGACACAGTCAGCGGTCACATGTATCTCTACGTTCATATCGTGGCTTTTCTTGTTGTTTACATATCTAATCTGCATGGTTACAAAACTATAAATAAAGATTTGTTTTTCAAAAAGTAAAATGTGCATTATTAATTGGCTAAGCTACTTCTTGGTTTGGCAAAAGCTCACTTTACAGATTGCAAAGCCTGGGAATCAAATAAAAATAATTAAAATGTGAGTATCTTTTTAAACTTTGCATTAAGCCATTTTCGTTGCTAAGGAAAGGATTTTTTTTACTGTAAGAGCAGCGGCGGAATGGAGAAAATATTTAGCTGGGCATTTTTCAATCATTGCAGCCCAGATGGGCCAAAGGGAGGTGTTTTGTCCTCACCAATGACAAACATTCCCCCCTCCCCAAAGTGAGTAGCCCATGTGCAGAGCTCCGCTGAGGAGCTGGAGAGCAGGGGAGATCATAAGATCTCCCCTGGTCATTGCAGCAAACCAGGCATTTGCCTCATTTGCACAATGGCCAGTCCAGGCCTCCATATAAACAATACAGATGTGGAATTCTGTAAGAGGTAGTCTTATAAAATTCTGTAAATATTTTTTTTGGGGGGGAGGGGTAAAACAGAATATTCCAGGTAATCATTCCCATGTATGTGAACAGGTTGTTGATTTACGTAGAAATCTAATTACCATTATGGAGTATGAATATAAATGTTTTTTCCCCCTTTTTGTGGTATAATTGTTGAATTGATTGTTTTTCCTTTCTTTTAGATCAACAGCATAAATAGATGTGATTTTAAAAGGTTGAATGTGATGGACTGTGTATCTAGGTAACTGTGATTTATTTTTTGAATGTAAAATATATATATATATATATATATATATATGTATATATATATATTTATATATACATTTTTTTTAATGCATTGTCAATATAGTGCTTATATAGGCACAATACAGCCTAGAGCCCTTTACGTTTTTTCAAGTGACATGTTTGTCAGTACATTGTATATCCTGGCTGTTTTACATGGTTAATATAAAGATACTTGTCATCATTGTTTAGATCATGTCAGAGAACACAGAAAATATGTCAGGGTCATTTGTGGTTTTTCCATATTTAACCCTTTCATTGACCGAGAACAGCATAGGCTTCCAGTCAATCTCACCAAATCATTCTCATTTAAGGGGTTAATACAACAACCAATAGAAGCAGTACACAGTTGTTAACCAGACAAAAGCAGCTCTCTAAAAAGAATCGAGCATAGGCAACAATGACAGATAAATAAGAATCACTTAATTAGACATGTAGCATTTTTCAAGGCTGCTCGCTAAGTTTACCAGTAATTTTTATTTCTTTCATCGGTTGCATAATAATTATAATCTGCATTTTTATGGCACTTTCTATTCAGACAGGATCATGAGCTGCTGTAGTGTATAGCGGTACTTGTGGTATACAAATCACCTAATGAATTTTTCTCCAAGCTGGTAAAGAACATACTATATAGCGTTACTGGGGGTTTATATAACCACCAATTGTATGTACTGGTAAGTATGTAATGCATATAAACATGCACGTTTATACAAAGCTGAAATATTTGTGAGACATTACCAAGCATATTCAGATTTTTTTCCATTTTATTACATGAATAAGGTTAACAATGAGCAATGATAAAGTTAAAGGAACACTCCAAGTACCATAACCACTACACTGCCTTTTAGAACAACTTGACCATACCTTCCAAAATTAGGAGGTCTGCAACTGGAACAGGGGACGGTCACTAACTGGGTGTCACTAGTGACGCAACTTGTTGTCAGTGATGCAGGACACCAGGGAAGTAAAGTGAGCTGGCAAGACAGGACATTGGGTCTGTTAGTAGACTTGATTTGACCTCTTACCTGGGGCCCATGGGGTGTTGTTCCCTTCCTCCACTACCTCAGCTAGAGAGACATAAGCTCCTGCTAGGACCTTCTGTTAGCTCATTGGCTGAGAACACCAGCAAATCACTCTCTGCTAGACAAAAACTTCCCGCTCTCTGGCTGAGGTAGTGGAGGCATGGAGCGGCAGGGGGCTCCCAGTGCCAGGACTGCCACCACAACCACTTACACATCTGTAGGGCTCCCAGTACCAGGATTGCCACCACAGCCAATTACACATCTATAAGACCGCCAGTGCCCAGACTGCTATTACAACCACTTATACATCTATAGGGCTCCCAGTGCCAGGATTGTAACCACAACCACTTACACATCTATAGGGTTACCAGTGCCCAGACTCCCACCACAACCACTTACTAGACATGTGCAATTAATTTCTTGCAATTTGGACATTTGGGTGCTTACGAATTTCCGAAGTGCCAATGTTCCGAATTACCGAAGTTTCGAATTACCGAAGTTCGGAATTGGCGAAGTTCCAAATTGCCTTAGTTCCGAATTGCCGAAGTTCGGTAGTTCGGAAGTGCCAAACCGAACTGAATGCAATTGGTCCGAATTGCCGAAGCAGACTAATTTTTTTACTTACCTGAGTAAGTACAGTTGCTATTTGTGTCTTCCTTTGACATTGCTTTCCTGGCAGTATAGTATCCCTTTAACTCAAGTGATAGGTGTTTTTTACATTTTATTCAATGGTGCAATTTATTCAAGGAGTAATGAAAGTTGCATTACTCCTTGAATAAATAATCATAAATACAAATTCTTCAATACGTATCGTTATCATTGTACCGTTTTAGACTGCAATAGTAAAATTGGAAAACCAGAGTATTCACTAAACTCTAAATTGCAGCAAATAAAAAAATAAAAAAATGATGGTGAAATATATTTAACTGTGACTAGAGCTGAGTTGAAGTATTTTACCAGTTCAGACATTTTGTGCTACTTGGATTTTAATTCACTACAGTTCGGAGTGTAATGAATAACCATATCTGCTTCCCTGTGAGGTTTCATACTTCTTTCTTAAAAATGACCAGCAATTCAGGTTTTAGTAAATTAGTATTATGATGCAGTTTCCATCACGTTATACATTGAGTATTTGGTATATTTGGCTTTGAAGTTACATTGTAGCAGCCATTGCACCACAGTGACATCAGTCAATAGAAGAAACTCATCAGGAGGTGCTGCTACAATTCAATTTCCACCTCAGAATGGAAGTCGTTTCTGCCTCTAGAGGTATTAGATGGCATCTCTACATGTTTGGGCATTCAACTAATATAGGAGGGGGTAGTGCTTTATTTACTAAGCCAGAAATAAGATCTGTAGGCCCAAGCCCAGACAAACACGCTGTGTGTCTCAGTTCTGCTTCATGACCACAGTGTGAAGCTATGTAGTGTACAGCCACGAGAGAGGTCAAGTCCAGATCATCCACTGTGTAGGAATAGAATTGCCTAACACAAAAAAAAAAACATATGTTGTTTGAATGGGAAAGTTAGCCTACGTTCTACCAAAGTGTTGGGTAAGTCCTTTATTGCTTTTTGTTCCCTTTAATATATATATATATATATATATATATATATATATATATATATATAAAAAAATACATTCTTCAGGTATAGATAGCACTATTTTTATAGATAAATACTACAGTATACTGCTAGAGGGGAAAAAAAAAACCAGCAAACATTTCCTTTTATATCTTTTACCAGTTTAGGACCAACAGAATAATTGGAGGGATTCAAGGCTTGACACATAAGTAAAGACAACTAAGTTTGATAATTTGATTCATATTCTGGGGTTCATCACTAAATATAGAATTGTGGAGAATTGCATGTATTAGACCAAAACAGCAGAGCTGGCATAATAGTGGAGTTAAAAATATGTGGGATCAGTTTTGGACGAAAACATTTCAGTTCCTTAATCACTGCTCTGCAATTCGAAGTTTAGTGAATAAGCTCCTGTGAGTTTTAATTAGACATTTTGTAACACCGTATACATAATGCAATTTAAAAAAAATGCCAAAAAATGAAATAAAAAAGTTACATACATACTTGGTGTCCCTTGGTGCATTGTTCAGTGGTCTGTCTGCAATTGCAAGCAAATAACTTCCACACCAGGTTAAGACACTCCAATCAGGAGCCTCTTATTTCAGCCAATGGAGACTGATTTTATTGCTTTTATCTCTGTCCAGAAGAGGTTAATGGGATAAGAAGTTTATTCCATCTGCAGTTCCACTCATCCCATGATGATTGGAACTGCATGATGATTGGAACTGCTCCAGTCACATGATGATTGGAACTGCATTACAAACCCCAGCAGAAGTTCATGGCATAGGCAATTTACCACTCTATATGCAGTTCCACTTATCAGTCTAATAAGTGGAACTGCAGTACCTGTTCAGTAAACTGACAGCGGCGATCGTGGCCATTGCCATATTATGAACTGAGTTGTGTGCAACCACCAACCACACATTGCTGCAAATCTCTTTAATTTGGAAAAATGGTGCCTCAGATGGGATATGATAGCATTATACAAATATATACGGGGCCAATTCAAACCATTGTCTAGAATTCTATCGTAAACAGGACTATACATAGGACACGAGGTCACTCATTTATGCAATACGAAAGGAGATTTAGTCTAAGGCAAAGTAATTTTTTTTTACAATAAGGATGTGGAACTCTCTGCCTGAAGAGGAGGTTTTATTCGAGTCTGTACAGATGTTTAAACAGCAATTGGATGAATACTTGCAAAAACATAATATTCAGAAATATAATTTTTAATTTGTGGGGTTATAGCTTCTTCATTCAAAGAGAAATCTGACAGCCAATCCAGGGTCAATAAGGAATTCTTTCCTGGTTTGTTGTAAAATTGGAAGTGCTTCAAACTGTTTTTTTTGCCTTCTTTTGGATCAACAGCAAAAATAGATGTGAGAAAGGCTGAGCTGGAATTTTCAACTGTGTAACTATACAACCTGGCTTTCTTTGGGGTCTGGGCATTACATGCGTAAACAAGGATGAATGCATGAAAGCGACCAGCTTATCACTCTCAGCCAATGAGCTAAGCCATGCCCTGCTGGGCTTACGTTAGCGAATAGTGCTTCCAGCTCTTACTAAGCTGTATAGGGGGCAGGAAATGGAGCCCAGATGACCTCAGGTAAAAAGTCAAACTGTTCTAAGAAGCACACTGTAGTGGCTTCTTGGAATGGTCGTTTAACATATTATGCTGTAAATAATAAAAATAAATGCATTCATGCAACAAAAACATCTTGTTACTATTAAGTCTATGCACTTAGAGCCAACTTTGAAAAGAAATGCACAGTCTTTTTAAATTTCCACTATGAAGCAAAATTTTACTAGGGGCATTTACGCATCTATCATAACGTAAATATATTGCGTTCAAGCTTGTTAAAAAAATCTTAGCACACTAACAATTTTCTTTTGTTGTTGTTGCTCCTGTTAATATATAGTAAGTGTTGCATTATACAGTTGCATTATGCACCACACACTGTTAGCATTTTCTGTTTATTCTGTTTTTGTTTTTTTCTTGTTTCCTTGCAGTTCCCAATAAATGTGTACGCTGGCTGTGCTTGTGTTCGGCTCTGGCCTGAGAGAAGGACAGGGGACTCCTGGGAGATTAAAGTCGAATTGTACAACCAATAGAAAGCCTGCATTTTCCTTGTACCAACCTCACACTGTTTATGGAGTAACTCACAGTTAATAAATCATGGTTCAGGGTTTAGGACACTTGAGTCCAGATGCCAATTCGGGCTGGTTCAGCTGTGAAATGTTGGCTGATGCTCCTGAATGTACAGAACGTTCATATATATTTCTATATTTAATTTATTATTTTTTCCAGCACAGAGCGTGTTGTGTAAATCTAGACAGTGGCCAGCTCACAGGAGCGCTGTGCAGACACATGACAGGGAATGACTGAAAGACACCTTCTTGTCACGCTTCCAGGGTGAAAATTACAGAACATATTTCAGTCAGGTTTGCCCTGTTCTAAGAAACTTCTCATATTTATACCATTCCTGCTTCAATCAACATGTGGATTTTGTTAAGGACATGCTACAAATAAAACATGCACATATTTAGACTTCTACCTTGGGGTGTATTCACTAAGCCAAGAATTGTAGGGGATAATTTACAAGTGAATTACAAATGTAAAGCCAAAATATCAAAACTGGAAAAAATCTCTTATTAACTACATTTCTAGCTCAGGTATTTTAGGCTAAAATGAGTGCATTCACTGTTAATGATCCACATATTTTGAGAATAAAATAAAATTTTTGATAGACAAAAAAAAAATAATATAAAATAAAGTTCAACATCATACAAATGGTTATCGATCTACTAATTAAAGAACATCTGTCATATCAAAAAGCATCAGTAAAAGCAAAAAATTCAAGAAACCACTTTGGTACTCTGCAAATTTGGCCAAAATAGTAAAAAACTAAAAGTTAGCATTTAGTAATTGTAAAAAAAAAAAAAAGTGAGGAAGACAGAATAATCTATAAGGTTAGGCAGAAAGAGGCTAAGCAAGTTATAAGAGCTTCCAAATTACACACAGAAAAGAAAATAGCACAGTCAGTAAAAAAAGGGGACAAAACATTTTTAGATACATAAATGAGAAAAGAAAAGTAAAACAAGGATTAGTTATATTAAAAACAAAAGAAGGAAGGTGTGTAGAAGAGGATAAATGTCTAGCTGATTGCCTCAATTAATATTTTTGTTCAGTATTTACAGATGGACAAACAAGTCATTTGTTACATATGAGTTTACAGAGGAAGAGATTATATTTCAACTGTCAAAAGTAAAGACAAATAAGTCAGTGGGACCTGATGGAATACACCCAAAGCTATTAAAAGAGCTTAGTGGTGTACTAGCAAAACCATTAACAGATTTATTTAACCAATCATTGTTAACAGGAGTAGTCCCAGAAGAGTGGAAGTTAGCGAATGTTGTGCCCATTCACAAGAAAGGTAGCAAGGAGGAGTCGAGCAACTATAGGCCAGTAAGCCTTACTTCAGTAGTGGGGAAAGTGATGGAAACCATGTTAAAGGAAAGGATTGATGAACATCTAAAAACACATGGATTTCAAGATCAGAGACAACATGGGTTTACTTCAGGGAGATCATGCCAGACTAATCTTATTGATTTTTTTGATTGGGTAACTAAAATTGGTGCAGTAGACATTGCTTACCTAGATTTCAGTAAGGTTTTTGACACTATTGCACATAGAAGGCTTATCAATAAACTGCAATCTTTAAGTTTGGATTCCAAAATTGTTGAATGGGTAATACAGTGGATGAGTGACAGGCAACCGAGGGTTGTAGTCAATGGAGTATATTCGAAGCATGGGCTTGTCACCAATGGGGTACTTCAGAGATTTGTACTTGGACCCATTCTCTTTAATATTTTTATTAGTGATATTGCAGAAGGTCTTAATGGTAAGGTATGTCTTTTTGCTGATGATACTAAGATATGTAACAGGGTTGATGTTTCAGGAGGGATAAGCCAAATGGCAAATGATTTAGGTAAACTAGAAAAATGGTCAGAGTTGTGGCAACTGACATTTAATGTGGATAAGTGCAAGATAATGTATCTTGGACGTAAAAAACCAATGGCAGAGTACAGAATATTTGATAGAGTCCTAACTTCAACATCTGAGGAAAGGGATTTAAGGGTGATTATTTCTGATGACTTAAAGGTAGGCAGACAATGTAATAGAGCAGCAGGAAATGCTAGCAGAATGCTTGGTTGTATAAGGCTATCCTAACTATAAGATAAGGCCTGGGGCTAATGAAAGTATTTAGAAAATTTGACAGACTTAATGGGCCCAATGGTTCTTATCTGCAGTCACTTTCTATGTTTCTATCAACACTATTTTTTAATATAGTGATTCTTTCATCAAGTTTTGAAAGGAAATCGATTCTGTGTTAAATTAAGTATATGTAAAAAAAAATGAGAAAAACTCATCCATACTTTTAGTATATGACAGGATCCTTCGGCCATTTTTATATACACCTTGGGTCAGACAGTGTTTGAAATTTGACAATTAGTCTGCCTGATGATGTCACTGCACCAGGACCAGTGCAAGGATTTTTGGGAACACAGGCAAATATGATATTGGTGCCCCCCCTAAAGAAGTATCTTCACCTGTGTGCCTCTTAACCTGACTTTTGTTTCTTATCCCCTTTTTGAAACGTCTTACCCCTTTTAGTGTGTCTTATCCCCTATTTTTCCCCATTGTGTGTCTTACACCTCCCTTGTGTATCTCTTACAACCCCCCTTTGTGTGTCTTACCACCCCCAGCCCCTTTGTGTTTCTCCTTCTCTCCCAGCCCCTTTGTGTCTTTTACTCTTCCCAGCTCATTTGTGTGTTTTTCTTTAACCCCGAGACGTCTGTTTCTTTTTCCTCTTCTCCAGCCCCTCTGTTTCTCTTTCACCCCTTTGTATTTCCACCCTCTGGCCCTTCCGTGTATCTCTTTCATCCCCAGCCCTCTGTGTGTCTTTCTCACACCCAGGCCTATCTGTGTGTTTTTCTCCCCCCTCATGTCCCTCTGTGTGTCTTTCTCCCCACTCAGTCCCCCTGTGTGCCACTCTCCTCTCCATGTCGCTTAGTGTTCATCTCACCTCCCCTCCATGTCCTTTAGTTATCCTCTCCCCTTCCTGTCCCTTAGTGTTCCTCTACCCTTCTCTTACTGCCCCTTAGTGGTCCTTTCAACTCCCCTTCCTGTCCATTAGTGGTCCTCTTCCCTGTCCATTAGTGGTCCTCTTCCCTGTCATTTAGTGTTCCTCTCCCCTCCCTGCCCCTTAGTGTTCCTCTCCACTCCCTCTCCTCACTTAGTGTTCCTCTCCCCTCCCTCCCCTGTCCCTTAGTGTTCCTTTCCACCCCTTTCCTGTCCCTTAGTGCTCCACATCCCCCTTAGTGTTCTTCTCCCCTCCCTTACTTGTCTCTTACCTTCCCTCTATTTTAGTGGTTTCCCTGACCCTTAGTGTTCCTTTTCTAGTGTTCCGCTCCCCTCCCTCCCTGATGTGCCTCAATACCTCTCTTGTAGCGTGAGCGGAGTGGACCGCGGTACAGGAGCTTCTGCCCAGCCAAGTTGACAGGAAGTGCTCCGCTCTGCTACACTGAGTGACAGGTTGCAGGGAGCGCTGTACTCTTTCCCTCCTGCCGGGTAACTCATATCTTGCACCCCCTTGGTCAGTGCGCCCTTTGGCGGCTGGCTGTGCCGCCTTATGGACTCGCCGGCTCTGCACTGCACTGTGCAGGAAGTAAAGCAGGGAAGACCATAGAGACTATATAGCTGTATTCAATCACTCTCTGACACAAGGTACATGTATATGGCTAAAGGATCATGTCCTATACTAAAGGCAGAGGTTCTCCCGATAGTTATAGAGAGCAGCTGAAGATAGCGTTCGCTCTGCCTTTGTGACCTCCTGCCTTATAGGCAATATCGATATAATTATAAGCCGATGCCAATAATTTCCAAACTGCAGAATATTGACAGATTATATTGGCTAAACCAATAATTGGTCAATCCCTAGTGTGTGAGGCTGTTTGTTTTGTGTTTTTAGACAGTCAGTGTCCTATGTTGGAGGGGCTTCTTATTGTGACATTTCTTACCATGAGGGCACTTCTGGTGCCATAATCACTACAGCAAGGTGAAGTGACAATGGTGCTCTGAGTGTTCCTCTAGTGAAAAGATTATATATACCGGTATATATATTTATTTTTTATTATTTATTTATTTATTTTATTTTATTTAATTAGATTTATTCCTTTTTTGTTTGGAATAGTGGCCTATCCACGTTTATTTCAATTGTTTAAAAAAAAAAAAAGCTTTATTTATTTTTATTTTTTTCACCACAGGGACAGTCTCCTTACAGAAGTCCAATTAAGTAATCACGTCTTGCGCCTTTTTGTCCAGTCACATCCGTCTCTTATAAAAGGCCAATGGTGTATGTGGAGCATTTGTGGAGCATTTGCTACTATCCCAGTGCTTCTTATAGAGAAGTGCTTCTTATAGAGAGGCACCGATTCCAAACTTTCTCAGTAAGAGCAATGTTTTACATTGTCCGAAAAGGGACAGCATATGTGCACCACAACCATTTAATGTTACACACTTTGCTGTTTATCTGCGAAACCAGGAATTGTCATGATTTGACAAGAGAATTGCACATTTTAGGCAGAAGGAGCAATGCTGAAAAACAAAAGCAAAGGGGGATTTTGTTTTTAATTCAGCAATTTGTTTCTTAAATTTAGCCTTTATCAAATTTTTTCTTTATCATTTCTTAATGATTTCCTATTTAGTCTACTGAGAGTTACAAGTGTTTTCAAAGAATCAGAGGTTAAACTCGTATCACTTATTAATTATACCCTTGAACAAAAATGCACATACAGGCGACATGTCTCCCTCCCCAAAATTAAGCAGGCTTTCACGTTATCAGACATTTGCCATTGTGCTGTGACAATGGAGCCCCTTTGTAAATTACCTGTGACATAAATAAGAAAAGTGATTGATGGCTTAAGCTCTGAACAGCAGTTTTCTGACTACATACAAACTATATAGCAATGCAAAAGTAGACAATTCTGCTGTACCACATTAACCCTTACACTCCCGACAGGAATCATGTAAAAGCCATACTATTCAGGCAAGACAGTAATTGCATTTATGACAGATGAGGTTAGTCAACAAATACGGAATTGTGAAGAAACAAGAAGGCAACGGCAAATGTTAGGCATATTAGTCATATTAGTCATATTAAATGAAAAGGCTAAGGTTTAATTTATTTCCCCCCAATTCTACTATTTTACTTAAAATTTAAAATGCCATTGCTGTTTTTGTTCAATTCACAGTTTAGTAAATAAACTCAAAAATGTTTTGCATATTGACAAAAATGTGTATGTGAAAAAGAAAAAAAAAAAACAATTGGACAATTTGATATAATATATCAGTATGGCGGTTCTTTTAATTGTATAAAGTTTGCAAGTACCAGTGGGTTTTAAGAAAAAAAAAAGTCCACAAATATCCCCCATTACATGAAAGGCGACCTATATTTTGGATACATTGCCAGTAAAAAGAAAACTGGTGGTATCCGAGAAATTAATTTAGTACCTAATCCTCTGTGTGCCATCTGAAGTTTGGATGACAGCGCAGTATTTCACGGCACAGACAGTATTTCACGGCACAGACGGTATTTTAGTACTTAGCACAGTATTTTAGTACTTAGCACAGTATTAAAATGTGTCATATGAATTTGTGTTTGTGTGTTTCTGTCATTTTAATCTGCTATGTCTGCAGAGATCACACACATGAAATAAATGGGCAATGACGCATAAAGAAATCCACGCTGGAATTATTACAGAGGGAGTGCAGCTGCCCCTTACAGCAACTGGCATGTATTAACCCATTCACTGCTCTTTAGGTATAAGTAACACTAAGTAACTTGTGCGTGGGTTATTAAAGTCTAACAGAATTATTCACTAAAGTGAGAATTATGGGGAAAATGAGTAAATTTTACATTTTAGACCAAAATGGGAGAACCGGAAGCACATGTGACTTTAATAAATTACCCAATTCAGATAGTTTGGCCTTAAATTCAAAATTCACTTTAGTGAATAAAGCTGTAAAAAGGATTTGATTCTTTTGGGGTCCTAGGTAGAAGTCAAATACAGAAAGCCAACAGATTGCTAGTACTGTATAGAGTTTGGAATCTACAATTCCTTTTTAAATGTGATTCTGAAAATTGTGTATGATGCATTTGCAAAGAAGGATTCGAAAAAAATGACTGTGCAAAAAAAAAAAAAAAAATTATAATTAAAAAATAAAAAAGATATATACCGGTATATGATTGTACTGTGCTTTAAATGTGTGCATCTTGTATGAAAGTTGGATGACCATTACAGGAAAGTTAGTTCACAACATCAGGGGTACCAGGTTTGGTCAAAAAGACTGGCTGAGCATTATGAGAACTGTAGTTCACACACAAAAAAGCTGGTTGATCCTTATGGGAAACTTCAAGTTCAAAAGCATCTGAGGTGCCAGTTTAGCCAACATGCCTTACTTTGGGACTATTCACAAAAAAGGGATGGCTGTGCTTCATGGGATTAGTAGTTCACAAAGATCTTGGGGATACTTCTGAGGTCAAAACCTTGTGGATTTTAAAACACATATATAATAGGGTTCAGTGTGGGCCAGCTATGGCTGAGCACCCTCTGCCATGTCCAGTGGGGACCTCCGCCTCCCCTCTGCCATGTGCTGTCCCCACTACTACCAGCAGTAGTGACAGGTGCAACCTGCATGTGGATTTCAAGTTCAGTGGCAGCGTCTGGGCCAATCAGCTGCGAGCATTGACAGGCAGTGGGCGGGGCGTGAGCCTTTGGGAGGAGGAGTGTTTGTAGCAGTTCTCCGCTGCTGGTATAGCTCCCCATATGATTGTATGGAGCAGGAGAACCAGCGCTGTACAGTACAGAGGGAGCCAGTGTTATACAGAGGCAGCCAGTGCTATACAGAGGCAGCCAGTGCAAGGCAACCATTGGACAGAGGAAGACAGTGCAGTGCTATACAGAGGCAGGCAGCACTGTTCTGTGCTATACAGAGGCAGGCAGCACTGTTCAGTGCTATACAGAGGCAGGCAGTGCTGTACAGAGGCAGCCAGGACAAGGCACCAGGGGAGCAGAGCCAAGAGAAGAACAGTCAGGACGTCGGCACTCAGCTCCCAAAATAAGAGAGAAGGAGTTAAAGCCCAGGCAAGGAGGGGCTACAACTGATTGGAGATAACTTTCCTGTTACTGTTACTTGTTTTGGGGGTTCTGAGGTCAGGAGCTCCCTCTTTACATCTCTGGGGTTTGCTGGGAAGGATATGTCCTGGGACATGTGATTTTGGAGAGGATTGGAGGATCTGGATCATGAGGATGTTGGGAGCTGGGAGCTATCTGTGCCCAGGATGGCTGAGCTTGCTGTGGGCACTGGGGGCACTCCATGTGGCCTTTGGACAGTCAGGTAAGTGGCATTGAGCACCCAATTCATGTATAGATGTCTAATGCTGTCATCTAAAAAAACAACCTGTGTTTGCTCTGTTATGAAGAATTCTGCAAAATCCCTACAAGCCAACACTGCCAGCGGACCTCAGGGTCTGGGGTGGGGGGGGGAGGGGGGTAACTTTCCCAGTCTCCCCTAAAACAGAGAATTCACTAGCTCACTGAGTGCCCTCCTAACAAAGGGCACCCCTAACCAAACATTAAGCTGCACAATCCTTACCAGGGAAGGTAACATGTCAGCAAATATTTGTTTAATTTAAGTCTCACCGCTTAACTCTTTCGATGCCAGAGGGCACCCTTGCCTAATCTGTTGCTGCTGGCTGCACCTGTCCCCAAGCATTGCTTGTTCAATTTCCACAATTAACAATGCATAAATAAATCAATCGATTAAATAAATAATTATAGCGTTCCTACAATTTTAGCCATATCAGTGAACCAGTTAATATAAAAATATACATTTTTTTACACAATTCTTCTTGCCCCACAATAGTCTTCAAAGATCTTCCCTCCAGCCCTTCCCAATCTGTGTAAGTAATACTGCTTCTGTTAAGGAAACCCGTCTGGGGCTGTTTATAAATTAGGGGCTGTGTGGGGTGCACTTTGCAATATATGGGTGCCAAGTGGCTCTATAAATAATCTTTATCCCTTTAAGGCTGTTTGTAGATAATATCAGACTGAGGCATTGGATAGTAGCCACTTGCCAACCCATTTAAAACATACAAGTTACCAGTCCTGGCTTTTGCAAACCAAAACACTAGAGTTCTAAAATCGCGTGTCTTGTAACCCTTCATGTCTGATACATAGATGTTATGTCACAATGCAGTCCTTTATTTGCAAAAATCAAATCCTATATTTTACCGGGGGGACTTTGGTATGCTTTTGAACAGAATCTGCTGAGGATATGACATTTACAGGCAAAAATGTGTTCGGATTTGGGGGATATGAACATGCAATGGGTTAATTCCCAGAATGAATGTTTTAATGTAATGGTGGGCTGCTGCAGCCCTGGGTCTCAGTGCTTTGTGTATACTGGGCTACAGAGTTATTTTCTCTTCCTTGTCTGTTTGTGTACACGCTGTGTTCTTCACTTCTGGTCATGCCTGTTTGACTGGCTCTCAAGACTCCTGCTTGAGTCTGTTAGAATGGGTTTTGCAGGGAGCAGGTGTAAAAGAGTGCATGGGGTTGGTTCGCTGACTTCCTTTCTTAAGACATGATTGTTGTTTTCTGATGGTTAATGGCAGACCTTGTATACTTTTTAAAGTTCATAGGGTATATGCACTTGACCCTCGGATGGCATAATGTGCGAGTGAGCCTTGCATTGTAATATCAAGTTGGCCCCTTTACTCCTGTTATTTAAAAGTCAGTTACTGTAAATACCAGATTATTTAAGATCTGGGGAGATAAGTTTATTTGTAAAAGCAACATTTTGTGTTTGTGTGCATTCAAAGTGCACACATAGTATACGTGTGTGATTATATATTATACGGTGTTTGTATTTTGCATGTAGATAGACATGCTGATTGGGAGGCAAGCTGGTCCATAGATAGTTCAGATAAAAACACAATGTGAAAGTTTCTTATTGAAACATCTATCTATCTATCTATCTATCTATCTATTTGTCTCTGTCTGTCTGTCTGTCTATCTATCTATCCGTCTGTCTATCTGTATGTCTATCTATCTATCTATCTATCCGCCTGTGTGTGTTTATCTCATACAACTGGTACATTCATGCTTTTTAACCCTTTGAATTTACAAGTTTGAATATAATTCATTATTTATTACACTTTTCTATTATTACATGTATCAGACATCTGCCCCCAGGTATTGATTGATCCCACTTGCTTCCCCCCCTCCCTCAAACCTCCCCCCCTTGTATAAATGTCAATGTTATGTATAGTATAGCTATATATTTTGCATTCCTATAGCCAGCATTACTATTGATATATAGTCATTTACCATAATATGTATATATACCGTTATTTAGTCCCTGACAACACTTCCTGTGGCTGTGCCTTTCTCATTTTTTCTGTCCCTTAGACGGTTAAACATATGCAGCAGAATTAAATGAAGTGTAGACTGACTTCAACACCACCAGTCTGTTCTCCCCCAGATTTATTTCTTTTTCCCAATCCAGCCTACTTGTACTCCCTTATTGCCAGCTATACAACTGCCATTGGCCTCCTTCCCTGCAAACTCCTCAGTTTATTTACACAGGGGCTGGCCTGATAAACTATTAACAGATTATTCTCATTTAATGAGATGTGTAATGTGTACACACAGTATCACACATACTAGGGACTTGCAGAGTGGCTCATATTGGAATCACTGCAAAAATACCTAGACACATCATTGCACAAGTTGTGATGTCTGCTCCTATTTGTAATTAATTGTGTATATATATTTGTGTATATATATATATATATACGTATATATATATATCAGAGTATTGCAGTATGCAATGATACCTTTTGTATTGGACTTGCGTAATACTTTAAAGACAAGGCTTCAAGCGTTTTGTTCTCCGACTTCAGACCTGAGGAAGAGAAGAAAGCTCTTTAAATCTTGTCTTGGGATTTTGGCATTATACATATATAAACACACACACACACACACACACACACACACACACACACACATACAGAAACAAACAAACAATAACACGAGCAATATAATTCAGTAGTGACAGTGTCAGTCAGTTTACTTGGTGACATCAAAGTCTACCATTTGAAAGTTGTGGCCCCATGGATCTATCTTTAGCTTGTGACATTGAATCTCCAATTATCTGCCTTCTACCCAACGCTTTACTTCTTGACATATGACCTTAGAACTTCCTCCTTGATGAACTCAAGTGACCTTTTCTTTTCACGTCTTCTTTCTGTTAAGGACTTAATATATTTATATATTTTTTGGGTGGGGGGAGAGTGCTGTTTAATTATATATTTATGATGTACTGTAGCTGTATAGGAGGTGGCCCACGCATGTAACTCCTCTGCTCCAGACTTTCTTGGAAAAGCAATCCATTTGTCGTCCAAATACTACTTTTTTGGAAGTCGGAGGCGAGAGGATACAATAGATGAATTAATAACACAGACCAGTCCAGTGGAAACAAAAAAAGACTGTTCCACTGCAAGATGTCATTATTTTTTTCAATACTATTACAGTTGTGAAGAGCCTGGAATACTATCAATATGTTATACAGTGTGTGCTTTAAGTGTTGTTCAATAAAAATGCACTGCCTGGCAAATATTGAGAAGGCTTAGGCATGGACACACATTGTGCTCCTATAGACGATGATGCTGAATGGAGCTTTTTTTTTTGCTGGTTTAGCCTCTAACTCCTTTAACCCATTCCGCCCAGGACAGGCTCTGAAATCCAGCAGCTAATAGGTCAATGCTTTTAATCAAGTCAGAAAGCCAACTGTATGCTTGTTGACTCAATGACAGTTGATTCCTGACATATCTGTGTGTCTGATAGGAATTTCTATGAGGCTGTCCTAGGGATGCACTCTCTGTCTAAAGCTAACAAGGAATATCTGTATTAGCTTTCATTAGCGAACCTCTTAATTTTTTAAGGGTCTCATGTCGCTTTCTTGGATCTTCAAGGCACAGGCGGTGCATTAACTTTCTATTAAATGCAAATCCTTTCTGATCATTCTATAGATTTCGTCAATGTGATATTGGGAAAATATAGGATATGATAAACTAAATGTGCAATAATAAGTGAATTAATATTAGGAATACATTGCACACACATGCTGTTACACTCACTAACGTCTATCTATCTATCTGTCTATCTATCCATCTATCTATCTAACCATCTATCTATCTATATTATTATCAACTACTATGCAGTAATGATTGTACATATACAAAAATCCTGAAGCTCGGTGGTTTACATTAAATGAGGACAATCTATTAATATTTATAAGTTTTATATAGCTAAACAAGGAAATGAGAAACATCTCAACAATGTTTACATGTAAATATATTCTACTACTATAACGTGTAGCAACAGCGATTGTATGTAATAGATGTATTATTGAGTACTATGTAGTACATACATTATACATTACATAAGATACTTTATTTACCTTGTATAACATCTCCTGCATACTTCTAGTTATTAAATCATGCAGAGTCTGTGTGTGTTTGTTTGTATAAGGTTGTAATGTGATCTACGATAGTGGTTACAAATTTAAGAAAGTGCAAAGCACGCTTAAATTATAAAGGAATAAGAACCACTTAAATGCAAGATAAGCTGGACATAACGTTGTGTGTGTGTCTGTATGTGTGTTAGACGACAGAAATAGTGTGCTAATATTTTGTCACGTTTAACCATTAGAACAGAATGGTTTAATTCTTATTGACATATCTGGTCATATCTCAAATCTTGTGTGTGTGTGTGTGTTAGACAACAGAAATAATGTGCTAATATTTTGTCATGTATAACCATTAGAATAGAATGTTTTAATATGTTCAATTTACATCTACCATGTACTGATAAAAATGCACACAGACGTGACAGTGGTTTACTTTTGATCAGTGACAGATATCACGATTTTAAAAAAAATATACACTTTTGTCACCGTACATCCAGACCTTTGTGACTGGTTCTTCTGCAGTAGCTTTAGCCGTGCAAGCCTTCATCCATCGCAGGCCGCATCTCAGTTTCGGGAAAGCAAGCATAATTAATTGGCAACAGCACCAGATTTATCTGTTGAGCCAAAAACAGTGTTTTCCTCTCAGCTTTTAACGAGCAACTTTTGAATAATATTTTAATTAAATAATAGTTTAAGGGGGAAAAAAACTTTAAACAAAAAAAAAAGGAGAGAGACTTTTTGTTTCCCTTGTATCTCCTGGGTACAATAATATTACTGTTTATTTAAACATATGTCCTCTTTACTATTGGTTACTATGTTTATCTTTAAATAAAATATATTATATGCATATTAGAATTATTTTTCTTAGTATTGATTAAAATGTATTAAAAATGCGTAGAACAAGAGGAGTCAAGACCAAAAAAGTGGGAAGTTTACAGAAAGAACAAAAACATATTGATTTTTCTTGAGGCAGTAATAGTTTGGTAACATTTTTATAAAGAAATAAACCTTCACCCTTTCGATGCTGGAGGGGGTCAATATCCTATTGCTTTTCCAATGAGAGTTGAATATAAATGTTATCATCCCGTCACGTAGATTGGATTTAACGATTCTATTGCTGACCAATTAAGAAAATCTATTTAAATGCGGTTTGTGTTGGTTTTGCCCTGTCTACCCTAAACAGAATCCCCTCCCTGCCCGTTTGCAGTTTACTGTAGTTTGTTTTGGTCCAAATGAGGAATTAAGTGCGGATAAGTAAACCGCGCTGCCAGAGGGCGACAAGATGTTGAGTGAATTGCTTTTAGATGAAACAAATTAAAGAACGAGAGAAGACAATCTGCTTCTCGCATTAATAGACACGCTCCGTGTTCAGGGGGGAAGTGGTACATTTTGGAGATGCTAATTTTATTAGGAGGGCGAGTGGAATTCACCTTAGATGTATAGATGAAACCTGTGCCATTATACCAGATTTGGCAAAACATTAGTGGGTTATGTTACATTTGCTGAAAACATAAATGTTGTGTATTGCAACTAGCCTTACAAAATCATTCAAAGCGGTGACTCTCTATGGCTATTTCCAATTTCATTCTAAAAGGGTATTGCAAGCTGTAACAGCAGTCCATGAGCGGCTCATATTGTAACTGAAAAAAGAAAGCATTTGGGGTATATTTAGGCATTGTACACCAGGATACTACAATTCACTAAATTGACAATTGAAATAAAGAAAGAAGTTCCTGGGAAATTTGCATGTTTTAGGTCAAAATCGCTGAACTCAAATTAAGAAAAGAAAAAAAAAACATTTATTTAGAATGCTCAATAGAAAATATAGAAACTAGAGGCCTTAGCCAGCAATATTCGGCAAAGGAACATTTTTATAATGTTGTGTTAGTTTATTACTCCCAGTGATTCAAAGTATATGCATAGTTTTCTTTTTTCTTTATTGGCTACATATTTGCCCTTTTTTGCACCATTTGTTAATAACAGTGTGGAACATGCTGATATTTCAAATTATGATAATAATAATAATAATAATTAATTAATTAAAAAAATACTATGATGTATATCTCCAATTTGAAGCCAAAAATATTTCTTTAAGGTACCAAGCCACCTCTACCAGCCAAGGATTTAGGGATTACCCAGTTGTGTCTAAGGTGTTTTTAGCAAAAAAAAAAAACACTGGATAATCCCTATATCCTAGACTGGTAGGGGATGTGAGGTCTGGCTTGGGAAGCACTGATGTATCTCATTGTAGGGTAATCATGACCATTCACCTTCCTGCAGCTGTTTTTGTACTGAATATTTTGTAAAGCGCCAATGCTATCTGTCATTTTGGTATTTACAGCTCTGGTTTGTACCTTGCACTCTGCTGCCATACTTCATTCACAGTTTGTCTTCATTTTTATGTTGGTAACTGTCTTCAAACACTGACAATGGCTTGCGTCATATGGTGTTTGATCATCTGCTATCGATGACCCATAATCACATTATAAAGTCTAACATATTTGCTATATAAATTTTAAAATTTAATTTAATGAAAATAAGTTAAAAGCAAATACTGCAATGAAAAAAAAATAAAAACATTGTTCTGCATAACACGTTACATGCTAAATGGTAGATAATCCTATCTTAGGTTGCCCACATAGCATGGAATATGTTAGACTTGAGCAAACAAATTGACTAGAGAGATAGCATTAATCACAGGTCTGAGATCATAACGGTAACCTTATCAAGCAGGACCTCTTAATTCAAAATCCAATGAATAGACAATTTCTGGTTCCGTTGCTGGTGAATAATGCCTCAATTGATATTAAATTCCCAATTGAGACATGGCGGACAGGGAAGCAAAAATTGAAGATGCCTTATGCATTTCTAGCCTTGATGAACTTCTTCAGTCAAATTTAAAGGAATACTATAGTGCGAGGAATTCAATTCTGTATTCCTAGTACTAGAGTTCCCTCTTGCCCCCCCTCCCCCCCATCCCCACTCCACTCCTGGCACTGCAAAGGTTAAAAAACCCTTGCAACACTTACCCTCTGGATCGGTGCTCAGCCTTCTCTGATGTCATCCAATGGAGGAGGGACTAATGCGCATGCACTGCGAGCACTGTGAGTGCATTAGGCTCTCCACATAGGAAAGCATTGACACAATGCTTTCCTGTGGGAATCTAACTGACGCTGGATGCCTTCATGCAATGCGTGAGGACATACAGTGTCAGGTGACCTAAAGTCTGGTAAACTCTCTGAAGCACCACTAGAGGCTATCTTAGTATTGCAATTTAAACATTGTGGTTTCTCATTGCAGGACTTAGTGTGACAGAGACACAGCACTGAGACCACTTCAGTGAGCTGAAGTGGTCTGGGTGCCTATAGTATCCCTTTAACTACAATCATACTAATTTTATTTGTGCAAGATTTGTGACCCTTCATTGTGTGATTTTGGGTCATCATTAGCAGGCTCCAGTTTCATACTCTGAAGGGTGCCATTACCAACTAACTTCTAGAATGCATGTTAACATGCCACTATCAGTATATATACAAATATTGTAGAAACATCACACTTTTGCAGTCCCAGTGGAATTCTACCTAGCCCCAGTGCTTAAGGAATTGAGAATACATTTCACTCCATGGCCTCGTTAGAATAATATAAGCACTGGAGATACAATCGTCTCTCGAGTATTCAACGAATCACACCTTAAAGTATTTCTGCTAATGTGTTGTCAAACACACACTCACTGGAGACATGTAATTTTGTTTTTAGGAATTGAATGACTCACAGCAAAATCGTTCGTTATTATTTATTTAAAAAATAAATGAATTGCTAGACAGTTACAACAGCAAGCCACAGATATGCTCATTTGGATATTTTTTTTTTTGTATTATTCCAGAATATCAGCTGAAAAATATTGTAAAAACCAATACTATTAACATATCTATCTATCAATCTATATCTCTCTCTATATATATATATATATATATACATATATAAGATGTGTTCCTTTATCATAATAGATCACTAGGCTCCATCCCGCCCCCCATCCCATGTCGCTAAAGGGGTTAAAACCTCGGCGCTAGGTCAGGCCCAGCCCAGCCCATTATTCAATGCTTTCCTATGGGGAAAATCTGACACTGGAGGTACGTGAGGACGTCCAGCGTCAGATAATCGACCAAACGTCCGTTATGAATCCGTAAGCGCCCCCACTGGCTGTCTGGCAGACAGCCACAGAGGGCAGACTTAGACCTGCAATCTAAACATTGCAGTTCTCTGGAACTGCAATGTTTTACATTGCAGAATTAGGTGCAAAAGGGAAACAGCACCCACATTACTTAAATTAGCTGAAGTGGCCTGGGTGCCTACAGTGTCCCTTTACAAAAAAAAACAGAAAACGAATTGTCACAATCTGCCAATCCAATCGTAGCATTGAACCCGATGCATTTTAGCCGTACAGAACCAAATGTCATCATACTGTATATGCTGACGCAGGATATCATTAGATTCAATAATTGACTCTATGTTAGTCCCAAGTCCCTAGTGAAAAATGTAAACAGCGACATTTCTCAGGAACAGCATTGTTTACAACAGCAAGGTTACAGGATCAGCATCTATGCCCCAAATCACCTCATTAAGCCACCTTTTCTTTTGTGCTTAGATTTTTCGCTTTAAAATATGATACATCATATTTGATAATATTATTATCAATGTCTTTGTCTTAAGATATCCTAACTAAGCCTCATTAGAATATATTAGGACAAACGCTGTGTGGATTTTACTCATCCCTTGTGCAAATATAGATCAGTTGAATGTGCCACTCAAAAGATATTGAAATGTGGTTATTTCTGTGTTTAGTTTTTTTTTACTTGAAACAGCTTTCCAAGTTCTGGACTATCATTTGGATGTCGCAGACAATGGATCACAATTTAATTTGTCTGCTTGTCATATCCATTGGTTACACAAGAGAAAATCAATCATTTTGAAGGTCTAATCACTGTACACTATACAATATTGGATATATACTAAGCTAATCCCACTCGGTAGGTTTTCTTAGCAAAGCAATGTCCTGCTATTTTACACATTGCTTTTCAGCCATTGATTTTGCCTAGAGGGGCAAAACATCTGTCAGTTGCTTGGCAGTGGTTTCTTTATATCTTTATATCTTAACTCGTGCTCCTGGCTGAAAAGCCATGATAGATGTCTGTTGCACAGAAAATTCTACAGAAGTTTGAAATCCTAAGATATCCTAGCATAGGAAAACCATGATCGTGTGTGTGCACACGTGGCTCCAGCACTCAAAGTCTGTGCCTGGAAAAGAGGGGAGGGCTTGCGAAGGCTGCAGACATCAAGTCTGCAGCTTTTGCAAGCTGTTTTGATTCATATAACTTACTGCAAAGAAAACTTGCAGACAAAAAACTCATGCATGGTTTCTTTGTGGTTATATCCATTAAAAGGTAAAACAAATAATGAAATATTCCTTTAAAGTTTATAAAGTTTTTAAAAGGGAGCCGTCACTTCAGAGGATTTTTAATATAATGTTTAGTTTTATCGATATCTGATAAATATGTATTTGTGAGGTATGAAAAAAACCGAAATGTAGACTACAACTCTTTATCCTTCTAACGGGTGCCTCCATTGTCTAGTCCAGGCATAGGCAACCTTTGGCACTTCAGATGTTTTGGACTACACCTCCCATGATGCTTTGCCAGCATTATGGGTGTAAGAGCATTATGGGGGATGTAGGCCACAACATCTGGAGTGCCGAAGGTTGCCTGTGCCTGTTCTAGTCAGTCATTGATATAAACTCTGTCCTTTGCACCTGCCAGTCAGCTTAGAAAGAAGAGTAGAAACAGATACAATATTTCTTTTTGTCTACATATGCAATGGTCGGCATGTCTTTGCCTTGTTTGAATCGTTTTTTTATGTCATTTGCTAAATGCTACATACAAATTCAAAAGAGAGGAGACCACCTCATGAAAAAAGGTCATGCGTACTAGAGTAAAGTTTCAATGATTTATTCAATGGCGTAATCAGAGAAGTGATTGTTCCCTTTTTAAAAAGATGTGACATAAGGTAAAACAATAATTTTTTTATGCACTGAATTGACACTGTGCAACCCGGAACAGAGTTCTGGGCTGCCAATGTCACATTGTGATGTGGGAGCAACTACCCCCCATCACACAGTTACAAATAACTCAGGCTGTAGTGTCCCTTTAATTGGAAGGTACTACTCTATCCAAATGTGACAGCTGCTCTTTTGAGATTCATCCTACATGGGACATGAGGCGTTCTAAAATTTCAAGGTTTATATTGAGCTCCGTACCTTTTTATACACCCTGTCTATTAATTAACAGATGTAATCTTTTATCTCACATGTATTTGAAATCTGTATATGCAAACAACAACAAAAAAGCAAGTTTCGTTTTTACAAATTTTGAGAGAATTAAAGGATTGGGAAAACTGTAAACTCATTGTTATATTCTGAGCTCTCAGTGCCCCTTTAAGGTAAATTTTCTGCAATTGGGACCGGCATACCTGAGTATCTGTCTAAGTATTTTAGCTAAATAGCCAGAGAGGAAAGCAAATATTTATTTGGCGATCTGAAGTACAGTTTGAATAAAACATTAGCCGAATGTTATTTAGTCTTTGTTGTTTTGGGTGTATACAATGTGGGTGGAATCTTGGTTTTGAGTGAATGCAGTATGTGAGATTGAAAAGTTACTCCAAGCATTATGAGGTGAGTTTTAGTGTTTATTACTTTTTTTTTTAATTGGGGGAAAGAGGGATCACCTCAGAAAGGGTTACTTTAACCAAAGCCACTGTTTTATGAAAACACATTTTTTTTAGTTTAGAGTAATTCTTTAAATCACTGTATGCTAAACATTTAAAGAAGTGATACTCTTCTAATAGAACTTTAAAAAGTTATGGCGTTTTATAGCTACTAAACGCTATGAAAAAAGTGCACCTGAAGCCATTCCTAGAACTTACTTTAAAAAGAAAAAAGAAAAAAAATGAAATCGTTGGCTGTAAAGAAATTATTTTATGTTTTAATTTGAATATAAGAATTTGAAAGGCAAAGTAACATTTAATCAGCTCTACCATCTTTAAATATCCCTCAGTACAAAGGTATGGAAACTGTTGGCACAGAAAATAATTACATTTATATTGTGTGAATTGCAGCTGCTTTACTGCAAGAGGTTATTTCTCAGCCTTTGTCTTTTCTCTATAAAATTAACAATTATAGCTGATTTTCCGACATTTTTTCCCTTCTCCTCTCCTGATTGATCTAATTTGATTTGAATGGAACTGACCTTTAGATGGATTCTTTTTGAGTTGAAATCATTTTTTTTATTCTTCGTAGTGTATTCTTTTGCCTATTTTTTTATTGGTATTTTTATTACTATTCATATAACGCCACCTTAAGTGATTTTTTTTTTATCATAAGAAATGTATAATACAAAATAATTCTCTAAATAAATAAAGTAAAAATTAAAAGTGAATTTCCGTTTCAAGGTAAAAATAGTCAAATTTGAAACATTGAGCTATGCTGCAGCTCAGCTACTTTGGTCTTAAATGTGAAATTCACTTTGGATTCTCACTTTAGTCAATAACTCTGTAAATGTTGCTATTCAATTTAATTTCCCTACAATTTGAACTTTAGTGAGTAAACCTGCCTTTGTGTTGTTGGACTGTCCAGATTTGGAATAACAGAGAAAACGTGTAACATTCCAGTGTTGATAGTCGCAAAATAATTTAAGAGTTCTATACACACTATACACCTGAGGTCACAGTCTGTCATGACGTTTGATAAAGTTGTTTACTTTTTTTTTTAAATTGCACACACCACTTAATTTTCTGACTTTTCTTAATTTGCTTGCTCAAACGCATTTATTTTTCACTATTTCACTAAACTTCATATTATTCAGTCCTAAGAAGTTAATTCGGTAAAATTTGATAAAGGAAAATTGTGTTTGTAAATGTGAGGCAAATTTACAACGCATGTTTTGGCCTAGATTTTGCTATTCACATGCTACTCTGTTTCATCGCCATGTGCTTTGATGTGCTTTGCAAAGCATAAACTAAAAACCTGAATGAAATCTAAAAGGTAATCTAAATACTTAACATTCACCTCCAATACAGGAGGGAGGACTTAGTGCACACTGTAGAGTGTATTTGAATGCTGCAATAGCAGCATGCAAAGCCCTTTGTAGTATAAATGACTAGTACAATCTTTTTTTTAAAAACAAAAGCAAAAGTTTTAGGTTGTGTCAGATTACCTGAATTAAATATTAAAAACGAAATTTTCTGTCTTTAACTTTTCATCTGGTTATTTTTGCTTCTTTAATTAAAGTAATCTTTAATTAAAGTAATATTTCAAACACCATAATCACTACGGCCCTCTGTAGTGGTTATGGTGCCAGGAGTCCCAATTGTAATCTGACAAACTTTTTTAGAACAGTATGACACTTACTTAGATCCCGCCGGGCACCCAAGCAACTTCCAATCTTCTCAGAGTTGTAAGAACCGGATGTCAAGTTTGTTCAATACACAAACTCATTTAACTCATTCATTGGCTTAGAGTTCTCACCTCACGTACATCAGCATCTGACCTCCTGCTCAAGAAGACCACAAGTAGCAGTGGTGTCCGGCAAGATCCAGGCAGGTGTGAAACCATGCTAAATCAATTTGACTCATGACGTTCGGGCAGTGCCAGGGCATTCCTTGCACCATAACCACTGTAACGGATTGTAGTGGTTATGATGCTGAGAGTGTTACTTTAACTCCTTTTGCAGGCAAAGTTGTTTTTAAATGGATAGTATAACCACCAAGTAAGCCAATACACAAACTCATTTAACTCATTCATTGGCTTAGAGTTCTCACCTCACGTACATCAGCATCTGAACTCCTGCTCAAGAAGACCACAAGTAGCAGTGGTGTCCGGCAAGATCCAGGCAGGTGTGAAACCATGCTAAATCAATTTGACTCATGACGTTCGGGCAGTGCCAGGGCATTCCTTGCACCATAACCACTGTAACGGATTGTAGTGGTTATGATGCTGAGAGTGTTACTTTAACTCCTTTTGCAGGCAAAGTTGTTTTTAAAGGGATAGTATAACCACCAAAATCACTTGACCCAAATGAAGTGGTTTTGGGCATAGCTATTGATTGTCCCTGCAGCCTTGGTGTTGAAAACAGTGCCATTTCTTAGAAACAACGCTGTTTCTATTTTGTAATCGTCTCACCTCTAGTGGCTGTCATTCAGACAGTCACCAGGGCTGTGGACTAAAATAGATTCAATAACTTAATCTTTTTCACATGCAGCATCAGCTGACACTGGACATTGAGTGTGTATCCACTGCTTCACAATGAGAAACAATAGATTTAATTCCTCTCCTAGACAAGCGTTGAGTGGTGGGTTTTGCTGATTGGTGTATCTTAGATTTAAAGGAACACTATAGTGCCAGGAAAACAAACTCGTTTTCCTGGCACTATAGAGATAATAGGTCCCCCCCCCCCTGGAATCAGGTAAGTAAATAAAGGGCTTTTAACTCTTTATTTACAGCTTTGTATTCCTGGCACTATAGCATCCCTTTAATGGATTCCTGTGCAATAACTGCACTGATCTCATCTTCTGGATTCTTTTACATTATTACACGTTATTAAACAAAAGTTTAAAACTTCCATAATTTGGGCTAAACCATCAGAATTTAAAATATTTTCCCATGAATTAAGCTGGAGATTTTTTTTTTTTTTGCAAACATGCAATTTTGACTTTAATTTTGCAATGTTTTCTGCTCTCTGGAATGCACTGTTTAGTGAACATCCCCCAGAATGTAGATAAACATAGTATAATATACACACATGCTGAAAGCCTAGAGGCAACTAACTGTGGCGCAGCAAAACTTCAAATAGGTGCATTTTTGCTGTCTGGAACAAGGGAGGGTTGATTTCGAATACAATTTTTACGTCATACTGCCCTTTTAATTATGCAGAAACACCATTATATTCTACATGCAGATGGGTATACTAGTGTATTGAAATTTCCGTGCAGTAAATTACTCACATTAAACAGACTGGAAAAACACTACAGACGGTAGGAGGGGAAGTGTTGACTCTATTTGTGTCCCATTAATTGGACATGGAGTTCTAGCTTAGCATACAAACACAGATACTCTCTTTCCATAAGCCTTCCTTATATTTCTCCTCAAGTGACATTCCAAAGAGAAGCTATGGAAACTAGCATTAATCATAAGGTTCTTTTTTAGAAGGACATCTGACCTGATGAAGTTTAAACTGTAAATAAATCCATCTAAACATTATGACACACAATTGGGTTGGTTTTCTGATGTAATAAAAATACAATTATTACCCAACATTCTATTCTAGATTGGCCATAAACCGTTCAAACCTGAGCATAAGCGTGGTTTTCCCAGGATCCTCTCTGATCTGTCCCAGAAAATCTGGGGGTATGTTTTTGAAAACCCTCTCTACCTAGTTGTGTAGATATACTTGGAAAAATCCAATGTTTAAACAAACGTGAAGTAAAGTTGTTTGAAATTTCTAATAGCCAAGTATAGGAACATGGATTGCTTTAAGTCTCTTGAAATATTGTCAGTTTATCTCAGCAGATTAACTCAAGGCACATAACCACTAGCCACTAAAGCTCATGGAAGTAGTTATGGTGTGATAAGTCTATTGGTGCTTTCCCCTGGCTGAACTGGCCTCAGCCCTCACAGCCTACCATTTCAGAAGTCTACTTTCTTACTATTGGTATGGGAGTGGTTGGACTGTGGGTACTGGGGGAGATCTCATTTTTCATCCATCCACACACAAATAGTTTGACTCAAAAATATAGCGCTGATAGACTTATAGCACTTTAACCAATACAAAGACTTTGTGCCATTTTAAGTAGTTCTTGTTGACAGCTAGCTGAAATATCTGTCAAAGAGCTGCTGAATTGCATCAATCATGCAGATCGGAAAATACATAAAATGAAAGCTGTTGGTCTGAGTGATCCGGTTTCATTCATACTTTTATATCTTTTAACGTTCTTTCAGCACATGTAAAGCTGTACAGACATTGAGGTTGGGACATCAATAGAAGAAATAGAAGAGGTTAATGAATAGCCAACTTTATATGCTTGCACTAGTAAGGTGGCTATTTTTAAAAACTCTGTCTACTTTAACTAAGAACCCAACTTGCCTTTAGAGAATCATTCGCTTTGAAGATGTTTCCCCAAGGCCGCTGTTTCACCTAACATTGTGTAAATCGGTTGAAAAACTGGAGCAACCTTGAGTCGATAGTCCCCTCAGGCCGCAAACGAGTTGCCCTTCTCATGTTATATCCGGAGGTTTTTCAACCAATGTTTGAATGTCACCGAATGGGTGTAAAGAATATACCAAGGCTTCTCTCAAATATCTCTTCTCTCTGCTGTATAGATTGTTTTTAACTTGCCTTTTTGTGTGATGAAGCAGTTTAGATGAACACAATTTAGATTACCACACTACTGCAAACCATTTCATTTCAGAGATCTTTCTACAGTCTGTACCTAACACCTCCAGTAATATCGCTTTCACCACCCTCCCTAGAACAAAGCCTTCTCCATGGTTGACCGAGTGGACAAATACCCTTCCCTTGGGTCTATTTCAAGAGGAGAATGAAAAAAAATCTAGAATAGGATCATTGTCTGCAAAGGCCGAATCTCGCTCCAACAGAGTCCTTTAACTCTGCTGAGATCTATGAGAAACCTTTAAAAAAAATAGAATCCTAATATAAAATATTATTTTGTATAACACAGCATACAGAATCATTCGCCATCTACTCAGTTGTTCAGGGGAGAAGCAAGAATTATCTCTATTTCAGCATTTTTTCTGTTTTTTCAAGTAAGCCAAATTGTAGAGATTACGCAGGTGTGTTCTACTATTTAACGTCTCTTGATAGCATTAAACGTTTCCTTCATTAAATGCACAGCAGCTTATGAATTCTTCTTTTTCCGGAGGTTCTGAAGATAGATCTGAAAACATAATATATATAATGTTTGTGCAGATGTTTTCATGGGTTTTAGTCACTGGTAACAGCGGAGTACCTCGTTACGCCATACTGCAGAGTCAGCCCAGCTTTTAGCCACCATTACTGGTGCACAATGTTGTTGTATGACAGATATACTCTAAGGGAAAAAAAATAGAATATTCTAGAAGTAATAATGTAAAAAAGTATAAAAACAATACTTTATTTAAAAAAAAAGATAACTCAAATACTATTTCACTAACACGCCATCTAAAAGAAAAGACATTAAGGTTTATTTATTTTTTTATTTTTTTATTTTTTATATTAACTCCAGAATAGTGAAGAGTGGACAAACAAATTTAAACTTTTAGGCCAAATAGTCAAACTGGACATATTTAATACTCGGCTATTTTTTATTTTATTTTAAAGGTCATTCTCCACAATGTCTCATTTAGTGAATAAGCCCTGTAGTCAATAGTAAAAAGTCAGCATTTTAAACTAATCTGGCTCGTGGACCTTGAAAAGCTGATTTGTTGTGAACTGGAGCGATATCTTATTTGTCTTTAATTCTTTTGAAAAACTCACACTGCTGATTTGCGCTGACGTCGACGCAGCTCTGTTGGGTTGCCTGTAAATGACTGCTTTTAGACGTGATATATGGTAACTGTTCAACGACGCAGAATTAAATCTTTGAATTAAATCTTTGAATTAAAAGCCTTTTTCTCTTTCTGCTCTGGGATATTATTCACCTCTTTGGCACTGGAAGGGTTAAGAACCTGAGTTTTTGTTCTAAAAATGCATTTAAAGGGTTAATGTACATTATGCAAAGCCTGCATTGCACCCGACCTGTGTACTTTTGCATAGAAAACAGATTTGGACAGTTGCAGACATGACAATTTGTTTTGTTTGACTAATCAGGGTCGAGCTGTTTGTTCAGTATGACAATTAACACATGCAAGAAATTGGTTTTTAAATCGGTTTTGTGGCACAGTATGAAAAATTCACAGCATGTAAATGTACCAAGGTTTTTTTAATACATGAAGTTTGTTAGTGCAGAACGTTTTGATGTAGTTTGAGCAAAATCAATATTTGATTTTTTATATTTTTTTTGTGCATGTGTTACTTGGCCCAGTAAGTTTCAAATGCTAACATGTAGATAACAAATCTAAATGTTGATTTAAGAATATCTCAAAACATAGAAATAAAGTGCTTTTTAAAGAGACATTACAATTTAAGAACTTAATTTACTCTCCCCCCCAACCCCTTCCTTTAAAAATGTTTTTTTACTATTTTTGTAATTCATAAAGGGATGTTGTTGATTGTACTGGTTTCGGTATGCACAAGACTTTTGTCATGCTTTGTTATGCTGTATCAACAAGTATTGCTTTTGTATTTTGTATTTGATTGATGGTGTTTTGAAGAATTTATTTTAAAATTGGCAGATTTAAGAGGGGGGGGGAGCTAAAAACAGTCATTGCCGTACCGCCTGATCCAACTTTTGTCCGACACATAGCATGTTTTGCTCGACACATAGCATGTTTTGCTCGACACATAGCATTTTTTGTTCGACACACAGTATATTTATATCCTGATGTGCATTACATGAAAAGTATGTAGAATTCATATGCCGTTGAAATAAAATCAACTAATTGATCAAGGGAAATTCTTGAGGGAACTGCTTTGATGAGTTTATTGATTCCCCCACCTTATATATGAATATAGCATACTGATATGCATCACTTTTCATGTACTGCTCACCAGCATGAATACATTATTAGAGCCCAGTAAAACATGGTGGATATTGCATCACTACACACCGTGCCACCCTCTTTACCTCTGTTTACTTCAAGACCGAGGGTTGAGCACCTAACCCTCATGGACATTGCAGCTTATGTGGACTATAATTCCCATCATTCTCAGCAAGATGTGAATGATGGACGTAAACATGTGTACTCTCTTCCTCATAAGTTCCCCATACCCCAGGTAAACCCTAACTTTAGTAAATAGAAACATGAAACTATGAGGCTTTAATGGCTCTGCAAGAAACAAGCACATACTCTAGCACGATTAAATCCATCCAATGCTGTGACAAATTACTTGCCACAACACATATTATGGTTATATTCCTTTAAGAAGGTTTGGTGGCTGCAACTCCAGCGGAAATGGTTCAATTTTTTTGTCTCTTGAACTACAGGAATTAAAAGAGCTTTGTGTTTCTATTACAGAAATTTATGAAGTGTGTGTCCTGTAACAGGAGGCTGACATATATTATGCCTCCTGCACAAACTGTTTTGATTGCTACCTAAATTAGCATGCTGTGAGCAGAGGAGGCTTAATATACACAGAAAAAGCACGCATCTAATATTGTACGGCAAACTCGGCGCTTGATACCTGCTATTTCATGATCTGTCTCTGTGCTGATTCAGCGATTCACTGTCTTGGTTACAAATGAAAAAAGTTTAATTTGAATTAGGGCTTGATGGTACGAAAAGGGGTAGCTCATGTATCTGTTTAAAAGGAACGGTAAGTGTCTGAGGAAGAAAACAGATGTAGCTCTAACATTTATAACCACCTTCACGTAAAGTTAGCCAATCAGTAGCTCCCTACTCACAATATAGCTTGAGAAATGTACGTATGTTTCTCAAGTAATTTTGTGAATTTTGAGCTACTGATTGGCTTAGAGTGTCAACTCATCATTCTAAGCCAATCAGCAGCACCCCTGCTTGCGACAGTCCATGGCTTCCATTTTGAACATTTTCAGAAAGCAGATGTTGGAGGGCACAGAGGAAAATGGCTTTTGAGGAGACATTGGGGTAAATTGTTCGTAAACGATTTAATGCCTAAAGGTGCACCAGTAACAGGGCCCTCCTGGCACCGTTAAGTTAATTTCGATGAAGTTGTTATGGTGCCCATAGTGTTCATTTAAATTACCTGTCTGTTAGTCCACCCATAGTACAGCGCTACTGAATTTGCTGGCGCTATATAAATAATAAAACAATAATAATAATAACTGGTAGAACTTGGGAGCAGCCATTTTGCCATCTCCTCTGTCCACGATGTCTGCAGGTTCCCTTCCGTGGGATTGATGTCACTAATGGATTGTGGATAAATGTGATTGGCAACTGAAACACATCCTTACTTTAAGCCCCGCCCATTGTCAAGTTTTGTCAGCCTGATTGCTATATATGAGTAAAAGTAGTCCTTACATTTATTTATGTAGTTAATGAAAACTAGAGCCCTCAGGGAATAAATAAAAGGAGATTCAGACGCAGGGAGTTGTGTAGAAACATTAGATAAAGTTTATTTTTGGTGACAGAACAATAATGCATATTACACCTAACTAACCAGGGCTGATCTAACATTTTAGCCACAAATTATCACCAAACAGTACATATTTTTTAACGTGTGTACTGACAGGTGTTGTTGAACAGAAATCAGTGTATTCATATCTCTTTATCCACATATGAATTGGTGTTTTGCTTTTTTGTTTTGTTTTATTTATTTTTGTTACATATACAATCCTCATTTTACATGAACAGTTTGCACAATCCTGTTGTAATCTGGTAACCACCATCAGACTGTTTTAGATTCATAGAGTTATGGTCTGAGGAGTAGAGTGTGACGGCGCAAAAAAGATTAGCCCTGGTCCCGTGCGGTGAATTAATTACAACCCAACTCTGAGTGTGTGAACATAGGGGCAAGAAATCTTTCTGTATTCCAGAATCTCTGCGTCCCATAAAGACAGAGAGAGATTAGGCTGCACTGCACAGGAATTGATTTATCGTGAATTTATTGCTTGGTTCTGGAAGCTAAACTGCGTCACAGAGGCGGTGCGCTCTATAAAACCTTTTCATGCGAAGCTTAGACATAAATTGGGACAGAGTGCATGGCAGGCCAGGAGCAAACTTCTGGGATTTTGCTGCTTTATCGGAATGGAGAAATGGAAACAACATAAAGATTAGAAAATGGACCTGTCACTTTCCGAAATTCCCTTTACAGCTCTGTATATATAATAAACCTTTGTAATTGTGTTTACTGTTTAAAATAACCAGTATTTGCATTAAATAACTATCTTTTGTGATAGAGCAGGTTGCGATATAAAGTCATTTTGATTTGTTTTGCATGATGCCAGAATTGCAGATGTTAAAAAATAAAATTAAAAAAAAAGCCACAAAAAACAACTCCTTAGCTCCACCCACTCGACAAAACCCCAGCTCCGTAGCTCCACCCACTCTGCTCCTTAGCCCCACCCACTCATCTTTTTCTTTTCAGCTGAAGGAGACAGCATAAAAGGTATCAGACAGCTGTACGTTTTCTTATCAACACCTGCTGGAACGAGGGAAGAAAAGGCTTCAGTAGCACATAGAGGTCTTTCATATATTTATTGAAGGAAATAATTAAAGCCATTGCTTAGTGGCTTATATTAACTAACTGAATAGATTTATTCATGTTTTTTTCGTTAATGAAACTACTTGCATACATACATAAGTACAGCTGATAGGATCCTTTATGGAAGCTATAAATAGTATACATTATTTATTTGTATATAATATACGGGGAAGGATGAATATAAATAATTATAGATCATTTTCAGTTTTAACAGTTTGTGTAAGGCAAGATCTGCTCTGGGACATGGAAATCTGTGATTCCCCCATGTCATAAATTGGGTGGATGGAAATTAATCACAGGTGAGTTTAGGCAATTGCACTGAACTATAGAAAAAAATGAAATGAAATAAACAGAGCTCCTTGCAGTGTGAACTGAGTAAGCAACATAAATTGTTATGGTGTTTGTCATGATCCCTTTAATCAATTATGCAAATTTCCCTTCCATGAAATGCATAGGTAGAATAAGTCCTTCACTTTTAAATTGAATATCTGTAAAACAAGTCCATTGATTGAAAAGAATAAAACACAGACTGCATATTTAATAAATATATATTTTAATAAGGAGGCTAGAATGTAATAGATGTACTTTAGCTACATATTACCAAAGGTCAATCACATAATCCAGGGAATAAGTCCCATGTTCAGTAATTCTATACTTTGATGTGATTCCATTCTAGAGCTGAACCACAATAAGCAAAATGTGTCTATGAACAATGACAGGTGTATTCGTCTACACATAAAATCTAGAAAAAGGTGATCACAGTTCAGAAGGCCAAGGAGTTTGCTCCAAATGTGTATTCTCTTTTTTATTAATTCCAACCAGAGCAATTATTTCAAAAGGTATTGTAAGTTATGTATAAAGATTTTGGAGCAATTTCCATAACAAATTCTCCACGTTAAAATGTTTTCTCTAAAATTTATATAAAGCTCCAGTGTTGGCCTATGCACAGATATGGTGCTGTCAGTCTGTCTGTCTGTATATCTATCTATCTTATTATACATATTTTATTCTAAGTAAAACATTAGAAAAAGTCAAACACAGCTGCTCTGAAAGAGCGTGTTTCCACAAGTCTCCCAGCATGCCATGCTGAATATGCAGATTAGTGCAGACAGGTTGAATAGTTGTTTTTTTTCAATTTCCAGACCCACATTTCGGCAGACTCCCTAAGCAGTGACACACTGATTTTAAACACCGCTTTCAAAGTACTTCAGGAGTTATGATTCAAATGGGCCAAAGACTAGCCATTGATTGAATGTTCTTTTAAGATCTCATCAGTGTGATGTGGCTCAGGCCCTGGCAGCACATATCTCAGCTTTCCTAAATATGGGTTAGAAATCAAAAGGTGATAGCTGTCTGTGCCTATTTGCATATTCACCATGGCATTGTGGGATCAGAGCTGCTGTATCTGAGGCATCATTTTTCTTGAGGTTTGACTTGAGATGTGTATATCATGCACAACAGTAATTTTAGAATTAAAAATCAGATGGGATTTTCTGTAGTTTTTCTAATTTACTACAGCTTTAACAGCTTTTTACACTATAGACACCAGAACCACTACAGCTTAATGTAGTGATTCTTGGGCATAGATACTATCCCTGCAGGCAGAGCATAGTAAATGCTGCCTTTCCTTAAAAAAAGGCTGTGTTTACATTGCTGTCTAAGTCCACCTCTAGTGGCTGTCACTTGAACAGCCACTAAAGGGACTTCCTGGGTTCTGTCCTGTAAAGATTGTAAGACCAACATTAAGCTTCTCCACACGCTGGAGACGCTGAACTCTTTCCATAGTAATACATTGAGTCAATACATCTCTATTAGGAGATACTGAGTGGCTCAGTGTGGTGATTTGATCTGCATGCGAACTAGCCTCCCATTACTCCCCTATGGGGAAGCCTTGGACTGGCTGAGGTCATTAGGATTGATTATCTCATGCGGCGTGGCAACATGTAGACAGACACGCTAGGGAAAATAAGGTAATCAATGCTTACAGGTGGCCTGCTAATCTAAATACCGAGTGGAACACTTTAGTGTTAAGAATATATGTTTGAATAACTAACAATATACTATTCCTTTAATAATACACAAAGGCACATATATACAAACACCCACACACACATTTGCTTTAACATCACATTTTTTATTGGTATTTTGGAAGTATTTTGCAGTCTGATGAGCAATGTGAACAAGAGTAATTATTAATAATGTGTTAAATGCAGACAGAAGATTGTTTAATGTTTCCTGATTCTAATAGTCAGAAAATGTGTTAAAAAAGGCGCTTTCTGTGATGGCTTATTTCACAGACAGATGAATAATACACACAAATCAATCTAAATGTTGTATTAATCCCTATGAAATAAGTATAGCAGTTAGTCTTGTCACAGTCAATGAGAAGTCAATGTGACTTTTCATTTGAATCAGCCCCTTGCAGGCCCGAGGAGAGAGAAGTTCCTAAAATAGCCCAAATGGAAACGTTTTCTAAGACCGCTATTTCACAGCTTGGCCTTTATGTCATAACACTTTAAATGTGACAGTTCTCAGTTTAGTGAATATACCCTGTAAATTAACCTGAGAATCCGGCTACACCCTAAATATCAGAAAGTAATGTTATTTGGCAGCGAGCGTCACTCGTCTCTTCTTAATTCCACAATTCTTGGCTCAACTCTTAGTGAATAGCATGAAACTGCTGCCAAAATCCTCCTGCCAGACTGTGACAAAGGTGTCACGTCCAATTTTATAGCCAATATTGCCAGACCTTCAAAAATCTATCCCAGAGTGCCCAGATTTAACGCACACCTCACGTTCAATATTGTCCTGCAATGTTTTGGCTTCAGTTATGTTTACTCTGCAGCAGCCTGTTCCTTCGTATTACTGGGCTGGTCCACACTGCACAGTCAGACCTTGTCACCGCGAACTTTAACACACTACGCCAAGCCGTTTATGATGGCTCGAATTAACCCTTCATCCTAGGTAGAGGAAGGAGTTAAAAAGTAACATGTGATTTGATAGTGTTCAAGGAACACATTCAGGATATTGATTTAGTCAACAAGAGACAGTTTTGTGGGTTTAGATATAAAGGTATATTTATTTATTTAGTGCCTCTTTCCCCCAGAGAGGCCTGTAAAGCACTTGGCATATGCTCTCAGGCATAACCATATCTGATGATAGATATTATTTTTAGCTTTTCAAATTGTATTTATTGCATCTGCCCCTGTTTCTTTGTGAAAAGACGCAAATACTTGCCACTATATTTTTTTCAATATTTGTGAAAAAAAATGTAACGTTTTCCACAGTGCTTCAATGTTTCCCAAATAATTTGTTTTTATGAATGTTCCATTGTTGCCACTGTTACTATGTCCACATTTATTTATTTTTACTTACTGGCTTTAAATGTTTTGTTATGGGTCACAGGCGAGAGATCAAGTTCAGCCATCTCCAAAATATATTTATAAAAGTATATTCATGAAAGTGACATTGCTTCATTACCTCACCCTAATACACACTACTAAAGCATTTACCGGGATGAATAGTGTAACTGAGATAAGTTTAAAAAAACTTACTTCTGTAGCACTTCTGTGTGCATTGTGATGTCATCACACCATGATGCTCTGGGTGTGCTCGGGCCTACCCCTTAAGGACCAAACTTCTGGAATAAAAGGGAATCATGACATGTCACACATGTCATGTGTCCTTAAGGGGTTAAAGAGAAATGATGCATGAGCACATGATCACAGTTAATTTACATTATAGGCATAAAATATAAGTCAAAATACGAAAGCAACTTTTTTTTTTTTTTTAAGCGCATCCACAGCTAACTTTTTGGTAGCTACTGTGCTGGCCAAGCATTAATGCATCACTTTGCTATAATAAACTCCAGAGTTGGAGTATTTCTCCTCCCCCCACCACCCCCATGGAGGTCAGCTTACCCCATTTATTTCAGTTAATTCTACTCTTGAATCATGTATAAAACAAGACAAAGGATCACTTTGCTGTAACAAATCTAACAAATGGTTTTATAGAACAAGGAGTCTGAAAAAACACACACATATTTTATATATCTACACTTTTTTTTATTTTTTATTAATTTTTATGACCTCACTCACTAGCACTGACTTATTTTATGCGTTGGATCATGACAGTCGTCCACTGTCCCATGGTTTTAGCATGTGTGTGTGTTTTTTTTTTTACATTTTATTTTTGCCTTACTGCCAAGTGGCTATTTTTAGAGAACTGTGAAACTTTAGCAGACCCTTCTATACATGTAGAGCTGATGTGCAATGCAGAGCATTGTCACTACCGAGAACACTGTAAAGTTTGCCACCCAGAGCATATAGATTAGAGAGAGCAGCACATTCTAAACATGCAGAGCATTCAATGCTTTCATGTTACAGAGCAAACTGTGTAGAGGTTACAGAGCAGCACATTTACAGAAAAAATTTGTAGCGTGCTGAGCATTCACAGTAGAAGATGAGTGGCATTCTTAGCAGAGCATGCGTAGCATAGCATTCAGTTCAGGCCGTGCAGCAGTGCTAGTGTGGAGGATTAAGGAATCCCCATATATTGTTTCTAAAATTCCTTTGAGTTCCATTTACTGAAGTGTTAATTTCAATTTATTTTTTCCCAACTATGAATTATTATTAACTTTCTTTACCATGCAAAAAGCAATGTCGCCCACACTGCACCCATAAATGCCTAAAATTCTCTCTAAATAGGGGGTTTAACATGAGACAAATTCTGATGCATTCCATATAGTCATCCCATTCACTAAAGGGAGACTTTAAAGTGAATTTCACCTTTAAGGTCAAAATAGCTGAACCGGGAACATTCTTCAGTTCAGCAATGCTTTCATTTTGACTACTTCGGCCTTAAACGGTTACTCCAACCACCATGATCACTTCAGTGATTTGAAGTGGTCATGGTGAAAGTAGTTAGTATGTGCAGTGTTTCCGCTTGAAACACTGCACATACTGAGATATTTGTAATTGTAGAACATAAAGTGAACCAATCCATAAACAGATACTCCAAGCACCATAGTATTTTTTTCCTTGTATAAATATTGATGTAAAAGGTGCTTTTGTGATTGGCTCTCTGCTTTAGATTCATTATAGCTGCAGTGATTTGAGAAATCGCATATAGTTATCTGCCTTACAGGTTCCCAAGTTGGCTGAGGATAACGGGAGTTGTAGCTCAATATCACCTAATCACTTCCCCTTTGACTTCACCAAGGTTTATGCTGCCTGCTGTGATACATTTATGCGTTGGCGCAGAATTTCTCCAGAATTGAGATAGGCAAATGGGCCATTGTTGGCGTTAGTATTTTAGTGTTATTACTTTTTTTTGGTCTAGTGGGAAGTAATGATTTTGCGGTACAATGCATTAAACTGATGTCAACATTTTTGATAGAAAGGTTGTAAATAAATGGGTTAAAATTCATATGCTGGGTGTACTGTACTATATCATATTAACACAATAGTGTGATATAATTAAGCTTGTATGCTCTTGGGCAAGTTAATAAGAGCAATACAGTATTCCGTAATAGATCTTAAGGGAACACACCAAGCACCATAACCACTACAGTGCACTGTAATGGTTATGGTGTTAGAGTGATACTTTAACTGGTTAGCATAGCACTAGAGTGTATTCCTTTGCTAGAGTTTTACAGATTATTATGCGCTTCATTTTATAAAAAGCTCAGGCAGCTAAAATGTAGCCCACAAACCTCTGCAGTACCAACGTTAGCCATCGCTGCTCTGTAATATACATTGTAATGCAGATGGTAGATATAAATGAATATTTGAAATATTTTTTTTTTAACCTTTACTCATAAATCCTCATCGCAATTTTGGATTTTTTATTTTTACTTCTTTCATTATGGCAAACCTGGGATTAGCAACCCTCCCGCAATCTGATTTATGAAATGTAAAAATAAAAACCGTTGATGAGATGTTCCATGGGTGAGTGCTTTCACTATATTATGACTGCAGTATACCTTTCTAAGTGGGCTTTTTGATTTAATGAAGAATAGTCCAACCCCTGCCCGGAGACTAAAAATTCTGGAAGTGCAGTGACATTTAGAAGAATAGAATTAACATTTTTTTTTTTTTTTCTTAGGGAATTACCAACGGGTTTTTATTTCTGCAGTAATGCCCGTCCGAGCAGAAAATACGGTCGCAGTGATGATTTCAAATTGGCTGCAGCTTAGACTAATTGGCCAAGGTGCCTTTCAGCTCTTGAGAAGAAAGGAAGTTTTAATGGGATTGTATAAGTTTGGTCGTAGAACCAGTTCTGTTTTCTTGCACACATTTTTGTAATTCACACTCATTTCAATGAGAGAAGCACATGTTATAATACTCGGTAATGGCCAGGCTGGCCAGGTACAGGTCAAGGGCTGGGACTGCAGTGGCTGCTGTGGGCTAATCTCCTCCAGTGTGGAAGTCCCTGTTCACAAGTGCTGGTGGAGGAAGTGATGCAAACAGGAAATTGGAGACTGCCTTTTATAATAATCCTAGCCTCAGTGAGTGAGTGAGCATTAAACCATGCGTTTTCTATGGGCGAAATTATATATTATTACTTGGAAGTTTGTTCGAAGAAAGGGATAACCCAACTGTTCTTTTCTTGTGTTTTGTAAACAGTGAAAAGTTACACCAGGATTTTTGGTGGTGAATTCATCCCCGCCCCCGAGTTCCTACACCCATGTTCGGTTGGCATTAGCAGACATCTGAAGAAGTTCCACTGGGACCCATGTTAGGCCATCACTAGGGGGAGATCTTCAGATGTCCGCAGCCTGGTTCGATCTGCTAGCCTTGCATTCGGATCATAAGATGCCCCTCAAACAAATGCTACATATTTGGGCTAAATTTACATGAAAATACATTTCCTTAAACCTGAGGTACAATAATGCAACTGATGGAGAATCACGTCAAATAGTGCAGGAATACATAGGGAAAGGTGTAAAAATGCATCTGAAACATTAAAGTGTAAATTGCCACTTTTCTAGAAATTACACCATTGATTCAGTTATTGCTAAACTTTTTTTTTTTCATGTGATGCTCTGTTTTCTTTTCAAATATTTCTTAAATATTTAGCAAGTGACATCACAATCCAGTTGAGGCCAGGCAGAGCCAGGGCACAGTGCATATTAGAAACAGAACAGAGAGATTCTCCTCAATGTTTAATGAACGATTAGGACAACATTTTCAGCGGTAACTGACAGGGAGCCAAGATGGAGGCGAACATTCCCAGGATATATGTGTAAATTTCTACACTTAGGTTTATTGCTCAGACCTCACAAAACATATTTGTTAAATATAGAGGATAAGTAAGCAGAACATTAAATATTACTTCCCCTTTAAGAGAAACACATTCAGATTTTCTTGCTATAAATGGGCAATAGAGGAATTGGTACACTTGTATAAATGTGCCATGGGAGACCCAGAATTCACTTAATTTTTCTTTTTTATCTACATACTGCATTATTAATTGGTGGTAAAATTACTCTGGAGTGTCTCTTTAACCTTTTAGCTGCCTCAGTCAAGTAACAAATTGTCTGGCTGTTTGTGGCAGACTCATCTGGGACCCCGGTTCTTAAAATGCTCACTGAGAGAGTAGATAATTATTCTGCAGTCCTTGTCGCATGCTATCATACTAATAAGCCCATATTTGTAACCTTATTGTAGACTGGATCAACATACATACGAGAACAGAGTTCTTGATAGAATACTTAACCTCTTGTGTGCCAGAGGTTTGCACACCATATTGCAAAGCAGTTGCTTTGTACTTCCCTATGGTATCTAAAGAGTTACAGAGCTTTCAAAATGAAAATTCTACAGACAGAGACAAACAGTACAAAGACTTTACATGGAAAGTAAGGCTCTCTCTATAAATTGGATGGAGGGAGGTCAGCAGAACATTTTGCACTTGAGAGCCATTTATTACCAGTTATGCCCTGCCTGGGGATGTTAAAGTTAGTATAATGCTTGTATTTTACCTCAATGTGACACCTAGTAAAGAGGACAGAATGCAGCTTTGTGTACCTGTCACTTTGGCTGTCTCGACTCCTGAAATGATGGAACACCGTAGTTCTTGCTACTGCCTGCATCCACTGGGGCCCTCCGCTGATCTGTTCAAAGTGCCGGCTTCTACCCCGTGAAGGATTCATTCATTACATCTGACTCCTGGATGTAGACGTCTGCTGGATGGAGCTGAGCTGGACCAATTAATCCGTTTTCTTTGTGTGTCCTCGTTCGGTTTAAAGTAAAGGCTCACAGGCAGAAATGCATACTCTGCCTTATCACTTCGCTTAGTGAATTCAAAGATACTACATTACAAATCTGTATGGAACAGACAGTTCTAAATAAACTCCAGAGGTGTTGGCAGGGAAGATGAATAGCTGAAAGCTCACAAATTATTCCCCAAATAACCCCAAATGGACAAAACGCAAGCAAGTCAGCACGGCATGACAAGGCCAGCTGATTAAATATGGTCTCCTTACAGACATTAAAACAAAAGAAAATGTTCAACTACGTATTTATATACACATATGCAGTATATTTTTTTTATTTTAATGTGCTATATTAGTCCTATACAAGGTCTATACCAGGGGTAGACATTCTTTGGCACTCCAGATGTTGTAGACTACATCTCCCAATATGCTCTTATAGCCATAGGGCTGGCAAAGCATCATGGGAGATGTAGTCCAAAACAAGTGCCAAATGGTGCCCATCTCTGTCCTAAACAGAGCAGATTCCTCCATAGGAAGGGCTACTTTATACCTCCCATCACCACCAGTGGGTAGAAAAGTAAGAGATATATTACAATCTAATGACTCAAAAACAAAATGCATGACACATTTGTTACCAAAGTACCAATCCACATTTCACAAACCATTTAACTGTCAGCAATGCTGTCAAAATGTGCAAATGTCATATCCCTGGTGATATTATTGTGATGGCAATTCTGTGCCATTTAGTTAAATCACTTTGTTTATACCCTAGGCACACCTTCTTTCACGTGACTTACACAGTCTTCCTAAACACTTCCTGTAAAGAGTTATCTAATGTTCACACTTCCTTTATTGCAAATTCTATTTACTTTAGAATTTATCACCATTATAATAAAACATGTTAATAAAAAGTACTGGAGTTGTGGGACTGTGGTTGCATCAACATAGTTAATGGCCTATCGGCAGCCATTATCGCGTTAATTACTATGGTCTCGATTTAATATTCTTCTATAAGCATCCCAAATAATGTTCTACTTCTGAATAAACTTTTAAAATATTTTTTTTCACCATATTAACATTTAAAAAATATATATCATACATTAAAAATATCTAAATATTAAAAAAATTTCAATATTTTTCATAACATTCAATCATTTTAAAAGTTTATCCAAAAATAAGAACTAATTTGGAAAGCTTATCGAACAATATTAAATAAAGGCCTTTATCAGATTTTATCAAAGCGCTGCAGAACCTGTTGGCGCTATATACATAGCAATAATAATAATAATTAATATGAAATAGGAAACATGGTCCACGGGAAGAAGAACTTAAGAAATTGCTTACTCCTGATATGAGGATGTCTTTGAAATAGATAAGCTCTCAGCAAAGGTGACCTAATACCTAAAATTCCCTAAACTGTCTGTGCCGGAGTATACCTCATTAGACGACAGTCATATTGCGAATTTCATTAGTTTAGGCTCAATAATGAGGGTCCCTGGATATAGGAGTCAGCGATTTGTTGCCTTTTTCAGGTGCTATTTGCAGCAAATGTAAACCTCAGCAATAAGAAAGCTTCAAAATGCAGAATGGAAAATTAACTGGCTTAAGATCCAGATTGCATTTTTTTAACTCTTGGCGAGTGAAAATTGAGCCAAGGCAATTGAAAACTCAACCCTTGCAAGTGGGCTATAGATCCTCTCTGCCTTTGAGGATCATGTTTTAAACGGCTGTTTAAAAGAAACAGTTAGCAATGGCTACATGGCTGATATCTGCTTTAATCAACAGTGGCATTAAACAATACATTGTGCGTCATTGGCGGTTTAAATCTCTGTAGAAATTGTAGAAATCTACCCATCATCCACTATCTCACACCCACATCAGGTATTGTGTGTTTGAAATGCAGAACAAGCAACTTGTTTCTCCCAGAAAAGTGATCAGATTTCCAAGGGGGAGAGATCACAAATAAGTTCCTCTTTATTCCTCATAAAGGTAGATGCACAGGGACACTTGAAAAATAGAAAAATATTATCACCGCAAATTTCACAACAATTTGATCCTGTAACTTATATGTGATTAACTTTTCAATGAAAGGTCATGTAGTAGAAGGTTTGTGGTGGCGAATAACTTTAAGCCATCACCAATAGCACAGGATTTGGCATGTCGAGCCTTGAGTGGATTGTGATGGTGGGTGGTACTTTTCTGTGTCAATCAGAAAAAACATTTAGATATTATCCATCATATGTGACTTGGCTGTAGGCTCCATTGTGATCTAAAACAATTGACCAGTTGCTATTCTTCGCCCAGGTCCTGTCTGGCCACTCCACAGAAAGGAACCAGCAGATTTGTATGGCAAATAGTCATTTGATTGTTACAATCACACATTGACACATGTATAGAAATTAAGTAGCCATTGTTACTTTTGTTTAATATGTTTGCAAGATAGCTTTTGAAGACTGCAGGGTGCATGTGTTTTGTAAGACCATACTGGCGGAGAGTATAATGAAGCCCAATTTGCTAGTGATTGATTAATGCACCATTCCCGATTGATTACACCTTGGAATGTAGGGTGATTCTAAGTCTTATCTTCAACAAACTATAGCTCTTCTGGAACACATAGAGTTGCAATGCTATAGGTTTGTACCTTACCCTGGTTTGTATGTAGAGAGCACTATTTAAAGGGACAGTAAAGCCCTTTCAATTTTAAGCTGTGGACATTGTTTCCGAGTGGAATTACTGCCAGTGTACTTAATACACAGCTTTTGGTGAAATCACAGATTCACTTGGTGTATCACATATGTTGCTGTTTTTACATGCATGTGCTTTACTGTGTATACATGGGCAATACACCCTAATGCATGCAAGAGCAGTGGTTGCTACATAACTGCTTTAGAACCAGAAAACCCATATTCGAATCTCCACTAGACCACCTCGCCAATAAATGCCATTTCGCAAGACACCTAACAATATTTTTCTGCCTCATAGACTGTAAGCTCGTTTTAGCAAAGCCTTCTTCATCTTTAAATCTACATTTTTTCTAACTAAAAAGCTAAATATGCTGGCACTATATAAACGCCATTAATAGAGGTATAAAACCAGTTGGCATCGTGTCTGTGCATCATGAGAGTTTGTTGTTGAAGGAGAGAGGGGCCACGTGACATTTCTTTGTTCATTATTTTTAAGGTATATGTAGTTTTTTCATTAAAATGGACACTCTGGGCACCAATACTAGCTTAATACATTTAATAGGTTTTGGCCTCATTAATATGCAATATGTTTGCATATTTAGATAAATGTTTTTCAGAATGCAGCACTATAAGCCTGCCTCTTTAGCCACACCCCCTCATGCCAGAAAGAGACTTCCTTATAAAATGTATGTACACAGCTCACTCACTGGCAGTACTGAATGATCTGAATAACAAAGGCAGTCAGGCATTAGAAGGAGAGGCCACACATGGAGGCATGTAGTATGACTATCACTACTTTTTTGCAGTTTCTCTGACTGTCTGCAACCTGGTTGTGAATGAAAAACAAATCATTCAGTGCTGTCAGTGGCTGAGCTGTGTGCATACCTTTGATAAGGAAGTCTTTCAGACATGGCGGGTAAGGCTAAGGAAGTAGGCTTATGGTGCAACATTCTGCAAAACATTTATTTATTTTGTGCAAAAACTATAAAGAATTGAACATACAAAAATACAGCATTTTTATGAGGCCAAAACGAAAGTGGCATTAGTGCCTGGTGTGTCCCTTTAAATAAACCTATTTTGCCTTGACTGTTCCTTTAATGCTAAACTAGGTCCGCCCCAAGAGCTACAGAGCAACTGGTTTCTACCTTTTTTGAGCATTTTATAAAATACTCTTAAGTGGTGTATATATACTCATTTGCATACCAATAACCAGAATCCTTATCAGCAGTACTATCACTTCACTACAAGAAGCATATTGCTAATTGACAATAGGACTGTCATATCAGCTTTTTAATTACAGAGCCATATAAAGTTAGCCTTACTGATAATAGACATCTAATATGTCATCCTCACCTGTCACAACAGTCGACAAAGTGAAGGTTGTGGGTGCCCAAAAGATTTATTTAATCTGCTGTGCAACTACAAAGCATTGTGAGAGTTGTTAAACTCTCTAACTCTCTCTCTCTCTCTCTCTTTATTTATATTGCAGCCCATTTGTGAATAGAACACGCCACATTAAAACTAGATTTCTAATTATTAGTTCCAGGTGTACATGTAATTCCCAGTGTTTCCTCAGTGTCAATATTTATCTATAATCCTGGGAGCAGTAAATATTTATTGTGACCTCACGGCTGTCTTGTCTCACTACATGGGAACATCAGCAATTATACCAATTAGCATATTCAGAGTAAGGCAGATGTACAGGTGTCACAATGTGTTTATGCTTTAAACCCTTTAACGCTAAGAAGCACTACATCCGTTTATAAAATGTTGTTTTTGTTTTTTTTAAACTAAAACTTTTTTTAAAAAAAATCTTTTTTTCTTTCCAGTTTATAGAAAATAAAAACATATATTGTAAAAAATATAATGGAATTAAATAAGAGTTAAAAGAGCAGTTCTGGAACAGAATTCTACAAAGTGGATCAAATATCCTGAATATTCCATTTGTCACATGGTGATACAAAATCGCTAAATCTTGAAAGCATGGTGTGCCCAAAATGTAGATCCCTAGATGTTGTAGAATTGCAGATCCCATGATGCTTTGCATGTCTTTGGAATGCCTTTATAATGGCAAAGCATCATGGAAGCTGTAGTTTTAAAACATCTGGGCACCCCTGCTCTAAAGGCATTGCAGATTGTTTAATTCTTTAAGAATGTGACATCATGGAAGCTTGTATTTATTTCTGTGTCAGTTTATTTTCTCATACCTCAAGTGACAAAGAAATGATTGTCAGCTTATTAGACCTGTTTTTTTTTGTGCTTGTAAAATACTGTTTGTAGTGCTTAGTAAACAATATTATTTCTGGCAAAATATACTATGTGACAGCAGAGTTTTATACCCATACAGTGTGAAAGGCATTTAGTAAATTCAATGCTCAATCTGTACCAATGCAGAGTCTAGCTTGTACATTCTATCGAGCAGGGAGGTATTTACTGTTGGGAGACTGTTGATGTTACTTATTTAAAAATATAAGTGAGTTTATCAAAGAATCATTGTATCATAGTAATATTGATAACAAATGCAAGTGCCGTGCAAAGCTTTGAAATGTGTTAATTTGACATTTGAAATGCACAGGAGTGGGGTGAAGTTTGACAGTATATTCTGTCGGAGAAGCTGATTGGCTGAGCCCTGGGGGGATACTTGGAAATGAAAATAGTTTGTTTTGGTATATGAATAACTGCCCTTATACACTCTCTCTAGGTTCAAGTTCATTCCCTCCCCTTCCCTAAACCTTCTCGAGAAATGAGCAGCTAAATCACGGAAACCTTTTGCACCGTCTCTTTAGAATTCAGGCAGCCATTTTTACGCTTAAAAAGCAAGTAAACAAAGAATGCTGAAAATCCCTGAAGTGTTGCAGCGTAAAATAAAAAGGCAGCCGATTATGGTAGCTTGAGAGAGCAGAATTCGATTCAAAGATTTTGTTGTGTGGAATCTCACTGTCCTTGTACGTTTACAAATCTGCATTTGATGAAAAATGTATTTAGCTTGGGATGTAATCGGCGAGTCCTTTGCCTGTAGAATTTGACACTTTGTATATTGGCGACATCTTTCTTCTTCTAACCTTCTGTAAGCTATGTGTTTAGCCCGACCTCTCTCTCGCTGTATTTTTTTTTTTCACTATCCTGCGTTCTCAGTTAACGCATCCTTGATATCAATGTTGCCATAAGCATTTGCATTTATATAGGGTGCTATCTGCACCTTCGCCAAACGGTTGTGCGATCATAACAGTATTGAAGCCCGCTTGGAGAGGATGGCTCCCGACCTGATTAATAGGTGACAGCTCCAGGAAGAGAAATTATATTTGTTGGCGTAACCACATCAGGAACAGGGCTGTGGGGGAGAGATGGAGGAGGAGGTCACAGCAGATTGAGCCCTATAATAATCATCATTCTTTCTCATATACTGCTGGCTTCAAAGGTCCTTGTCACGGCCACCTAGATAGTACTGGAATAATCAGCATTATTATGCAGCGTGGCTGCAATATACACGCGAAGCTAAGGGTGAAGAGGAAATTCAGGAGCACCGTTCAGCATAATCAATTTCGGGAGGCTTGAAGTGTAGGATCATAAAGGGTTATTAGTTACCCAAGAAAATGTAGAGTGGGCTCCCAGGTTTCAGGGCAAGATAACTATCCCTGTATAAACGACACTATAAATTTCTCCAGCGCTGCTAGCTTCGTATGGCTTTTTAGAACTGGCCAATGAAGGTACTAATGCATCCAGAATCCAAACAACACGGTAATACTATCGTTTATCTATAAAGCAACAGCATAGCCTGCAGTTCTTTGTTGTCTTGCTCAGAACTGTTTTTTTTCCCTGTCTCAATAGTCCGCACTATGTTCGTATGGATATCCACTAAAACAAAGTCTTCTCTGTTAAAACCAGGGGGATGACCAGCTAAGAATAATATTTTTAGGTGTCAGACTTCAATTTTAGCGGAGAGACAACTTCCACAGATTTCTGTAGAGCATGACTCTTGTGATGCTTAGCCATATTCGGGACACCTACCTTATTTTAGCCGTTGTATAAGAAATGTGCATGAGGCAGTGCGCATACTATTAGAGAACTCTATTTGCAAAATATCCTATTTTTGGCTGGCTGAGCGTATTGCAGTGGTAGTTCATAGCAGCTGAGGTAATGGGTTGTTTAGAGATTTTAGTCCAGTAGTGATTCCTTTTGAAAATTGTATACATTTTAGAGCTTCACTGTAAGGTAGTAACAGCTTTTCAGCCAGGGCAGGTATACTCAAATCCCAATTTTTCAAATATAGTACACACAAGGTTGGGCATGCATGCAGCGAACACACTTATATTTTTAAAGGGGCATATTCTCTAAACTGGGGAATGTGAAGATTTGGCAAGACAATCCAAATTTTAGGCCAAATAGAGCAACTAAAATTAGGATTTTTCTAATTTAGTTTTTTTTTTTCAGGTCTGAAAGTTACAATTCCTTTTCCAGTTCTCCACAATTACCAGTTTAGGGAATAAACTCCAAAGTAAGACATATAGAGAGAAGTGAGTGACACATTGACCATCTAATAGAAGATATTCTCAGACGTATGCTCAGGTACATAGTCACTATATCTGGCAAGGCATTCCTTTGTGCTTCACATGCTTGTATGTATCAGATAGTTTTTTGTGTGTAAATGCCTGATACAGTCATATTGAATATTAAGAAACCATATGTACTGTGCAATGATGGATTATTTTTCAAAGCAGGATTGTAGGGTAATGGGCAGCATTGAGACTTTAATTCACAGCATCCTCTTGTTATCTATCTATCTGTCTGTCCGTCCATCCACCCTCTCTCTCTGTCCATCCACCCCGTCTTTCTCTGTCTCTCTCTCTATCCATCCACCCCCCACCCCCTCTCTCTCTATCTCTCTATCTATCCAGCGGCATTACCTCCCCCCACCCCCCACTCTCTCTATCTATCTTGGTAAATGTAGATCACAAATCTCAGATGTGCCAATCAACCATTAGAAGTTGAGGACACTGGTTGCCAAACTACACAAAGTTGTGTTACAAGTGGTACAGTAACGTTGCCATATGATAATGTTTGATATGACTGTGTACCATGCCATGTTGATTTGCTATTTGAATCTTAGACTTAGCGTTCACACATGAAAACATATTTTATTTGGCCGTTCTTGCAGAGCGTTCCATTCCAGGGCTACCTTGTATGCTGTCTGATCAGCAATGCATTTCTGGATGTGCATCCAGGTTTGGCAGGACCAGAGTCCATGAGCTGTGACAGGCAATGAGATACTGCGGTCACCTGAGAGCCTGGGAGTCTCACTACTGTCATTAAAACCTGTATTCTGCCAGAGCTGCATGCAAAGCGGCCTCTACAATGGCTCTCTGGCCACTGAGAGTATTCGGCTTTAGTGGTATTAATTAAATCATTCTGATCCCTCATCACAGACATTTAGAATCAATTTAGACTTGCATTGTGATAAATGCATATAGTATGTTAAAGGAATAGTCATGCATAATGCTCTTCTTACTTAATAAATAAAAAACAGCTTCTCATTGATTTATATTATGTCTATTAATTTTTATGGGCTATATGAGGTTTCTGTAGGAACACTATAGAGTCAAGTTATGTGTCTATATTTCCGATGTCTGTATTCCATGTCATCTAAGAGAGAGGATGTAATTTTGGTTAAATTCAATTGGATGGGGTCAGTGGACTTTGCCTACGTGCCCTTTTAAGTAGCTTTTACTTCTATAAAGGAAACAAATATTAATTCAAAATGTATTGCTTCTTTAGTAATTCAATAATAAAATACAAATATGTATAAACAAACATCTTTTTAGAAATTCTTTATTTTTGGATCAATCCATAGACATGGGATAAAATAAAAGTAAGCATTGCTGTAAATGCAAGTAATGCGCAGAACTAAGGACATAGACATTGTTTGAATGCAGCAAAATATTCCATGGAATAAACACAATATACAACAATTGAGTTAGCTTAGCCATGGCGTACTCTGCCTTCCACATCCTAGGGAAAAACATGAGCATGGGACTTTAGCTCTGACCTCCCAGAATTCCAATAGGGTGGAATAAGATAATAGAACATATGTATGAAAAAACCCTAAAAATAAGAAACCAAAAGAAATTTGCAGTAGAGTAGACTGAGTGAGTAAAATATGCGGTATCTCTAGCCTAATGTGCGGACATACTGCAGAACCGAAGTACCATGAGGAGGGAATATTTGGTATTGAAACCAATCAGTCTGATAGAAAAACAAGCATCTTTTTTTTTATTTTTTTTTATTTATGCATATGTTCTGATCCCAGCACAGCTATTTGTAATTACTATGTTACTACTGATCACAGATTAAACTGCAGGGTTATTGGGAAGTGCCCAAGACATGTGTCCTATTGTACTATCCGAATAGTTTGTCTGAAAGGTGAGGCAGTAAGGAGGAAAGAATGCATCCTTTTAAAAAGCATCTGCACTACATGGCGTGATTAGAGATCTCTGAAGAACTGTTCCGTAGGTAGAGAACACTATTACAAAAGCTCATAATGTCTGCTTTCAAATAAGCCACACCTAAATGAACATAGGACTGGAATAGCATTAGACAAAGGGGCACAGGGAAGGTTTTTCGGTGTAGAGAAATTTCGTAAATAGTAAATCAAAAGCTTGCAAACTTTTCCCCTCTTTAGGTGTGAGCGTAACGAGGTAGAAATAATAAACCCTCTCATTGATTCTGCACTGCAACTTTTATCATTCTCAGCCATTCACGTGTCTGGACGCAGCTCCCATAATGCTCAGTTTGGCTTTGCATTATGGGAGCTCTAGTCCTCCAGCTGTGAACGGGACAGTTTGCTTAGCCTCATTGTAGTCAGGGCTGGATTAACATAGGGGCTGATGGAGTTGCAGCTCCAGGCTCAGGCCCATGGAATAGGCCCATTGATTTTAAAAAATAAAAAACATTTTTATTTTTTTTCACACACTACTCTTAGGGATTCCACCTGGCTTTTATTTTATTGGCACAGCCAGTATTTGAGGCTGCCTGGCTGGTGCCAATATTACAGTGATACTGGCAATACAAATGCTGGTATTTTTCTCAGTATAAACAAGAGATTACTGTGCAATACCAGCACTGGCCAGTAGGGGTCACTGTGTGTGGAGACAGGCAGGGATAGGAAGTTCCAGCATATCCCTCCCTGCCTATCTATACTCACTGATCTGCAGGGGTGCAGCTACAGAGTCCAGACAGCAACTCCCACCCTGCAGAGACAGCCTACAGCTCAGGGAAGTAAGGGATGGGGAAAGGCTGCAAGGAGACATACACTGAGACACTAAGGGGCATTGGGAGACATTATGGCAGACACTGAGACACTAAGGGACATTGGGAGACATTATGGCAGACACTGAGACACTGGGAGACATTATGGCAGACACTGAGACACTAAGGGACACTGGGAGACATTATGGCAGACACAGACACTAAGGGACATTGGGAGACATTATGGCAGACACTGAGACACTAAGGGACACTGGGAGACATTATGGCAGACACTGAGACACTAAGGGACACTGGGAGACATGGCAGACACTGGGACACTAAAGGACACTGGGAGACATTATGGCAGACACTGAGACACAAAGGGACACTGGGAGACATTATGGCAGACACTGGGACACTAAGGGACACTGGGAGACATTATGGCAGACACTGAGACACTAAGGGACACTGGGAGACATTATGGCAGACACTGAGACACTAAGGGACACTGGGAGACATTATGGCAGACACTGGGACACTAAGGGACACTGGGAGACATTATGGCAGACACTGAGACACTAAGGGACACTGGGAGACATTATGGCAGACACTGAGACACTAAGGGATAACTTCACTGGCCACCACTCAGATGGCTGTTAGAGATCTTTCCTGGGTCATGGCTGCCTAAAATCCATCCAAACATTCAGTGTCTCCTCCCTCTGCATGCAGACACTGAACTTTCCTCATAGAGATTCATTGATTCAATTCATTTCTATGAGGAGATGCTGATTGGCCAGGGCTGTGTTTGAATCATGCTGGCTCTGCCCCTAATCTCCCTCTTTCTCAGTCTCAGCCAATCCTATGGGGATGCATTGTAATTGGATCAGGCTACCACTTCTGATGATGTCAGCAGACAGCTTGTTTTTCGGAGTCTAACAGCATGCAGAGTTACAGCTTCAGGCTTGAATACAGTAAGATTTTGCTATATTTATGGAGGCATGAGGGGCTCAGGGGGGCTAGATGGTGTTGTTAACACTCTAGGGTCAGGAATTCATGTTTGTGTTTCTGACCCTTTAGTGATCCTTTAAGGTAATGCTGACTTTGGTCTCTCTAAAACTGTGGCATGTTCCCTTTCTTCTACACTCACTACATACAGCTTTTCTCTTTCCCTATATACCAGAAGCTTCTGCCTGCTAGTAAGAAGGTAAGGAGACAAGTGGACCAGCGAGTGCTAGGGGACAGTCCTTAGAAAGCGTTGAGCGAGCGCATCATTAGACGCATTAATGCCAAGCTCAGGGTGCTGTCTGCATAGTATACCCTTAGTTGGACAGGTGCATGATTGGTAGGCAGCCTGGCATGCATTCTTGCCAGGCTGGCCTTCTAATTCTTTGGGCAAACATGTCCTCTTTTGGGGCATGTTCGCCCCTTTTGGCAGGTTACGTGATTTGTGTCAGTGGCACACCCTTTTGAAAACATAAATTAGAGTGAGATTAGCATAGGGTATGTGTTTTCTTATAGCTGCTGTTTTCTTTCTCTCCAGCACCATCTCCATCAGATACATGACGCTTGGGAGTGTTTTAGTGTTCTGGGTCGATATGATTCTGTAATTAGGCCCGTCATAATTGTCAGCACCAGGACCACTGGGCTGTTAATCTGGCCCTGACTGTAGGGCAATTAGCCGTACATACGTAATGTGCATTAAATGCACAGGCGCACTGTAGAATTTGTGGCTAAGAAGCTAGCAATCTACTTTGTGTCCTCAGATCTTTTCTTGCAGCTCTTTATATTATTAATTTTTTTTTTTTACAACAAACATAAGCGCAGAGAGGTAACAGCAGTTACATTAAGTGGGATTTGTTACTGTAAATATATGCTATTAAATTATTCACTATACCACTTTAGCTGATGTGCTGTATGAATACACACTGCCTTTTTACCAGTCTTATTACTAAAAAGGATGCATTTACTGCTTGTCGCAGGAACCTAGATTATACGATCGCTGCCGTTTGTGTGCTCTAGAAGGCCTCTATCGGTTTTCTTCTTCTTTTGTTAACCTCGTTGCTGTCGGCTGTACCTCCTTCATGGAGATGATTCAGATGAGTCATGTTTTATTTTTAATATACTTATAAAGTTCAAACAAGTCACCAACTATATGGCAACCTCTGAAATGGCTGCTGCAGTGCAGTGCTGCTCACATCAGGCTCAGCCAGTCATGAGTCATGGCAGTTGTAGTAGGCAGCAGCAATTCCAATGCTCCGATGTAGGTTCGTCTAACACAGCATACTCTGCATAGCTGTTTAAATGCGCGTTAATATTGTGCGAGCCCTGAGACGGATCCCTCGTTCTGTCTGCAAAGCTTTGTAACTATATAAGTTACTCAATTGATATTTATGATGTACTCTTAATACCTGATTGCACTTAATTTCATCCTTTGTATACCAATGATAGCTACGATGCATCGAGCGTATCACAGAAAAGCACTTTAAATGAACATAAAGAGTTGTTTATGAACACGGAAATTGTCTCACTGCTTCTCGTTAATTGACTGTTTTACACATTAACGCTTTTCCAGTTTCACTCTTTTATATGTTACTTTTTCACTTTGAAAATAGATTAGTGCAGCATGGCTTTAAAAAAAACCCAGTAATTAATAAAACAATTCTTACAATTGAGGGAGATAGAGGAACAAAATCAGGGGGCAAATTCACTAGAAAGTGAATTGGGATGAGTTGACGGTGAGCTAGGAGCCTCAAGGTCAAAATATCCCAAATGACGTCACGGTAACTTTACGTTCTCCACTTGGCTAGTCTGTGCTAAATTGGCAAGTACATTGTCAGCTCACATCATCTCACAGTAATGTATACACTAATATAGCCAAGCTGAATTTGTAGTTCCCTTGTGGATTTTCAATTACTGGTTTAGTAAATAACTCTAGCAGTTTGCAACCTGGACAGAGCAAACCCTTTATGTACTTGTCAAAATACATGCCTTTCTTACACTCTCTGAACTGATCAGGTTGGAAGAGCGACTTGACAGCATTAACAACAGCCTTGGGCAATCGGCACCGATGGTCCGTGCAGTGACTGTTAGTGGGTCACATACTCTGACTCTGAGTGCCCAGAGAGGTCCATACTTTAGGACATCATAGAAGCCATACAAAAACAAGGGGTTCTCGCAGCAGTAACTTTTGAGATTCAAGGTGACTGCCATTTACGGGGTGTTAGAATACCAAAGAGTGAAATAATATTATTCTGTACCTAAAATAGAACACATAAAGCATTTCTGCAAATTGAGTGTAACGTTGTCGTTTGTGATTGTGATCGTTTTATAAAAATAAATGTCTCTTTCAAAGTGCCTCAAAACCTTAGTGTAAAGTGTATCCAAGCATTTTTTGGGGGATAATGGCTTTGTTGTTACTTGCCATATAGTGTTTGAAAGTTACTGCTGTCAATATTCCCTTTTTTTTCTTATTCAAATCGCCATTTATTTTTACCAGAGCTGAACAAAAGCAATTCAGGGTTATTTACCAAAGTGAACATTGTCACATTGACCCAACGCAGATAACAGGTTGTCGCAGTGCTGACGCATTATTTATTGGGTCATTACTTTAGGTAAGCAGTATAAAATGTGGAGTATGACGGTGTACCATAAATCTAACCTGTAGGTGCTACTACAGTATTACGTATAGTATAAATCTCTTGAATTTACTGTAGTATTGTGTGTTATTATGATAGGGCACAATAAACCTCTAGTCTAGACTTTATATAGTTATACAGTCATACTTTTTATTATACAGATCTTAACTATAAGGTGAAAGACTGTGATTTCATATGCTGCAATACATGAGAGACAAATGGGGTGCACGTGCCAGCTGTGCAGTATTGCTATAAATCAGGAATGATCTCACAATGGTTGGACCAAACACCTATATAATGACAAAGGAAGCTGTCAAATTGTGGTATTTTAAGAAGTACTTATTCTGGCTTATTTGCCATGGCACCAAGGGCACTGTGACATGTGGCATGTCCGTAGCCTGACTGTCGCTTAGCATACCTTCCAATATTTTAAATTGACAGAGGGACACTTTAATTTTAAGGGAGTGACTGGGGCTGTGGGAAGGGCTTTTTTGAGACATTTTATGGGATTTAAAGACACTTAACTGGGAGTATTATTGCAGCGGAGTTCTGTCATACACTAAGACACACTAAAGATATGGAGATCCTAAGAAAAAGGGACATTATAATAGAAAAGAGAGACGGAGGAATTTGGGCCCAAAATAGGGACTGTCAATACTAACTAGGGACACTTGGGAGGTATGTTAATACAACCAGCTCTCTACTTAAAGTCACCTGTTTAATAACATACATTTTAAGAACAATAGTATGATTTGAACTCATGATATTCTTGACACAGATGGGCCGCTCACATCAACAGTGCTGTCCAGATGGAAAGAAATTTAAATTGAAGTTTCAAACTAGCTGAGATGGGGGGGGATGGGGGGGGAGGGGAGAGGGCAACAGAAAGACCCTGGGTTTCTATCAAACCATTCTTAAATGATTTGACATTAAATCAGGATGCCCTAGGCAACGTATCCAACATAGCAAGCTGCAGTGATAAGGTTACTTTCAGTGTTCTTTAATAAAATCTCTGTAAGCTGAATATAACAAATACACTTTCAGTTACATTAATATTCATTATATTGAGTAGATCGTTATGAGGCCACTTACCAACGACAAACCATATATACTCATAAGGGTGCATTGATCTCCATGAGAATATTCCAAAATGAATATTCATTGGATATTTATTGCTTTAGTAATGATGGTCCCAAGATATTTGAAAATTAAGTTTTAGAAGGCGTTAACCCGGCTGCCGTTACAGTTTTGACTTCCTAGATGATGCTCAGTCAACCTTTAGAGCAACCATCACTCCTATATAAAATTCAGTACCTATAAAGCTGCAGGTCTACAAGAGCCTGGACAGACATTATTACTTAGAATAGATAAATATATTTAGGTGTAGTGTACAGGAATGCCCATGCCTCTCATTGTCATTTTGTGTCTGTGTTTGCTTGGTTTTTTTTTTTCCCCGTCTCTGTCTTGCTGTCTCTGTCTTTATAAACTATTGTCACAGCCTTTCTGTTTCTCCTGTATTGCAAAAGCAGCAGTCCCTTAATCAAAGCTGGAGAGACATTCAGAGGGATATGTCTCATTGAATTAGCCATTGAAAAGGTCGTTCTTCCGCGGGGACCTTCGTATTAATGCGGTGTCATGAAGTCGTCCAGATCCATCGCCACTTTAGCAACTCTGGGAATGAAAGAGCATAATTAATCCTAATTGCTTCTGCTAAGGACTTGTAATCGGAATAAAACACCTGGCCTTCTGGTGGCAGAAGCATGTAAGAAGGTACGAAGAAGGAAGGTGACTGCATTTAATAAGGATGCCGGGCTGGCGCGGATTATATGGGCGGAGAAATTCAAAACATTCTTTTGGGAGTCCTTGGTAATTGAAGGGAAATGTTTAACTTAATTCATTCTCCATAGCTACTGGAACATTCAAAAGTCTTTAAGCCTGGCACGTATCTTTGATGCGAGGCTTCCTGGAAATTGGAATACATTCTGTGTGACTTTATGAACACTGTATAATCCAATATATTTTCAAAATGTTACAGTGGCGAGGAACTATTGCAGTAAACAGGCTGGCAAAGCATCATGGGTATTGGAGTTTTACCTTTTTCTCATCCCTGCATTACTATATTAAATATAAACAGCCTATGGTGTGCGCATACATGGACAATATTATGTTATATTGTTTTGGTGGAGTGTATTCATTCTGTATGTGTCTGTATTGATTTTGGAGACCAGCAGTCAGGGCTTGAAAATGCTATCAACACTATGTAGAAATTCCTTCCTCCCAAGTGTCCCTTTTTAGGAAGGACAGTCTCTAGTTTGAGCTTAATATCTGAACAACTACAGCTTTATGTAGTTGTTCAGGTGAGATCTATAGCTCCCTGCAGGCAATCTAATGTAAACACTGTATTTTCAGAGAAAATACAGTGTTTACATTGATTGATATGAACACCTCCAGTGGCCGTCACTCAGACGGCCATCAGAGAGACTTCCTATCATGCAGGGCCATAAAAGGCCATAAAATCCGTCTGACGTGTGCAGGAGAGAGAAGGCACTGTGTGCGCCTTCTCTCTCCTGCCTGTAAGCAGAGGAGAGGGGGCGGGCAAAGACTGCGAGCTGAGCTGTCAGTCATCTCAGCTAGTGGCTGCGCACACCGCGCGCATGCGCGGTAGTGCGCTCAGGACTTCAAAGAGCGGCATGAATGCCGCCCTATGAAGTATGTGCGTATGTGTGGCGAAGCCGCGCATGCACACAAGGGAGCAATGATGCTTTCGTTGTATCCTACATAAATCATCTAGTCAACACCATCATCCCTATAGAGCAGATTGTTGATGTTCTAGTATCCATTTAGTATTTGACTTCAAGTTATCCCGCATTGGCTGTCTATTAGTTAATGGACCTGCAGTCCAACAGTAGCTCTGGAAGTAAGCAGAACCGTCTGGAAGACGGTTGAGCGAACTTGATGGCTCTGTGTGGAATACATTTCCAAAGGCCAGTTCAGTTCACCTTGATTGACTAAAGATGACAAAAGTTGTATTGAAAGCAAAATAAAAACAGTGAAATTAACCGTGCGTCTAAACTTCCACTACTCATGGGCAGCACCAGTGGTTATAGCATTCTTTAGCCCAGATATATAAACCAAATAAAAACAATAAAAAGCTACCTATCCCAAATCCCTATCTCTGTTTACATAATTGTTTGTTAATTCAAAAAATTAATTTCGATTGATGTTGGCATATGAGCTTACACTTTAATAGCGATTGCAAGGGTACCAAACATTAGGGATATTGATTTTGAATTAGAAGAAGATATAGAAAGCTGCGTGCTGTATATCTGTTTGGGTTTATTTATTAAAGACAGAAATAAAGTGGACTAAAAATGAAACTGTAAAATTGTGATTTAAAAAGCCAAGCTGTAAATATATATGCGGAATGGGGGAATGTTTCCAAATCATCTGATTTTGACTACATTTTGCAATTTGGTTTTCAGTTCATGACAGTTCGGAATTTAGTGAATAAACCCCTTTTGTGTGTGCCTGTGCCTGATGGGATTGGAAGTCTAAGAGATGGAAAGCTTCTGGTCTCAGTAGTGGAAGCTTGCTTCAGGATTCTTTGCTACATGGCTCTGTAATTGCAATCCTGGGCTTTATTTAAAAGGATTTGAAGTTCTAAGCACTGGCGGCAATTTAAGACGCAGCGCTCACCAGTAGTTTCATGCCTCTTCAAGCTGCTCATTTTTTTTTCCTGTTCTGTTTAAATTACACTATTCAATTATAAAAGAAAAAAACATTTGCTTTGTTATTTACTATTTTTTTTTACATTTTATTATTGTAAACCTGCATTATCCTGCAGGAAGAGAATCTGCCTTTTCGTTATCAATGCAAATAGCCTCGGAAGACATTTAAAAAGCATTGAATTTTTTTATCCTAACAAAATAATGAAAAACAGGAGATTAAATGGCTGAGAAAATTGTCGATAATGTATAACACACTAAATTATTCATCACTATTCATTAACTGTTTATAATGCGGCTGTACCACCTTTGTGGGTTTTTGCCAATTTTGCCAAGACCGCAAAGGTTATTCCCGCTTACTGTGTGGTCGTCCAGGCGGCAACTGAAGGTAGGTATACTTACCGGAAGCTGTCATCCTGGGGGTGCCACCATCTTCTTTATCCAGCTCCTGGTGCTTCATCTGCCAGGAGATGCATCACTGCGGTACTTCTCTTAAATACAACACTGAAGTCTATGCAGGATCTACTGTTGTCCAACGGCTGGGAGAATCAACAAAATTTCACGGCACAACCTGCGCCTTTTGTCACTGTGCGATTTGGCTATAAGACAGTTATCTCTATTTTGTTTTATGATATATTTTGATTGCGTTGCCATTTCAATGACATTTTATAGAGATTATTTCTTTACGAAATATTCCAAATAAATATCGCCTAACTGCTTTTAGATACTTAAAAGAGCTGAGTTTCTCTTTAGGATGAGACTAAATAAGAGCTGATTTTAATTAGTGTTATCTGCTCTTCTCTTTGCTTTCTTATTTTCAAGATGAACATGGCACGTATTTATACCTCCCCCGTTCCTATTAAAGTTACCACTCTGTAACCGTTTTAACTTTTTCACTGTGTGTTCTCTCTCCTGGTGTTCTGTTTCAAGAGTCAACTACACTTTTTATAAAGTACCAAAATTATCGCATGAGTCTCGCATGTTGAATTGTTTATTTGAATTTCTTTCTTTTTTTTTAAATTAATTTTATCTTTTTTTTTTGTGTGTGTTACCACAAGCACAGGTCAGCCAAAGAATTAAAGGTTGACAGTCTTGACGTTGATTTAGGTAATACTGCTCTGTTAAGCTCCATAGTACAGGCTGCTCCAATCTGAGGTCCTGGGGATTTGTACGTGGAGACGCTGCAGGATTCTGGCAAAAGACAGCACAGCTGAGCGACTACAGCAGCCCTTGCGAAAGGTCTCATTCACAGGCTGAGCACGAAACCAGGACGCTTAGAAAATGCCACCAATAATGTCACAACAGTTTCAATTAGTTTATTTACTTTGCTTCGTTGCAAACAAAAGCAGCCTGTTGTGTATTTATTTATTTTTATATTCAGTTTGCCAGTGTTGTGTTGCGTGCCCTCCATGCAGGATAGGCTGTGACACTGTTATAATCCTTTAATGTTTCCGATCAACATAGAAGGTATTTTTTTTTAAATGGGGTGAAGCTATTTTGAGAGTACAGAAAATAATCATGGAACCAGCGTTCTAGAGACTGTGACTTAAACATAAATGCAGTACCATCTGCTTAAAATGTTCGGTACCTAAATGAATCAATGCGTCTGTGTGTTGGGTAAATGGCACCAATGCTGGAACCGTACATTTTAATATTTCATGTTATGCCAATTTTATAAAGAAGAATTTGTTCAAATTAGTGAAGTTTAGCCACAAAAAATGCGGACATACTTTAAACCGGAATTGCAGAGAAGTGACGGTTCGTAGTTCCTTTATCCTGGTAAACACTACTTCTGTATTTACTGGGGTAAGTACCAGAGCAGAGGTAAGTAAAGTACCACCACTGCACTTCATGATTGCAGCGACTTCACCACGCCATGATGTCTTGGGCATTGAAATGTTCTATTGCCATACATGTGCATGGAGTTTTCTTCCAGCAGTGCCAAATGTAAAGCATGTAAATAAAAATACAGTGAACTAAACCATTTAAAAATAATTTTAGCACAACCTTTAGCCAACTTTTAATTGAGAACGAGATAAATTGCCTTTACAGTGTCTAGATCTTTAAATTTTTAAAGAAACACTCTAAGCACCAGAACAACTTTTGCTTAAAGGGACACTGTAGGCACCCAGACCACTTCAGCTCATTGAAGTGGTCTGGGTGCCGTGTCCCAGGTCCCTTAACCCTGCAGTGGTAATTATTGCAGTGTTTGATAAACTGTAATAATTGCCTTGGTGGGTTAACTCCACCTCTAATGGCTGCCTACCAGATAACCACTAGAGGCACTTCCGAGTGGTTAGGTGACTTTTGGTCGCCTAACTGACGCTGGACATCCTCACGTTATGCATGAGGATATCCAGCGTCACCCAAAACCCTATAGGAAAGCATTTAACAATACTTTCCTATTGGGGGAAGTCCTAATGTGAGCGGGGCGGAGCCTGAACCAGTGCAGAATAAGGTAAGTGACAGAAGGGGTTTAGTCCCTTCAGTACCATGAGTTGGACCATGATGGAGGGAGTCGCACTAGGGATCTATAGTGCCAGGAAAACAACTTTTTTTTTCCCTAGCACTATAGTTCTATTTTTTAAAGTGTTTTGATAGGTACCCGCAAACTTGCAAAAGAGGTAAAAAACTAATAGCTTCATGTGTTTTTATTTTAACTGCCTTGTTCAAAACCATTACAGATATATGTATATTTTAACAGACAAGAAAATTACTAATGTTAGACCATGTTAAATCCCAACTTTATTATGATTACATGAACACAGCAAGCATCTAATCAAAATACTACAGTACTTTAATTTTAAATCGGTCTGAGCTGGGTTGGTCGATTTTTAATAGTTTTTCCCGGCAATATTTCTCTGAAACATCGGGTGTCAAGCAGTAATGAACTTCATAACATAGGAATCCCATGAGGAAAAATAAGATATCAGCTGGTATTGAGTGTTTAGCTAATATTGCCTCACAAGGTCTGTTCTTATTTGTTTATTTATTTTTCAAAAATGTCATCCATAAAAGCAGGAGGAAAATGCTAGTTTTTTGTGAGCTGGATATAAACGGTAAATGGAGGCCAAGTAAGGATACGCTTACAGGAAAAGTATAGCATTACAAATACAAATGTGTATTCCTATCGCTATAGTGCCCTGGTGGCTGTTTAGGTACTTGTACTTATAGGGGGTAAAAAAAGGTAGATTAGTTACCTTTTTTCACTACCAAGTGCTTGTCTCCGGACTGCCTTCCCACTTCCTTAACTATGACCGTCGAGATCGATGATCTCAGCCAATCCAATACTTTCCCATAGTAAGGCATTGGGAAGCAGGTGGGCATGCCACTTTTACTGGCAGCCAAGTTTTACTTGGTTATTTCAGCGGAAGTGCCTCTAATGGCAGCCGGTGTGTTTGTTCACGGGGAACGGACATGTTTTTACTTGCAGAGTTAAAACTGGAGCGCAGGGAATTTGGGGGGGGGGAGGGGGGGGGGGGAGGGGGCATGGCAACAAGAACAATTTATTAAGATTCAGCTGCTGTTAAATTCAATATAGATGGTGTGATCTCCACAGAAGTGATGGTTCCCATTTAAAATATCTTCTACACAGTAGCGGTGGGCTGTCACACAGGTTTCTCATCACAAAGTTAGTCCTGTGGTCTCCTCACCACCTCTTTTCTAAATGTCCTCTTTTGTGACTTCACATAGTACATCTCCTTTCACTTATATTTACAGATTCGTAATATGCATCTCTTCCAATGACTATATTTGGAATCAGCTTATAACATAAGCAAGAATGAGTGCACATTTCTATGTGTGTTTGTGTGTGTATGTGCAGGATGTTTGTGTGTGTATAAACATATGTGGATTAACCTCTTTCTATCCTGCACTAAGTAAAGACTTACTTAGATGTGCTTTCCAGGGACCGTTTGTAGTAAACAGTGTTACTGCAAGGCATTTTGTTTGGCTGCTCTGCGAAACCTATTGATCCAACTAAATACCTGGAAGCAAAGCTTTGGGTCTCCACAGAGTATATTATACCGCAGCTCAAATTAGCCTTACAGATGCAGAATCATTTCAATTGGAATTCTAAGTCTGAAAGCAGTGTGGTTGCATGTAAACAAGTTGTGTACTTATAGCCTGCATTTCTTGATTTTACAGAATTGGTGTTTTGAAAGTAAAATAACATTTGATTGCATGATGTCTTCTCTTTCAGGTTTCTAAACATTGTACTGTATCTTTAATTGGTAGCCGAGAGTCTCTGTCACATCCATTTTTGTATGCTTTCTGCCAGACTGCCCCTAGATAAACGATGATAATATTAATAATGCACATTTTTGCACATGGATGCATGGGTAAACTGATATATATATCAGAATACTGATGCGTACATGGATCCAGTGACAGATTGTTACAGCTTTGCGCACACAGGCAAACCTATATCAGAACCGACATGCTGATGCACACACACATACAGAAATATAAAATTTATTGTCTGATACAAAAAAAAATTCTATTTAATCTGTCTATTTCCCAGATTCTTTAAAACCACAGACTTATTTAATCCTTGGCCTTATTTCATGCTTCGCAAAGCCTTCTTTCTACCACGAGAGTTTTCAAATTCCCGTACTGCATTAGTCTTCACTAGTTTACTGAGTCCACCAACCCTTCTGTAAACTGGAACGTCCCAATATCACGCTTGCTAAAATTGCTCAACTTGGGGCTTATCCACTAAATAGAGTGTCATGGAGACTCGGGAACGGATTCACAAAATTTTAAATACAGTAGCAAAGGTGGAAAAAATATGAACTGAAATGAACATGGCTCGTTTCTACTAAAGTTTTCTAGCCATTTCACAAATCACTGTAACTCACTCTTTAATGAATAATGCCCTTGGTGATTCACACAAGTAACTGTACAGTTACAGTAAGCCGAGCAAATGCCCTAGGATTGCATACCAGATGAGCACATTATTCATCAATGATACCGAGAAGATGAACATTCTAAATTGCAGCTGTTCCTTCCAACTGTCGATATGATCAGAAGGAATTGGTGTGTAAAATTACGAAATTCTTTGTCCTCCTAAATGTGAGCAGTTGTACGCACAGACTGATAATTAAAAATAATAAAAACTTTCATGTATACTGGTAATGTTTGCAGCCGATGGTAATCATCAGATAAGCAGCAACAACAGCAACGAGCTGTGCCCAAACCAGGAATTGGTTCCACCAATCAAGTGTCTCTCATTCATCTTCTGTGATTTTAGACAGCCCTTTAGTTTGCCTATTTGAGCCTTATCTTGTGTTATACTCTCATAGAAGCACAAGTCAATCCTGTTAGGTTTAGGCTCGTATGTTCTTATTACAATAGATAAAACAAAGGATAGTGTCTGTTCAGCCTGGGTTTGTCCCTTACCAGGATTTTATCACCTTTTAATACTAGTTATTTGTAAAGCTTAGAGATTTTATTTTATTTTTTTGAAGAGTTTTCACCAGCTAGACTTTGAGTTTCTTAAAAGTAAAACATAAGTTTTGTTCTTAATATTTGGTTTTATCATTAAAAAATTATCTCGTGGCTGGACAATACGCAAACATATTCTTGTACATTCCAATGCTTGACATTTGTGTCCCAATGTTTGACATTTGAGTTCCCATAATCCCCAAGGATGGTTAAAGGGATAGGTAGGTTAAAAAAAAAAAAAAAAAGAGCAGAGTCAATCATAGAGTGTCCATCACTGGAATGCAAGAGAAAAGGACACTCCAAGGTCAATTCACACATTTATGGGGGAAACATTTTTTTTATCATAGTCATCGTAGCCACATCTGTTAATAATCATGATGAAATCTAATATGAATAATGTATTTTAATGTTTTTTTTTATGAGTGATTGGTAGTGTAATGACATTTAAATTCTCACTAATAAGAATATGGATCTTGTTGTTTGTATAAATCAACCTGTGTTGCATTTGTTAAATTTTGAGGACCAGTCTAAATAACATTGCACAATTGCAAAGCTTATGGTAAGAGAGAGGGCACTGCACCCACTCTCACTGCAAAAAACAGCAATTTGTAAAAACAATCACTGCAGCTATAAACTAGACCACTTTACACAGCAAAAAAAAAGAGTTTTCCCATCATCCTTAGCTATGTCAGTTTTGTCCAACGTGTGAATGCAGAATCCATACGCCGTGCACACAAGTGGGTGTAACACCTGTTGCCACCCTGGTGAGAGCCGAGCCATAGGTGAGCGCGCATGTGGTCAGTGGCTGTGAAATTAACTGTGTATTAACTTATAGCAGCCATGGTATATGATAAAGCTGGTGGATAAACAACGTATCACATGCCAGTTCTTGACACAGACAGAATTACAGGCTCCTGATTGGCTAAGTTTCTGGTGTGGAAGGAGTCTGTTTGCAGTTGAATATTGCAGCTGCAGGTGAATATATAATTTTTGCATATGCTAATGCATTATCTAAGTAACATATTAAACAAGTCATTATTGTCAATACTTCCTACTGTCGTTTGGATGTAGCGTCTCTCCAGGGCAGTTGCAATGCTACGTTTCCCAAAAATCCCTTGTAGTTTTTGTTTGACGATTGACTAAAAGAAGTTAATTTGCTATGAATGGCTTTATTCAAGCTTAATTACAGAACTAGCAAAGTGCAGGATAGAAGATGTTCTGTGTAGGGCCCAGAATATGCATACCAAAAAGACCATTGTCCTGTGAAAACATTACATAAAGCTTAGTGGGTGAACGGAATTTCCTTCCAGTGAAAGTGATAAAAGCTGATTCAGTAGGGAAATTGCGGTGCAGTCTGGATGAGCCACATCTGCTGTCAACTTGTATTTTTATTGGTTAATCTTAAAATGCAAATTTTTGCATGCTGACATTTTTTTTCTTTGTGACGATTAGACCAGCTAGAAACTAGAAAACTAGAAAATTTAGACTCCTTTAGTTCAAAAGAGATTACTTTTGAGATTTTGTCCAACTTAAACTTATAGTGCTAGCTATACAAAGTTTTAAGGGTTTTAAAACCCTTACTGTATTTAACCCATTCCAGCATCGATGTCCCTTGGTGCTGGGTTTGCACCCTTAATCCGAAGGGAGGGTTAGGCTAATGCGCATTGCTGCAATGCTTTCCTATTGGGTTTCTCTGATTCTGGATGTCCTCATACAGAGTGTAAGAACGTTAGGCAGCCAAAAGTCGCCATATCACCAGGAAGTGCCTTTAGTGGCTGTCTGACAGCCATAATCACCAGGGAGTGCCTTTAGTGGCTGTCTGATAGCTTCTAGATTCAGTCTTAACCTTGCAATCTAATTATTGCGGTTTCTCAGAAGCTACAATAATTAGCATTTCAGGATTAAGGGGACAGGGACATTGCACCCAGACCACTTCAATGAGGTGAAGTGGTGTGGGTGCCTATAGTGTCTCTTTAAAGAATTTCTTGCCTAACCCTACACTACCACAGGGCATCTGACTGCTGAAAAAAATTGTTTCAATGTACTGCATAGTATATGATTATTTTTTTTTGTTTCCTAAAGATACTAAAGTGTGAATTGTGAAGAAAGGGAAATTAGTTTCCAATCTGAGGACAAAATGGCTGAATTGGAAACATTTTCTTGTCAGTTACATTTTCTGTTTGGCCATTTCAGACATCCCAACACGCAAAAACTAATTTCAGGGAGGTGGCTGCACCTCTCCCCCATGCGCTCCCCCACACACGGGCCCCCACATACAGTCACACACAACTATTTACACACTATTAACACACGGACACATGCGCACACCTTGACACACAGATACACACACCGACACACACTGGCACATATACACACAGATACCCACACTGGCACATCGACAAAATACACACAGATATGCACAAAGACACAGATACTCAGATACACACACTGACACATATACATAGATAAACACACTGACACATATACATAGATACACACACAGATATACACATTGACACATACACAGACACAGAGATACTCAGATACACACACTGGCACATATACATAGATACACACACACACACACGCATGCATTGTATGTCAGGTTGTGTGTGTGATTTCCAGGATATGACACATGGTGTGCGGGTGTCCGTGTACCTCATTAGATATGCGGGAGTCTCCCTGACCTACCAGGAGACTTGGGATGTCTGCCATTTTGCAAGGTTACAATATCTGCCAGGTTAGCCAAGATACATTTCAAGTCTTCATGTTTAAGAGCAACACATGAAAAGGGCTGCCCTGTTATATGTATAATTTGCACCAAAGTCTTCAAATCACAAGGAAATGCATTTTATATGATTATATGATTCTCAGTCATACAGGTGATGTATGAAATAAATGAACTTTTGCACAATATTCTAATTTTTCGAGTATCACCTGTACGTATAAACCACAGTAGTGTAATACCTAAAATCAACTACCTCAAAACACCCTGTAAAACTCTGTAAAAACCATGAAAAATATACATATGTAACAAACATTAATAGTGTTAAAGGGTTTATTAAAATAGTGAATGGTGTTTATAAAATAACACTGTGTGTCTCAAATCTCATGCACAGCAAGAAATAAGTACTAATCACATATAATCCCAAAGGATCTGACAATAATGAATATGTACTGCAGAATCTTCAATACATATTAAACAGAGAAAAATATATATAGTGGGAAACCACACAAAAAAAAACAGGTAAGTATTGTATATACAATACACTTACAAACATTAAATGCTGACACATGGAGCAGCACTAAAATCGCTTTGATGTCACTCTGGATCCACACCAATATAACTGCACAGGAGTCCCAATGATCTAATCTGTAATAGGTCCAGAGCCTGCTCCAGATAGGTTCCTCAGAGATATCGCTAGTGTCTAAGAATCATCTAAAGGTCTAATGTAAGAAATGCAGCTTGTTACTTTGATCGGTTTTGTCCCCAAAAGGATGTTGTCAAGGAGAGCTGCGTGTTGGTTTGCGTAACAGATATGTTTCCAGCAAAATGTGATAGGGTAGGATATGGCAACTTTAATATGTCGGCCTAAAAACATGTATGTATAATCGGAAATTTTAACATGTCTTTTGTTATAGGGTTGAAATGTGCCAGCCAAACTTCATAATTATATTATATTTATATATGTTTATATTTTCCATTCTCGTTTGTAACATCTGTAGAGGTGCATTTGCTTGTGATGAATTGACTCTGTTGATGCCCCGTTATACCTGTTTAAAGGTAAGGGACACTATAGACACTTCATCTCATTAAACTGGTCTGGGTGCAGTGTCCCAGTCAAATTTCACCCTGGGGCTGCAAACATCGCAATTTCAGAGAAACTGCAATGTTTATATTACAGGGTTAAAAATGGATCTAGTGGCTGTCTACCAGATAGCCACTAGAGGTGCTTCTGCAGTTTCGCGGTGTTTGACTCCGTAAAACAATGCTGGACGTCATCATGCTTTGCATATGGATGTCCAGCATTTTCAAATCACCACTCGGTGATATGCACATTAGATCGCACCATTGGCTGTTGTTGGTGGAGGAGGAGCCCTACCCAGCGCTGATAACCCATGGCGCTGGTGTCAGATCAGTGTATAAAGGTTTATTTTTTAACCCATTACTTGCTGCTGGGAGGTGGGGTTGGTGAGGAGGGGGAAGGGACACTATAGTTTTAGGAAGTTTTGTATTAATTTATGATTGCAAACCTTGGACACGGTCAACTTAGTCTTTTGTCTATTTGACTTTCAGCCATTAAGGTAGATAACAGTAATATGTGTTAATCTCCTACTTTGAGTAAGTTAAAATCCAAGAGTTTATGTTGTATTACTGCGAGAATAAAAAAAATTTAAAAATGTAGTGACAAATCTGTACTATAGAAATAAAAATTTTTTGAAAAATAAAGACAGCTGAAGCATACTCTACTGATATTAACTGGTAATTGATAAAAAATATATATATATATTTATGTTTGTTAACACGTTTACTAAACTTTTCTTTTCAGAAATCAGTACTTTCTAAACTATCTACAGCAAACATGTCAAACTCAAAGGCTATCACGGGTCAAATAAACAAGGTTTAAAGGACCACTATAGTGCCAGGAAAACATACTCGTTTTCCTGGCACTATAGTGCCCTGAGGGTGCCCCCACCCTCAGGGTCCCCCTCCTGCCCGGCTCTGGAAAGGGGAAAAGTGTTAAAACGTACCTTTTTCCTGCGCTGGGCGGGGAGCTCTCCTCCTCCGAACCTCCTCCGTTCCTCCCCGCCGGCTGAATGCGCATGCGCGGCAAGAGCTGCGCGCGCATACAGCCGGTCGCATAGGAAAGCATTATCAATGCTTTCCTATGGACGCTTGCGTGCTCTCACTGTGAAAATCACAGTGAGAAGCACGCAAGCGCCTCTATTGGCTGTCAATGAGACAGCCACTAGAGGCTTTGGGGGAAGGCTTAACCTATTTATAAACATAGCAGTTTCTCTGAAACTGCTATGTTTATTAAAAAAAAAAGGGTTAACCCTAGCTGGACCTGGCACCCAGACCACTTCATTAAGCTGAAGTGGTCTGGGTGCCTAGAGTGGTCCTTTAAGTTTATGTGGGCTGCAAAAAAACTAAAACTTCAGTTTTCATAGAAATGTAGGTTTATTTAGAAAAGTACAGTATAAATAAAGTGGCCTAACTGACACTGGATGTCCTCACGCTCGTAGGGCTTCAAAGTAAACAAAAGAGCGAATTTATTTTAAGGAGATGTGCATTTGCGTATAACCAGTGTTTCAGTCCAACTACCTTGACATATTAATAAAGGTTTGGTAATAGGACTGAAATGGTGAATGTATGCTTTTGCACAGCTCTAAACAATGAGTGTGTTCTTCATTGGGAGTCTATTGTGCATGTGTGGCCAAAGGCTGCGCGGCCAATCAGCGCCTCCAAGCAGACCCAATCTAATACACTGCCCCCACTCCCACCACTCTAATTTAATACTCCCCCCCAATTTAATACACTACCCCCACCCTCCACTAATTTAATACACTGCCCTTCCCAATTTAGCACACTGCCCCCTCATATCACTCTAACACACTGCCCCCTCCCCAATTTAACACACTGCTCCACCTCCCACAATTTAACACACTGCCCTCTCCCACCTCTTTAATACACTGCCCCCCATGACCACTCTAATACACTGCATCCTCCTTGCCCCAATTTAATACACTGCCCCCTCACTCCCCAAATTAATACACTGCTCTCCTTCCTACCACTCTAATACACTACCCCACTCCCTCCCCAATTTCATATATTAACCCCTCCCTCAAATTAATACACTGCCCCACTCCCTCACCCATTTTAATACACTGGCCCCCTACCTCCCTCAGGGAGGGAATACAAGAATCAGACAGGAAAGATATATCGTCGCAGCCATGGCACAAAGCGGCCCCAGGGTAGACGGGCCGCAAATATATTCACTGTGAGCCGCATGCGGCCCACAAGTTTGACATGCTTGATCTACAGTAAATTTAGCTGTCATTCCCTCTTGAATACTGACATTTGTTTTACTGTAGTTGTGGCCATCCAGTAGCTCCTAAGGTCCCACTGGACAGGGAAGAGGAAACGTTTCTTGGAACTCTTCAAATAACCATCACCCAAGGTCAATTAGAAATTTTTTATTAACTTTTATTCAAATTGCTGAACAAAGTTAAATATTTTAAGTGCAAGGTATGGGCTGTTTTAAACCACTGTATGATTATTTGTATTATAGTTTTGATAATAGAACCACTTTGATTAGAGGGAGATACATTTTTGGTGTTTTTGGCAAAAAAAAAAAAAAAATGTTTTTGATTCTTACAAGTTACTAACATTAAATTTTTTTTTTGCTGAACTATCACAATTTAAAAGAAACAAAGAAAAAAAAAACGATAATTCCTTTAACTTTTGTAGTGTTGATTTCACTTGATCTCCTTGAAATCCCATTTGTTTACGGACGGTATCAACTGTACACTTTGAAACTGTAAACTTTATTGCATGAGGTTATTCCAAAGATATCTTCTTGTCCTAATTGCAATTCACACGCAGAACACAGAGCTGTGTATTGCTGCAATTTGTTTGCATGGATACAGCCCCCTGGTTAAAAGATTAGGAAATGAACAAGTTACAAATTGTAGTAGCGCATTGTCCCTGTAGGACCTCAACTGCAGAGTTGTGTTAGAAGGTAGAGCATTTAACCAATTCCTATTTCTCTCTTTAATTCTTATAGAACTGGGAGCCTCTGGCAGGATATTATTATTCCAATCGCTTTTCAGACGGGGAAGAAAAACAAACGCAGGAGTGTATAATTACACTGTTCTCCTGCAGATCCACGCAGTGTCCTCGCTTGCTAATTAGAGAGGCTTTGCTTAATGTAATACAAAATTTATCATCAGAAGAAAGAAAAATCCACTAAAACCAGTTAGTTTGTACCCACACTGACAGGTCTGTCTCTCTGAATTACAGTGTGGGTATCTTACTGGTCAGCGGGGGTACAATTTGAATTTAAGATCTTACGCCCTGTCCCTTTTATGATAGACCTGGCCTGATTAGCTATGCAAACTCACAGTAAGGGGTTGCTTTCTGATGAGAGGAGATCACAGGGGACCTTAGGAGAAGAGGACGTCTTCAGTATTATTAATATCAGTAGTACCCTTTCAAAATCTCCCTACACCAAATAAATAAATCAACTAAATCAAAACAGAAAGCAATATATTTTAGTGAGATATAGATAAACTTAACCCATGTGTTGTTAGCCTTTGTTCTGCTTATGTTATTTTCCCCCCTGAGTGTTTGCTAATGATCCCCTAATTGGCTGACCAGGCTAATTCTAGGGCACGCTGTGTTGTAGTCTCATTATGTAACACTGCCAATGCCAAATGACTTTTAATTATCATTACAGGCACAACAGCTGGTTAATAATAAACCCCTTGAAGCAGAGGCTCGGAGAAACTGCAGCACACAGGTGAATGGGTGAAGAGGCAGAAGCCATATTTTGTAATAATTAGGAATTTTGAGCCATTTTAGCACACGGATCAAGCCTTCTTGAGCGATCAGCTGTACAAGCATCTTGAAACTGTGATTGACAAGCAATCTGGCCTATCCATAGGACCATATGGTTTACCTCCCTTAATTAGCCAGTCCGTACTGTGCTGGTGGGAGAACAGATGCAGGAAAAAGCAAATTACGTTCATCTTGAGTGAAATAAAAATGGCACTCCATTTTATAATCGGGTTTTATCTCAGGCTGTTTAAAGTAATGTTTAACATCTTCCTTGCTGATGATACCAAGATTCCATCATTGCTGCCGATGAAACAATAGCTTTACAATAGAATGAATACTCTGTAGGTGGGGGCCAGATGGTCAAAGTAGTCCTTAAGATGTTGTTAATGACTAGTCTGCCAGACAACTCAAGGGCAGCGCTCTACAGCTGGAGGCCTGGAGTGGCCCCTGAGGTCTTTTCAGTAGCCCTGAGCTAGCGTATGTGCGTTAAATAGGCTTCATTATAATACATGAAATTTTTGATAGGGTCTGGCCCTCCAGAATATAAGGCTACCTCTAGTTATGACACTCTGTGCTATATGTTTATACCAGCTGTGGATAGCTGATAGAATTTTTATAATTAGCCAATTAAAAGGAATGAGTGAGCCTGCAGCATTCTTTTTTGCATATGCACATGGTCTAAAATGATAGATTCGGCAAAGTTTACTAAACATAAATATAAAAGTGCTGCTAAAATGAAAGAAGGACATAGCTCAGCTGGTAACAGCATTGACTTTTACAGTTATTGTATCATATATATGGTAAGTCTCCAAGTATATATGGCAATGATAGTTAGGCGGTTTAGCAAAAAACTGTGGCTCGTCATGACACATACTTTGCCCTCTTCAACTTGATCTTGAAATAACCATTGCCAGTCATAGTGTTTGCAGATGACACAAATCTCTGTAAAGTAATACAATGTGAGCAAGATATTACTTTGTTACAGTTTGTTGCATTTAAATAGATTGGGGGACTGGGCACTCAAATGGCAGCTGAAATTTATTGCAGAAAAATGTTTGTGGTAAAGAATGCACAAGCCCTTTTCACCCTAAATGGTAGTGAATTAGGGATAATAAAACACGAGAAGGATTTGGGAATTGTTATAGACAACAAACTAGGCAACTGTGCAATGTCAAGCAGCGGTGGCTAAGGCCAGTAAGGTTTTGTCATGTATAAAACGAGGCATTGATTCTCAGGATGAGAATATCATTTTGCCTCTTTATAATTACTGGTAAGACCACATCTTGAATATGCTGTGCAGTTTGGGGCACCTGTTCTAAAGAAGGATATTATGACACTAGAAAAAGTGGAGAAGCCGGCTACAAAATTAATAAAAGAATGGAACATTTCAGTTATAAAGAAAGGTTAACAAATTTAAACCTCTTTACTTTAGAAAAACCTAAATGTGGATCTGAGAGCATTATACACATATATTTTGGGCCAATAAAAACCATTGTCTGGAAATCAATTCTTAAACAGAATTATACATAGGACACAAGGTCATGCATTTAGACTTGAAAAAAAGGAGATTTAGTCCAAGGCAAAGGGGAAAAAAATTATACAAGTGGTTTTATCAGAGTCTGTACAGATGTTTAAACAGCAACTGGATGCATACTTGCAAAAACATAATATTCTGGGATATATAGTTACATAGCTACATAGCTGAAAAGAGGCTTGCGTCCATCAAGTTCAGCCTTCCTCACATATGTTTTTGCTGTTGATCCAAAAGAAGGCAAAAAAAAAAACAGTCTGAAGCACTTCCAACTTTGCAACACACTAGGAAAAAAAATCCTTCTTGACCCCAAAATAGCAGTCAGATGTTTCCTTGGATCAAGCAGCTATTACCCCACTAGTTAGAAATGATATCCCTGTATGTTATGTTTTTGCAAGTATTTATCCAATTGCAGTTTAAACATCTGTATAGACTCTGACAAAACCACCTCTTCAGGCAGAGAATTCCATATCCTTATTGCTCTGTAAAATATGTATAATTTGTGGGGTAATAGCTTCTTAATGCAAGGAAAAATCTGACTTCCATTTTAGGATTTTTTTTCTTGTTTGTTGCAAAATTGGAAGTGCTTCCAACTGGGCTTTTTGCCTAACCTTGCATCAACAGAAAACATGAGAAAGGCTGAACTTGATGGACACATGTCTCTTTTCAGCCTATGTAACTATGTAACTGTACTGTGGACACTACACTTCCATATACTAAGTGCAATTCAATTTAAACGGGATTACGATAGGCTGAAAACTCTGAGGTGTGTTAGAAAGTCATACCATTCGGTACAGAAGTATATTTGGGCCAAAAGGGGAAACACTACAGTGTTAAAGAGAAGGGAAGAGAGGGTTCGAAAACTAACTAAAAAAACAGATAAAATTAAAAAAACAAAAAACACTTTTCGTAACTAACTGTATACCTGACATATATATTACACCTAATGTGTGGGTGCCTCGCATATATTTGTTTCAACCTTGCTGCAAAATTCACAAGAACATGTAATGGTGCACACGAGGTGTGCTTACATAAGGGAACAAAGCAGGGACATTTGAACAGGAACCCTAAATGTGGAATGCCCTGCTAAGACTGGAACTATTGGGAGGTATGCTTAGGTAGTTTCAATGTTAAAAAGTACAAAAACCATTTTTTTGCAAGTGATATTTTTCATGTGCCTTTTTCTTCTCTATTTATCACAGTACTGCAACTATATTTGCTGTATTGATTTTTGACGGTCAGGTTGCAAATAAGAAAAATTAGACAGAACAATCGATATTGTGACTTTTTCACACACCATTCATTTTTATGATATTTTAAAAATTACGGCTGGTTAGTACCTGCCCACTAAGCATTTATTACAAAAAGAAAAAAAGTTTTAAAAGCTACATTCAGAAGATGACAGGGTGCTCCCCACAAATCCCTGAGTTCCAGTTAAACCCGATAGGAGAACCTTCATAAAGACCTAGTTGATGTCCTGCACAGTGCTACCCCATTATAATCAATGGGGACTACTTGCACATGTGTATAACTGCAGTGATGGACTCTATTCATGTGAACAGAAGTCTCTCCAAGTACAGAATGTATTTATCATGCACAGGTAGCTCCAATTGATTTTGACTGGAAAACACCACTGGTAGTGTATGGGCAACTGTTAGTTCTCTGCTGCCCATCTGACAACAGAAAACAATGATGTCAGGTTAGCTGCCTAAGCATCATGGGAGATTGAATTCAGAGATATCTGCAGAGCCAAGATTAGCATTCACTACTCTAAGGAAAACATAAAGTAATACTAGAGCTCAAATTGTTGACTTAATTAAGTAATTAAAGTTAATTGTAATCATAAAATACAATCATAAATATGACATTAACATTATACAGCAATGATAGGATTTCCACAATGAGAGAAGAGGAGACAAAAAAACTCTAAAAGACCTACTCCATATTAAGCGTAAAAGACACAGTCTGGTGGATACTTGGGTGCAGTGACCATTGAATTGTCAGTGCACCATAAATGGGAAAATGATCAAATACAGCGTTACAGCTTTTCTTCTTTGCCCTATATTTTGCTACTCCCTTTTCTGCTGTCCAAAATGTATATGTTGATGATGTTACGGGATTAGAAGTAGTACAAGTGGCGGGCGCACTGTGCTAATGTGTGTCTGAATGTCTGTGTCAGGGAAAGAGCGGAGGGCTTGCAAATACTGCACACAGCAGATCTGCCGCTTTTGCAAGCTGTTTTTTCATATGACCCTAAAGAAAAGATGTAGAAAAGAAAACACATGTATCTTTTCTAGGTGGATATATCTACTTAATTGTTAAAATAATTACATTTTCCGTGGAGTGTTCCTTTTAGTCATTTGGTCTATCGGTTTTAGGGGTGATGCATTATGAACATCAGCTAAAAAGTATTGATATCAGCAATATTAACTATTTAAGTACCAATCCTTTGCATGTCTGCCTATATACTGCAATCTCTGCAATTATATACACTGGGGTTTTTTTTTCTGAGCAATTCTAGATTCCTAGTAGCAGGAATGGGGTAGATAAGTAAATGAGGTCTCATTAGAGAAGTCCATCTGATGTAGAACAGCTAGTTCAGTGGTGCGCAGGATAAGTGTGTGCCAATTTGGTTAAGTAGCTCAAATCATGTGTGTAGGTAGCGGTTATCGTGTGGTGTGAACCATAACAATCCCCAAAATCGCTCAATTCCCCCCCAATCAAACTAGGAAACGTATATATGTGGTATAAAAAAGGCCACAGCTTTATTTATAAATTAACAAACAACTGTAAATAAACCAACCATAAATAATTTAGGTGTAAGTATGCTTATCTTCAAACTAGTCCTTGCCAACCGTACCACCAAAACTCTAGGGTACACCCCCCACCAAGGCATCGGCCCTCCCCCCTCGTCCAAGATACCTGGCCTTCACTTTGGCCTTCAAACTCCACATGCCAACCCCTGGCCACCTTTCCTGGCACGGAGGGCACGCCCAAATACCCCAAACATTTTCGAGGTCAGGGGAGGGACCCGACCCAGCATCTTTCTTTTTCTTTACTCCTCTTCCCAATAGGTTCGGCAAGGACCATACCCGCCGGCTGTGACAAGAAAAAATTGTTAATGACAAACAGACAAACAACGCAAAACAAACAGGGGAGGGAGGGAGGGGACTAGTTACCTTGCCGTTAAATTTAAGATGGCTGAGGTAGCAGACAAAATGTCACCTATTTATATGACCCCACCCTACTCCTTAGCTAAATCACACACCCATACTTCCACCACACCCACACATGCCTCCTATCCGGCTAGCTTTCAGCCCGCCTCCTCTGGGCCTTGTGTGTAGGTAGCGGTTATCGTGTGGTGTGAACCATAACAATCCCCCAAATCGCTCAATTCCCCCCCAATCAAACTAGGAAACGTATATGTGGTATAAAAAAGGCCACAGCTTTATTTATAAATTAACAAACAACTGTAAATAAACCAACCATAAATAATTTAGGTGTAAGTATGCTTATCTTCAAACTAGTCCTTGCCAACCGTACCACCAAAACTCTAGGGTACACCCCCCACCAAGGCATCGGCCCTCCCCCCTCGTCCAAGATACCTGGCCTTCACTTTGGCCTTCAAACTCCACATGCCAACCCCTGGCCACCTTTCCTGGCACGGAGGGCACGCCCAAATACCCAAAACATTTTCGAGGTCAGGGGAGGGACCCGACCCAGCATCTTTCTTTTTCTTTACTCCTCTTCCCAATAGGTTCGGCAAGGACCATACCCGCCACTAGCCCCAGCTGCATTTACGCCTAAATCAGCGGGCGCGACCCCCAAGCAACGCCATGGCCTGTTCCAACGCGTCCTGTAGCGCTAAATTAAATAAGTCCAAGCCTACGTCAGTTAGATGGACCCCGTCCGGGCGAAAATAGATTGCTGCCTCGCGCTCAAAAATACGGTGTCGCACTGTTAAGCCCCCGACGCCTAGGACAAATTTGGAAACCCGCTTATTAATCTTGACCCTGCAGCGCTCAATAGCACCCTGATCGCGTGCGCACTTCCAATAGTTCCTAGAAACGATATCCGACCATATTAAACAAAGTCGTGGAAAAAGCACACGCAAGCGCGCCAAATCTCGCCTGATGAGTTCCCCCAGCCCCCACGCAGGCAGGGACCCCAGATCGTTCCCCCCCAGATGCACCACCAAGATGTCCGGGGCTCCTAATAAAGTGGATAACTGCACGACCTCCGGTAATAGCTGACCCCATCTCATGCCCCGGAACCCGAACCACCGGACTTCCGCCAGCTCCCGAGGTATTCCGAGCCGTGTCCCACCCGGGCGTACCCCAGCCCGCAGGTGAGCCCAGTAGATGTACGAATGACCGATCAACCAGATCCGTCGGCCAGGCCCTGTGGAGAAAACACAAGGGGGACACCGATCAGACGTGTGGGCCGTACATAAGACCGAAACCTCCCCGATTCCCATCTGCCAATCCTCTGAATGGCCTGGTCCGAAAAACCTAAACGGGAGGCTTCAGTTGCGGCCCCAATTCGAAAAGAATGTCCCCCAAAGTCTGCACTCGAAATACCCAGTTGGTCGAGTGCCAACCGAAAGACCCGAAGAAATTGGAACCGAGAAAGGAAGGAACCGTCCCCATGAATTAGTAGAGGGCCCTCAACGTCCGGGCGACCAAGACAATAAGACTGAAAAGATGCGACAGGGCAGACAGCCGAACCCGGAATAGCGCGGAGGGTAACCCATGCCCCTTTGCCGAAGATGTCGGTTTTGGACCTTCGTACCAAAAAACGCACTGAATCCGACACCACAGACACATCGTTGAACAACAAGCCCCCCGGGATCCGTTTGCTAGGGCTCACAAGCTCACCGATTCGAAGGGCGCCGAAAAAGGCGAAAGTAAAAGCCAACTGGAACAAACGTGCCTCCGAATCTGAAAAACAAACCCTGGGTAAGACCGACGCAATGCCTACTAGCAGAGCGCCAGAAACCGGCCTCCGAGAATCCCGCAGGTGTGGGCCCTTGCGCCAGCCGCGCATCGCAAGTCGAACCATGCAGTCCTTGGTAACGTCAGGCACCTTAGTCAAGTTGAACCAGAAACTAAGACCGGATAGCTTCCCTGAAACCGTAGCCGGAGAACACCCGCTAGCCTCCCAGAACCAGAGCAACCGTAAGATCCCCTGAACCCTTGCAGAGGTCGAATCAAACCCACCTAGGTCTTGTTCCAAAGCAACCCAGTCCCCCCATGCCTTACCGTACCGAACCCAAGTTGCCTCAGACACCGAAGACCGAATCCATTCCCTTATCCGCTCAGGCCAAGGGACCATAAGTCTCTGGGACAGGGGAGGCCTTCCGTGTCCGCTTCCGGCGCGGCCAAACGAAACACCTGCCAGTGGAAACGAGAAAGAGCATCAGCCGTGGTATTCTCCACACCAGGGATATGCACAGCGCGGCAAGTCACATTAAAAGACAGACATTGTAAAACCAAGCGCCGCAAGAGCCGAACTACAGGAGGGGAGGAGGCCGTTAGCCTATTAATGGCTTGTACAACGCCCATGTTGTCACAGTGGAACACAACACGCCTGTTCTTGATCTCTGGCCCCCAAAGATGGATAGCCACCACAATGGGGAAGAGTTCCAAGAAAGCCATGTTCTTGGTCAGGCCAGAGGTGAACCACGATTCGGGCCAGGGCTCCGCACACCATTGCCTTCCCATGATAGCCCCAAATCCCGAAGACCCCGCGGCATCCGTAAACAGGTGCAGCACCGAGTTCGTCACCTCGGGCTGCTGCCAGTAGGACCTGCCGTTGTACCCATCCAAAAAGACTGCCCATACTGCCAAGTCCTCCCTGAGCGCCTTGGTCAAGCGGACGAAGTGAGACGGTTTCAAAATCCCAGCCGTAGCGGCCGCCAGGCGCCGGTTGAACACCCTGCCCATCGGCATAATCCGACAGGCAAAGTTCAATTTGCCCAATAGGGATTGAAGTCGCTGCAACGTAATTTTTCGCAAAGTGGTCGCCACTCGCACCACCTCCCGAAGATCAGCCAATTTATCCAATGGGAGCCGACATTCACCAACAACGGAATCAATCTCGATCCCGAGAAAGCACAGGCACGTAGAAGGGCCAATTGTTTTTTCTGGTGCCAGCGGCACTCCGAACTCGCAAGCAACATCCGCTACTGCTTGCAGGAGGTGCGCGCATATCGGGGAGCGCGCAGGGCCAACACAGAAAAAATCATCCAGGTAGTGAAGCAAGGAATCGTAACCGGATTCCGCTCTAACTACCCATTCCATGAAGGAACTAAAACATTCGAAGTAAAAACAGGATATCGCACAACCCATCGGGAGGCACATGTCCACGTAATAATGACCTTCGAATATACAACCCAGGAGGTGGTGGCACTCCGGGTGAACCGGTAGGAGGCGAAAAGCCGACTCAATGTCCGTTTTTGCCATAAGTGCCCCGGGGCCAGCAGCCCTGACCATATCCACCGCCGCGTCAAAGGACGCGTAGGAAACGCGGCACAATTCAGCGGCAATGTCATCATTCACCGAGCCCCCTTGAGGATGCGATAAATGGTGAATCAGCCTAAACTTGCCTGGTTCCCTTTTGGGTACCACACCCAGTGGTGAAACCCTCAAATCGAGTAGTGGAGGCTCTCGAAAGGGGCCCGCCATGCGACCCAGCGCTACCTCCTTAGCCAATTTTTCCCTTACCACCCCCGGGTGATCGGCAACTGATCTCAGGTTCCGGCAGAAGCCGGAGACCTGCCGGGCCCGGTGAGGGATCCAAAACCCTTGTCCAAAACCCTCCAATAACAAGGCAGCCGCCTTCTTATTGCTATAACGCTTTAGCCAAGGGCGCATCGCGTCTACGTCCACCGGCGTCCTCGCCCTTAGCGCCCATGGCATCTCCTTTGTCGCCGGTCCTGCCTCGCTTGAAGCATTTTGATGCTGGGTGGGAACCGCCGCACCCGGAACATTCATGCTTGAAGCGGCAGGCGGAACCGAACTTACATTGGCCGTCGTTATATTGCCAACAGTACCCAGTCCTCCGCTGAGTGGCCGACGCTGAAGATGAGGACCCAGCGCCGGCCCCCCCAAGAAAGGACGAAAGGCCCCCTTGATGCGAAGCTGGGCGGGTCATGATGGCCAACCACAAGCCGATATCCATTTGATCCCAACTCGTGGAAGGGCGAACCGCCAAACGTTGGCGGAACTGTTCATCATACCGCCACCACCCTAGCCCGCCATAAACCCGACAGGCATTCCATATCATGTCCTGGTAGCAAAATAGGGAAGAGCATTTACTGGGAGTCTTTTCACCTATCACGCTAGCTAGGATAGAAAAAGCCCTAATCCAGTTACCAAAAGTTTTCGGAATCTTCCGATACCGAAACTTCTCTTTGTCTTTTTCAGACTCTTTTGCATCTGCATCCACCCGAGGAAGATCTTCCAAAGGGAGGAGGGAAAAAATTTCAACAAATTCTCCTTTTTCTATTTTAGCCCTCAAATCAGGCGTCAGATGGAGGCCCAAAGGGCCTGACCAGCACATGTACGCTGCCCCATGCGCAGCGGGTGCTACCCCTAAACCCGAGACAACCGCGGTGACCCCCGTAGGACTCGCTGAAGAATCAGCTGTTACTAGCGGAGGCGCCGCAGCCAGAGGGATGGTGACCTGCGTAGAAGCGTCGGGTAACGCTGCCGCAACCCCCGCAACCTCACATCCTGCGGAACTAGCCCAGCCCGCCCGAAGCTGGCTATCCACGGCCGTTGGGGGGGGAGCCCCAGGGCGAGATCCCCGCTCAAAAGTTACAAGAGCATTCCTTATCGCTTGGAGCACCGAACCCCATTCTTGCGACTCGCGTGCGCCAGCGCCCCCTGATTCTGATCCGGCAAAAGCAGAATACTCACCGGCAGGAGCCGAATTGGAGGGTAGGAGCGGAACCGCGACTTGCGAGGGAACTGGACCGCAGGAAGCACCGCACCAGACACAGCGTCAGGGACCCGGTTAGCGAGCTGACCTGGAAGAATCTGCGAAGACAGGACAGGTGAGAAAAAACCCGACCCACCCGTCCCAGGTGCTGGAAGATGCGCAGTAGGGGGGGGCAACCCTGGCAAATTAGTAGATAGGACAGGGGCACCAGAGGGTGGGACAGGGGAACCAGGGATTGGGATAGCCATGCCTGAGGTAGCCCCAGGGGGGTTACCATGGGCCCTAGGTAAAGGTGGGAGGGGGAGGGGGGAATACAAGTGGGTAGGCTGGACGGATGAGGGTAGTGTGAGTGGCTGGACGGATGAGGGTAGTGGGAGTGCAGGAAAGGCAGGCCCAGGGGAGACAGAGGGGGGAGAAGGAGAAGGGGGGGGGCTGTGACAGTTGAAAGATGGGCCTGGCGCTGGGCCCCTACCCCCCGAACACCCCAACCCCCTCCCGAAATCCCCGGTGGCCTGCGGCCCACTTACCGCCCTGGAAGGAGAGGTGGATGCAGGCCCAACCTGTGCGCGCCCTGCCCGAGATCCGGAGGGGGCAGAGCGCAAATCAGGCACCCGGCGCGCCGGCCGGGCTGGATTAGCCGACCGGGAGCTCGCGGCCGCCCTTCTGAGGGCCCGCGAGCCGATGGTAAGAGGTCCTGGGCGGCTGTCACCTCCCCGAGCAGCGGCCGCCAGACGGGCACTGCGCGACCGCCTCGGGGAGGAGGAGAGAGGCTGCAGAGATGTGCCGGCCGCGGCCACATGAGAGCTGGCGCGCGTGCCGGCACTGGGGATCCCACTCCCGTCCCTCTCGCGAGGAGCTCGGGGAGGAGACAGGAGGATGGCTGATAGCTGCGCCGGCCGCGGCCGCGTGGGAAGCGGCCCGCGGACCGGCAGCCTGACTCCTGCCTCCAGCCCCTACCCGGCCTGCTCGCGAGGGGCTCGGGGAGGAGACAGGAGGATGACTGATGGCAGCTCCGGCCGCGGCCGCGTGGGAACCGGCCCGCGGACCGGCAGCTGTGCTCCTGCCTCCAGCCCCCACCCGGCCTTCCTGTGAGGGGCTCGGGGAGGAGGCAGGAGAATGCCTGGTGTCAGCGCCGGCCGCGGCCGCGTGGGAACCGGCCCGCGGACCGGCAGCTGGGCTCCTACTTCTGGCCCCCACCCGGCCCTCCCGTGAGGGGCTATAACGGGTGGGGGGACGCGCCCGGCGGCGCGGAGCTCCATGGCTGCCGGGAGGGGGAGCAGCTACCACAGAGGCACCCTGCAGCCTTGCCAGCTGGGCCTGCAGGTGCCTGCCACCGTCCTGGAGGGCCTCAGCCCTAAGGGCAGCAAGGATGCCTTCAATATCCATGCTCCTGGCCGTGAGGTAAGCAAAGTAACTACGGGCTAGCACAGGGGACTAGTTACCTTGCCGTTAAATTTAAGATGGCTGAGGTAGCAGACAAAATGTCACCTATTTATATGACCCCACCCTACTCCTTAGCTAAATCACACACCCATACTTCCACCACACCCACCACACCCACACATGCCTCCTATCCGGCTAGCTTTCAGCCCGCCTCCTCTGGGCCTGGTTTGCTTATAGCGCATCAGGATAGAATGACTCCACGTTAAACAGTAGTCAGTGCACAGAAGCATTTGTTTTGTTCTCTCGCATTTATAAACACTTGTTTTCCCCTAATTCAAGTTGTCCATTCACCTGAATAATCAGGGTGAAGTAATCGTTCTCTGCAAATGACCTTGTTACCTCCTGTGTAGTGTTGCTCTCCTTTTGAAATTCTTTATTCAACCTGCAGGATTCAGTTTATCGTGTGTTGAAAATATGCAGAGGAAGATTTTTCTCTTTTTTATTTTCCTATGACAATCTTTATTTTATCTTTCAGTTTATCCAAGACGTAGCATATTTATAATAGTTTTAAATCATTGCTGACATTGCTGCATAATAAAGAAGTATACAACATTATTAACTGTTAGCAGAGTGTCTCGATGTAAGTGAACAGAGTTTTGATCTTTTGTCGGTCATATCGATGTATCACGTTAGTCTGAGGTTATATCTCATGCAAGGCATCTCATGCTTGGGTATTGCCCCATATCCATAGTGAAGGTGAACATAGTGATGAGGGCAGGGCCGGACTGGGAAAAAAATTAGGCCCGGGCATTTTTCAATCAGAGCGGCCCCCTAAGAAGGGGGCGGGGCCAGAGAGTGTGTGTTTTGTCATCACTAATGACAACACGCCCCTCTCAAAGTGAGCATGTTGGTTCAATGCCCAGAGCCCTGCTGAAGAGCTCTGGCATTAGAAAAAAGCCCTGAATTTGTTCTGCGCAGTGCAAGCAAATTTAATAACATGCTTGCGCTGTGTTTGCTTTTAAATTGTCTCTGGTGTCTCCACAAGTGGGATACCAGAGGACAAAAGGGCCAGGAAAGTGCATGGTGCATATGTTTGGAGCCTGCTTGTGGGATTGCGTGTGTGTAGAGTGTAGTGTGGTATTGTATAAATAGGTCAATTTAATTTGTGTTTGTGGTGTAATATGTGTGGCTAGGGGCTGTAGAGAGTGTGTGTATAGGGGGCATAGTTTTATAGGGGATGCAGCGATTGTGTGCATACGGGCTGAAGTGTGTGTGTATAGGTGACGTAGTGTGTGTAGGGGTTGCAGAGAGGGTGTGTTTAGAGAATGTTGTATGTGTTTGCTGACAAGGAATGTAGTGTGTGTGTGTAGGAGATCTACTGTGTAAAGGACCCAGTGTGTGTGTGTGTGTGTGTGTGTGTATAGAGGATAAAGAATGCATATAGAGTAAGGGATCTAGTGTGTATCTGGAGCGTAATGTGTGTAGTGGTACAGTGTGAGGGGTGCTGTAGTGTGTGTGTGTGTGTGTGTATGTATATATATATTTGGACTTATTGTATGTGTGAGGGGCGCAGTGTGTGTATGTAAGAGGGGTGCTGTGTGTGAGTGTGTTTTTATCTGCTGTCACATTCTAGGTTTCTAATTTTCTTTAGAACAAAAAGGTAATGGTTCAGCGCTAAACAATCTAAGAGAAACTAAAAACAAAAAGTAAAAGCAGCAACCTATAGGAATGAGGTCCCTCAAATAACCTCACATGGAATGGAACAAACAGAAAAAGGTATATAGGTCGCGCTAAGGGGACAAGAAGGTAAAATAAATAGAATAAATAAAAGTAATAAAAAAGTCCCAAATATAAATAAACCTGTGTGGTTCTAGGAGAGTATACAGTCCAAATGGGTATCTGAGTCTTCTTATGTTGAGGATGTCTTGAAATGCTTGTCAATACGTAGATACATAAAAAGAAAAGAAGAGGAACTCCAATAGTGTAGAATGTCGATATAGTTTCCAGGTATAGGTCTGTAAGTAGGTAAATGACTCACCTTGGCGTGAGCAAAGAAACCTTGCTCAAGTGTTCTTAGCGTTCAGTGGCGTCAATCCCCCACTGGTAGGATATAGGTGATGGGGTCCTGGACAATTCCTCTGTATATAAAAAATGAGAGACGTATATAGTGCTCACTGATGTTTGTAAAAACAAATAAAATAAGTAAAATACTCACATGTACATGAGCAGGAAATACTGCTCAGTATGATGGCGCAGGTGGTACAATCCCCACCTTAGGATTCTTGGAAGTTGACGTACTTCAATCCAAATTGATGACCAGGTAATTCAAATTAAAAATAACAATAAAAAATAAAAGGAATTAAAAGTATATAGGCAAAAAATAAGGGCCAATATTCCTTTATTAAAATATAAATTATCAATATATATAACAGACTTTGTAATAGCCAATTGGCTATTACAAAGTCTGTTATATATATTGATAATTTATATTTTAATAAAGGAATATTGGCCCTTATTTTTTGCCTATATACTTTTAATTCCTTTTATTTTTTTATTGCTATTTTCAATTTGAATTACCTGGTCATCAATTTGGATTGAAGTACGTCAACTTCCAAGAATCCTAAGGGGGGTGCTGTGTGTGTCGGGGTGCTGTGTGTGTCTGGGGGTGCAGTGTGTGTCTGGGGGTGCAGTGTGAGTTTGGGTGCTGTGTGTGTGTCGGGGTGCGCTGTGTGTGTCGGGGTGTGCTGTGTGTGTCTGGGGTGCGCGTGTGTCTGGGGGTGCTGTGTGTCTGGGGGTGCTGTTTCGGGGGTGCTGTGTGTGCCTGGGGGGGTGCTGTGTGTCTGGGGGTGCTGTGTCTGGGGTGCTGTGTGTGCCCGGGTGTTGCTGTGTCTGGGGGTGCTGTGTCTGGGGTTCTGTGTGTGTCTGGGTGCTGTGTGTGTCTGGGGGGTGCTGTGTCTGGAGGTGCTGTGTCTTGGGGGTGCTGTGTGTGTCTGGGGGGTGCTGTGTGTGTCTGATTTTTTTGACCCTTTAATTTGCAGGCTTAATAGCAAAGAGGGTGCATTGCTACCTTCATCCGGGACTGGTTAATAAAAGGTTCTATAGACTAAAACTATCAATAATGCACCCAGTGTGTCTCTAATAACCTTATAGGCTGCCAGATTCATTAATTATTGCACTCTACAGCAGAGGGAAAGGTGCCGATTTACAACTATTATGTTTATCGTAACCGGACTTAGAAAGCACTGCAACTTTGCTGAGATCCTTAAAAGGACTCTCCAGTGCCAGGAAAACATATTCACAGGACCCTGCAGTGCCCCTCTCCCTCCCACCCCCCTTCCCAAGTTGCTGAAGGAGTTAAAACCCCTTCAGTGACTTACCGGAGTCCAGCTCCGATGTCCCTTGGCGCTGGGTCAGGCTCCGCCCACTCTCCTCCCCCCGCCGACGTCAGCAGGCGGGGGAGACCTAATGTGCATGCTTTCCTATGGGGATGCTTTCTTATGGGGATTTTGGCGACGCTGGAGGTCCTCACATAGCGTAAGAAGTTCTAAGAACATGGAAGTCCCTCTAGTGGCTGTCGGATAGACAGCCACTAGAGGAGGAATTAACCCTGCAAGGTAATTATTGCAGTTTATGAAAACTGCAATAAATACCCTTGCAGGGTTATGGGTAGTGGGAGTTGGCACCCAGACCACTCCAATGGGCAGAAGTGATCTGGGTGCCTGGAGTGTCCCTTTAAATCCTTACTTTCAGGTGCATTTGCATTAATTTCCCAGCACCCTATCATGCACTGTTATGTTGCCTCGAGCTGGGATATAACTACACCCCAACCACGGGATCAGTACAAAGTTGCATGGAGTTAAGCAATCAGTAAAAAGGCCAGCTTTTTGCTGCTGGACACCAAGGATGAATGTGTATATATGAATGTCAGTAGTCTGTGTATGCGTGTAATCTCCTTAACAGAAGGGGGTTGCGGGTCGTGCAGTAGGAGACATTATTAATATTATTATTTTTCAGTTGGAGGGGACCAAAAATACATTTCTGTCCTGGGTGCCATGTAACCTAGGTACACCTCTGTGCGTGTGAGTCTATAATGCTCCTCCAGTCTGGAAACTGGGTTGGTTACCTGCTTGTGAAAGCAAAGTTAGTAGATGTTTTATTTACAGATAGTAATAGACACTTGACATAGCATTACAGCAGATGCAGTAAAGATTTTACAGTAAAATAATTTAAAATTGGGATGAGTATCGGTTTAGCGTGAAGAACACCTACGGGAAATCAAAAGACTGAAGATTTGTAATAGGCAACTGATTCTTTTTCTTGTTTGTTGTCACAAAACTTTTCTATGTCACATGCATTGATAAAATGCCACCTATTCAGTATTTGGTTATTTAGTTCCTGCATGCCATGGGTCAGAAAGGATATCTATTGTCTTTCTCTATTTCTTTCTCTATCCATACCTCCCAGCAGTCCCAAATCTGGTAGACAGTCCCATTTGAGACCTCCATTCCACGTTGTTTCCTACCAGTAAAATATAGTATGTCATAAAACTATTTTTTATTTAATATTTATAAATATCCACAATTAACCTTTTTGGAGATTTCTATCTAAAACACACAGATGATAAAGGATAAATCTAATGAAAGCTTGGAATTTCTCACAAAAAAACCCCCACAATCACGAATTATGAAGAATTTACATAAGAATTGGAAATTTTAGACCAAAATAGAAGACCTGTAAAATTGCTGAGTTGGGAGAAATTGTCCAATTTGGTTACCTTGGCCTTACATTTGCTATTTCTTTGCCTGTCAGTTCTCTACAATTACAACTATAGCAAAAAACAAAAAAACCATAGACATGGGTGTATTCACCCTTTGTTACCTGTGTTAGGTAGTCTTTGACGCAAGTTCTTTTGGACAAGCATTACAAAATAAATATTTCGTCGACACCAACAGCGTCCTGCAAGTTTGCTGGAATAAAAAGAGAATGGGGGAAAAAAAAGAAATTTATATCTCTTCTTCAATAAACCTGAAAGTGATAATTAAACATTACCGAACCTTTCTAAAATGAGTCCTCTGGCAAGAATGAAATGGTTATTATTTTGAGATTTCCAGAGGTTAGTGGTGCTTCATCATGCATAACTAATCTACAGAGCATCACAACTTATCTGAACCTCCAAGTCATTTTAACATTCTATATTGCCTTAGGTGTCGAAGGCTGATAGACAAGTATTTATGTGCATTGAGCAGCGCTGGGGTCATTGCAGAGTGAAGAATTAATTGTTTTAGCTCTAACAAACTTTGCATGCCAATTGCCCTTTTTCAACTGCCTTCCTTTCTTTAATATTTCGAGAAGGCAATAGACTTTATATTTCAGTCACCTGCAGCAGCACTCCTGCACAACGGTGGAAGGGTTCCACTAAATCACCTTTTGAACTGAATCTCTCAGCTAATTGAGAGTAGCTTGCTCAGAAATGCACAGAAGTAGATTGTGTGTCAGCGATTGACAGGAGCTGGCTGGGTGCAATTTTCTCCACTACATTTTTTTTATGCTATGATATAATGGTAAATGGCAGTGAGCGTTTATTTGATTATTAATCTAATGACACAGATTTTTTTATATTTTTTTTAACCCTTTTCGGACGTGGTCAGTAATGTACTAGCATTCCATTCAGCGAAAACAAGCAATGCATTTAATTCATTTTTGTTAAATGCTATAAATGGATGGAAATAATATAACATCAATACCGCATAATAATTCACTTTAATTTGTAATTACAAATTATTTATTTGCTTAAAAATATCTAAGGTGTTATTTACTAAAGCTATGAAATTAATGCCATTTTCAAGTGTGTTAGGGTTTTCAGGTCAAAATACAAAAACTGGAAACATAACTGATCTGAATATTTTTTCCAAAGGCTTGCTTGGCCCTGCTCAGCTCAGTGCTGTAAGTAGAAAAACATAGTAAGCAGGGCTGCAGCAACATGTTATTCGGGTTCTAGTACTTAAAGTATCCATTTAATACATATGTTAGTGCTATATAAATTTAATACATAGAATTTACCCTGTGGACCATAACAATGCCGATGAGTCCCAGAAGGATGACATTGTGTCATTCCTCCCAACTATCTGGGCGGGCGAAGACCAGATGGGAGGGCAGAGCCACGAGGGGGCATTGCCAGAAACTCAATGCACATCATTAGCAGCCCATCCAGTGACAGACACCTGGCATGGTCCTAGTGCCCGCTGCACAGTGCAAGCACGTTTAAGGATGCGCTTTCGCTGTACGGGGACAGTTCTCTTGGGTCTCCAAATGCGGTACACCAGGGAAGTAAAGCAAGATGGTGGTACAGGACCTTGAAATTGTGACTGAGTTGGAAGGCCTGTTGTGTGGTCGAAATGGTTGGCTTTTGGAGCATAGCTTATGCTTTAGTTTATAAAGCTGTGTTTTTTTAAAGACAGGACTCCATTGCTAAATGGTGCCTGCAGAAATGGGAGATGCAGTCTCAAACATGATCCTTGTCTGTTCCCATCTGCATAATCTAGAGGCATTCTGGGAGAATTATGCAAACATCATTGCTCAGACCTGCTGTGCCCAACACATTTTGAAATTTGTCTATATATACATGTGCGTGTGAGTGTGTGTATGTATATATTAAGAGAGAATTTTACCAGGATCAATCCACTAGCATTTGTCTAGTTTTCAAGCACGGTATTGCTAATATATACATATTTATAATCTGTCTGTCAGTCTCTCTACTTGTCTCCCTCAGTCTAAAACATTAGCAAAGATGATACATTGCAGACTTAACTGGAGCTTTAATTAGAGGCTGTACATATCCATAAACTGTGAACTGTGTAGGAATTATATCTGTTGTTATTTATAAATTGGACAGATTAGCATAATCTTAAAGTTAAGGAATGTGGCTTCAAATCCTTATGTTTCCATACATCTAAAAAATATGCACTTGTGAAGTCTAAAAAGTAAAATGAAATGGGAAAACCACATATTTGTATCCTGCAACTGGGCATGCCAGTGGGAGGGTTAAATGAGAGCAGGCCAGTGAAGCAATTTGCGTCAATGGCTCTTTCCAAAAGGGATGTACCCACTCGGAAAGTGGACAGGTCCACCCATAGAATCCACAGGTCAACCTGACATGTATGTAGGGAACAAAGATGGGTAGGACACAGGACTTGAAAATCAGGACTGTCCCACCAAAATTGGGAGGCCTGATCTTAGCTCCATGTCAATCTTTGTTATAAGCTCTGCCCGTTACACCTGGCCGTACGCATAGAGAAAGCATAAAGAGAAGAGGAGAATGAAACAATTGTTTCTATTTCTCATTTACAATTGCAATGCCTGCCCTGGTTGTTCCTTATCTGAGCTGTTTGGTTTGTTTGTGTGTTTTTCATGTAATTTGCTAAATTTTTTATATAAAAGATTAAATAAACACGGAATCTGATAAAAAAAAACAAATGTTAACAAAAGTTAAAATTCATTTTCATTTGTTTAAATCAAGTGTACATTCCAAGGAAGTGACAGTTCTCCTTAAAATACGTCACCCACAGTCATCACCAAAACGTTGGGTGAGATTCTGCCAGTTCTATGCTGCTGTTTGGTCAGATGATTAACTTGACTGAGAACATTCCACCTTGTTACCCTGGTAACACGTTGGCAGCTGGAGCTGTATGTCATCGCCATTGTCCCGCACATTGGTGAAGAAGCTTGTAATATATTTTGAAGCATTTGGTTTGATTTTATATAGTGTTTTTATACACCCCTAAAGTCATCCTGCTTATGGTCAAAAAATACTTGGTGGCCTTTGAATATTATTTGAAAGTACTTGAGATTCTTTCTATGTTAATGTAGGTTTTAATGAAAGTTTCAAATGACCTTGTCCTCTTCTGCAGTTTAATTGTAGATTGCACTGTTTCCCTCTGGGAGAGGACTGCAGAAATATCAGCCGTTAACGGGACACTCCACTGCCCAAATAAAAATCACTGTTTACGAGATACACCCCAAGTGAAACCATTGGGGGTATATCTAAAACTAGCCTGCAAGTATTTAGATCACAGGACATTCCCCCTAACCTTCAATGATCCTCAATCCCTTAGTTGTTTGTTGTCCAACGATATAATTACAATTATACTAATTATATAAAGGGAGTAGCCAATCTATGTATTGGTCTGAATTGTTTTTTGTCCTTCTCCCCACGCCATATAAATGTTTGTTTTAGTTACTATCTTGTATATTGTTTGTAGTTTGTATTGTACTATGCAATGAAATATATATAAAATATTTGTAAGAAGTGTATTATTGAATGTTTTATGTATAAAACTTTTTTTCCACATTATGAACCTTTTTCTCTCCTTTCTGTAACGTTATATCACTACCTCAATAAAAAAAGAGATTGAAAAAAAAAATTAAAAAATAACATTTTTTTCTCCAATAAAAAAATATATTCAAGCAAAAAAATAAATTAAATAAAACTAGCTTGCAAAAGCTGCAGATCTTTTGGCTGCAGCCTTTGCAAGCCCTCCCCTTCTTCCCTAACCAAGACTGTCTGTTGCTGTCCAATCAGGCTTACCAATGCTCAGAAAAGTCTGATTGACAGGCAGGGGTGTGGAAATGGTTAATTTGATAAAAGTGCCAATTTGTATTGAAATTTGCACTTTTTGTAAAATGAGAAATGAGGACAACTGTTTAAACATATAGCACTAAAGAAGTGCTTTATAGGTCCGGAGTATCTCATTAAATATTTATTTTCCCTTACACTGTAAAAAAAAAAAAAGGATGTACGTTTCATGGTATAGCTAGTTTTTCTCTTCTTTGTCACAATAGCTCTCCTATACAATATATAAATCTCTATCAGATCAAGCTGGCTTTCAAAGTCTGAAGCATTCTAGAAGGTAGAAATTGGCAAATTGCAAATCTATGTAAAAATTAAAATCCCAGTATACAATCCCTAGGAAATAATACAGCCTACATGTTGATTTTTTTTTAGATATAGTTGGGAAATTGACTGACAATGAGGGTGTCATTCCCCAAGTGCTAAATTTGCAGTGAACGGACAAAATAATTGCAACAAAATTACAAAATGTGTTCCCAAATTTCCATTTTGGAAAAACAATATTGTGAATAGTGAATTTAACATTCTAGGCCAAAGTAATCAAACTGGAAGCATAGCAGACGCTACAAGGATTTTTTTCAATTTGGCTTAATGGAGACAACGTTGGCCTAATGAAGTGGTTTTGTTGTGCAGATATACTCCTGCAGTCTAACTGCTTAATTATCTGCTATTGAGGAGTTATATTATTTTGTTTATGCAGCTCAGTCACATTTGCATGTGACCTACACAGTCTGCCTTTAATTTCCTGTAAGGAAAGATCTGGTGTTTAAATTTCCTTTATTGCACAGTCTGTTTAATGTAGAATTTCTTATATCTTTAACTTTTAACAATCAACTAGAGCCTGCAGGGAACTCCTGTCTGTGATTGAAGTAAAATTTATTAGGGCGAGAGATAAAAACTTCGAAATTAAATACACTGTGCTACCACATCTGATAGAAAACTGAACACTTTTTTTTCAAGGAGGCTGTGTGAGTCACTGACAGCCCAATTCATGGAATGGTGATATTGGGTGGTATGAAAGCACAAAATGAAAAAATAATCCTCTAGTAATGAGCTGGCGGAGATGGGCTGTCTTCGGATGACATATACTGACGTCAAGCCCTTGCACAGAGTGCTGTTGAATCGCTCTAAGATGGGTTTGTTGCCCTGGATGCATATTGTACATCAGGGCATGGCAAATTCGCTAGGAATCTAGGATCCAGCTAAACAAGTTAGATGTCAGGTTTTTTTTTAAACTAACAAAGTTTAATTTTTAATGACAAATAAAATTCTTAAAGGGGCACTATAGCCACTAGAAGCTTAATGTAGTTGTTATGGTGAGTATAGTCAGTCTTTGCAGGCTTTTTAATGCCTAGTAATACCTCTAATGACAGTCACTCAGACAGCTATTAGAGGTGATTCCTAGACCAGTGCTGCATTATGTGCAGAACCTATGTGCAGCGTCTCCACACTCTGCATCGAGGTCCTGAATGTTCTCATGTTCCATTTGGGTTACGGGAGAGTCCAATAGATAGACCACAAACTACTCTTCCTCTCTCAACATCACCTGCTAATGTAACTGAAGTACAGGGAACTCTAATGCTACACTGAGGCAATGTTTGCAGCCTCTTTCAATGTTGTCACAAGATTTATATCCCTGTTTTGATTCTTATCACAGCACAGTTTGGTTCTTGGTAAATGTTTATTTGTGTGAACACTTGGAGAGCCCAGGCCAGACTTAAATCACACAATGGTACATAATATGTTTAGGTAGGAATTTCTTATTTTCTAAACAATTGTCTGTCTGTTGAACATGCATGCATTATAAAGGTGCTGCTGGGGCCAATTCATTCAACATACAAGATCCAGCACACTCGCTCATTCACTAAACAGCAATTGGAAGTCTCACATAATGTAATAGTTTTTTTTTGAAAACACCTTACCTAGGCAAAAAAATAATGGGTGTTTAATTACAGTATATGATCATACATTGCATAAGCATGCTACAACAGCAATGTACCCAGTTTTTGGCATGCCCTATCCAGGGTAATATTTAACCTTACCCTGCAAAGCGTCCCAAGAGGAAGGATTTCCCAAGTAAGAGGTTTTATCTCATAAAAGCAGGAATTAGATTCTTAGGGTAGGACCATCCAAAAATGGGCCCCGATTAAGCCGCATCGGTAGGGACAGATTTACCAACCAGTTGGGACACTGGGACAGCGCTTTGAAACAGGAACAATCCCAGTCAAACCGGGATCTTTGGCAACCCTAAAAATAGATCCATATATAAGCATTGTGATTTGCTTCACTGTTCCAAGCGTAAAACATTAGATTTACTGGTCCTTTAAGTAAATTTCTGCTTAAAGTACCACTATAGGCACCCAGACCACTTCAGCTTAATGAGGTGGTCTGGGTGCCTGGTCCAGCTAGGATTAACCCTTTTTTCTATAAACATAGCAGTTTCAGAGAAACCCCTTCCTTCCCCTAGAGCCCGGCGGGAGGGGGACCCTGAGGGTGGGGGCACCCTCAGGGCACTATAGTGCCAGGAAAACAAGTATGTTTTCCTGGCACTATAGTGGTCCTTTAAACATCGTAAATAAGGGTTGCTACCTTTCTTGGAAAAAAATACCGGCCATGCTAATTTGCATAATTAATTATATATGCGGCTGTGCATCAAATGCCTTTCTACATTGTACACAATATATCTAAATACACATAAATATTCACCAAAAACCAAATTGTAATGAATTACAATCAGAATTGTAAAATGTAGGTAAGTTGTGCGTAGGCAAAACTGGGGAATTTGATCAAATACATATTTTTGTCTATAACTTACAATTAATATATAAATTCACTGCATTTCACAATTTAATGAATTTGTAAAAATGAATGGATTTGGTAAAGTTCTCTGGGTCTACTCTAGTCCCGATAAGGCTATGTATGTTCTGGAACTTGCAATTTATTTGTTTTTGATGTTATTTTGTGTGAATGCATTCCTGTATTTAAACATGTAGGGGTGAATTGTATAAGGAATGTTATAGGCCCACTACGGACACATAAAGTAATCCGGCTTACTAAGGTGCTTCATGTGTCTGGAGTTTGTCATTTTGCCAAGGCAACTGGAGTTTGTATTTTTTTTAAAAAGTACAGATTTCAATGATAATTGGCACTTTTACAAGTGGATGGCAAACGCCTGGCTGTAACTCACACAGCCGGGAAGTTTTCTACTGCTTCCGTTAGCTCAACAGTGCATGACATTATTGCACAGTCGTTATTCGGCATGTGCCAACCATACTTTAATAACACGCAGACACCGAAAATTCTGTTGGAGTATAAAGTCCACAGCTTTATTAATTAATATCAATATATAAATTAACAATTTAGGGTCATTGTCAACAGTACTCCTTCGTTAGGCTCTTTTCCTATATCATACCCCCGACAATGACCCTACCAAAACAAACATTAGCATAACCAATAATACATACACATAACTCAACGGCCTACCAAGAGGCCCCACCTCCATTTGTCTAACTGCAGGGGTGTACCCAGACACCCCTACACCCCTTGGTTCGTAGCCACCGACGGGCTCGAACCTACCTCCATACTTTTGACTTCCGGCCTACTCCAGCCTAGACCTTGGCCTACCAATTTCTTAACCCACCAAAATTCCAGTTTAACCAAGACCTTTTCCCGCCGCTGTGACCAAGCGGGAACTACTACTAACTCATAGGGTGGGTGGGAGGGACAATTTACAGGTAAGAAAGGCTCAAGTTAGAATGAACTTACCCTAAAATGGCCGCTATTTAAACTTCCCTTCTAACCCACGCCCCCCAGCACAATCACAGGACAGCCTCTTGACCTGAACTTCACCCTGCCTACTCCTGGCTCTGTCAAGGCCCACTCCTCCCTGCGTTGCTCCGTGGTTTCATGACATTATTGCACAGTCGTTATTCGGCATGTGCCAACCATACTTTAATAACACGCAGACACCGAAAATTCTGTTGGAGTATAAAGTCCACAGCTTTATTAATTAATATCAATATATAAATTAACAATTTAGGGTCATTGTCAACAGTACTCCTTCGTTAGGCTCTTTTCCTATATCATACCCCCGACAATGACCCTACCAAAACAAACATTAGCATAACCAATAATACATACACATAACTCAACGGCCTACCAAGAGGCCCCACCTCCATTTGTCTAACTGCAGGGGTGTACCCAGACACCCCTACACCCCTTGGTTCGTAGCCACCGACGGGCTCGAACCTACCTCCATACTTTTGACTTCCGGCCTACTCCAGCCTAGACCTTGGCCTACCAATTTCTTAACCCACCAAAATTCCAGTTTAACCAAGACCTTTTCCGCCACAGCACTTGCCTTTACCCCTTAAGGACATGTGCGACCCCCACCACACAAAAACAGGGCTTGCGCTATCCCGTCTTGCAAACCTAAATTAAAAAGGTCATAACCAACATCCGATAAGTGCACCCCGTCATCACGAAAGTAACCTGGTAATCTCTCCTCCAACTCCCGATGCCTCACCACCACGCCTCCTAACCTTCGAATGAACACCGCCATGGTCCTGTTCACTTTACCCCGACATCGAGAAACTGCCTTCTCATCCCTGGCGTATCTCCAGCATAAGCGAGGTACCATCTCCGACCATACCACTTTCACGCCAGGGACAAGCCCCCTTAGTCTGTCAACGTCCTGCTTCATACACTTAACCAGTTCACGTTGGGGGACCAGACCCAAGTCGTTTCCCCCCCCGTGAATTACCACCACGTTCGGCAAGGGCTCCTCCGCTACCTTCCGAAACAATACCGTAATAATGTGCTGCCAGTCAAACCCCCGATAACCGAACCAGAATAACGCCACCCGATCCTCAGGAAAGCCCAGCTGTGTTCCATGTCTTCTAACTGCGGCCCTCCTCCTTGCCCAATGGATATACGAATGGCCAATTATCCACACCGTCCAACCTAAAATAAAACATAACATTGAGAAAACATCACCAGCACATCCCAAACACCCACAATCAACCACCCCTTCACACCAGCCTATCTGGCCGTACATAAGAGCGAAACCTGAGAGATTCCCATCTCCCAATTCGTCTAATCCGTTCATCCCCTAAACCCAAGAGAGCCGCTTCTGTCGCCGCGCCTATTCGGAATGAATGTGTTCCAAACTGCATGGGCTCCAGACCCAACTTCTGTAATCCCAAACGGAAAACCCGCACAAATTGGAAGCGTGACAGTGCCGTGCCGTCGGCATGTATGAAGAAACAACCGCTCCCTATCGGGCGTAGTTCCAAAAACCCGGCCCCACTCGCCACCGGACACAACCCCGACCCTGGTAAACCAAACAACGTGACCATGGCACCTTTACCAAATACATCCGTCTTTGATTGAATCAGGTGAATCAATACCCTGTCCCTACTAACCGTCACATCTTCCAACCTAAGCCCACCAACCCCTTTCTTGTTGGCACTAAGCAACTCACCAATCCGAAACGCCCCAAAAAAGGCCCACGAAAAGCCACTGTAAATAACGCCACTTCAAACACAGAAAAACATATCTCCGGTAGTTTGTTCACTAACCCCTGTAACACTGTGAAGGAGACTGGTCTTCTCGTATCCTTCGTTTTCTTACCTTTCCTGTATCCCCGAACCGTTTGCCTCACTATAAAATGCTTCGTCACATCCTCCCATCCATTAAACTTAAACAAAAACGCCAACGCTGACATGTACCTATCAACCATTGATGGCGACGCTTGCTTTGCGAACAACCGGCATAGGATCCATAACAGTATGTCCAGCCGATTGCTCCCAGGGCCCGTCACCCCTACCTGCTGTATCGTGTCTTCCCACACTTGCCAGACCTTAACATAGGAGAACCAAGTTCCAGGCGCCAGAGACTTCTTTATGTACTCCCCAAGCAAGACATCCCGAGCTCCCACATCTCCGCCGGACAGGCTTGACCCTCTTCTTCCGCCTCCGGCGCCGCCTCCCGAAAACGCTCCCACTGTAGGCGAGACAGCGCGTCAGCGACAACATTGGTAAGCCCCGGTATATGCCGAGCGCGAAACACAATATTAAAAGACATGCACAAGAGAACCAATTGCCTCAACAACCGTACCACTGGCCATGAAGAAGCCGATAATCCGTTGATAGCCTGCACCACTGCCATGTTATCCGAATTGAACACCACCCTCTTATTGGCTAACTCCGGACCCCATAACGCCACTGCCACAACAACCGGGAAAAACTCCAAAAAGGCCAAGTTCCTAATCAAGGGGCTCGCTTTCCATGCCTCCGGCCACCCCTCCGCGCACCATTTACCCGCTAGGTACGCCCCAAAACCGATGCTGCCTGATGCATCCGTAAACAAACCCACGGCCGTGGAGGTTCCCAACGGCTCCCGAAAAAACACCTTCCCGTTAAACTCCCTCAAAAACCTAGCCCATACCTCCAAGTCCTCTCTCATGTCCACAGACACCCTAATATAATGCGACGGTTTTCTCACCCCGCTTGTCGCCCGCGCCAGTCGTCTGCAAAAGACCCTCCCCATAGGGATCACTCGGCACGCAAAATTCAGGCTCCCTATCAACGATTGAAGTTCACGCAAAGTGACCTTCCTCGCCCTACCAACCGTGTCCACTAGCCGCTGAAGGGCCTGTAATTTGTCCCCGGGCAACCTGCACTCCCTCCGTACCGAGTCGATCTCCAAACCCAGGAAGCTGAGGCACGTAGTGGGCCCCACCGTTTTGTCCTCTGCTAACGGCACCCCAAATGTGTGCGCCACCCACTGGAAGGTCCTCAACACCTGGCTACAGCGCTCCGTGCGTGGTGGGCCAACGCATAAGAAATCGTCAAGGTAGTGCACCACAGCACCCCCAGCCGATTCCCGTCGTACGACCCACTCCAAAAAGGTGCTAAACCTCTCGAAGTAAGCACACGAGATGGCACAACCCATAGGCAAGCATAAGTCCACAAAATACCCCCCATCGAAATAGCACCCCAATAAGTGATGACAATCCGGGTGTATGGGAAGCAGCCGGAAAGCTGCCTCCACATCCAATTTCGCCATTAGAGCCCCTTGTCCCGCTCTCCTAACCAACTCGACAGCCTTGTCAAATGATGTGTAGGAAACAGAACACAGGGCCTCGTCGATATCATCATTAACCGATGTACCTTGTGGGTACGATAAATGATGGATCATACGAAATTTACCCGCCTCCTTCTTGGGGACTACCCCAAGTGGAGACACCCGCAAACCAACCAACGGCGGGGAAGCGAATGGTCCCGCCATCCTCCCTAATTGCACTTCCTTACATAACTTTTCCCGAGCTATGCTCGGATGTTCCCCCACTGACCGAAGGTTTTTACATAACCCACCCGCAGCCCTTTCTTGAAACGGAATCCTGAAACCCTCTGTAAAACCCAGCCGTAAAAACTTTGCCACCTCCTGATTATCGTATAGTTTTAACCACGGCAGCATCGCGCTTACCTTCACCGGCGACGCTCCCAGCTGCAGCCGCAGCTGTTGATGTGCCGACAACCCCTCCTCCCAAGTTCGGCTTACCTTTTCGGAAGCACCTGGAAACTCCGTGATTACCCCCGCAACCGGAGCACTCGTGCTTAAATCTGCAAGATGCACCCCACTTGCATTGGCCCTCATTGTAGAGCCAGCAGAAACCTTTCTTCTGACCTGCCGACACGGTACCTGAGCCCGTGCCGGCCGCTCCGAGAAAGGGGGCACTTTTCTGTGCCATCATCAGCCTCATCCACAAAGGCAAGTCCATCTGGTCCCACCGCATGGACGGATTTGCCGCCAATCGCTGACGAAATTGTTCGTCATATTTCCACCATGCTAAACCCCCATAGGTCCGATATGCGTCCCCTATCCCGTCTAAATAACAAAAAAGCTGCGAACATCGATCCGGGTATTTTTCCCCGATCACGCTCGCCAAAATACAAAAGGCCCTCAACCAGTTCCCAAAAGACTTGGGTATTTTCCGATACCTCCGCCTCTTTTCCTCCTCTTCCTTTTTCGCATCCTTTTTATCCTCTTCTTTCAAGTCTAAAAATTCCTCCAGGGGAAGCAGGGAAAATATTTCCACGAACTCCCCTTTCCAAATTTTCTCCTTAACCTCCACCTTTAAGTGGCACCCTAGCGGTCCCGCAAAAGACACATGCACATTTTGCCGTGCTGCATCTGTTACTTCCCCGCAGAGAACGACATGCTCACCCACGTCACCCGTCGCTCCTTGACCCGTCCCCGCGGCGCCCTCACCCCCTTTCGGCTCCGCTGACGCTGCGGCCTTAACCCCTGCTGCCCGACCGCCGTCCGCAACCCACACTTTCTCAAACTGTGTCGGAGACCCCCCGTCCCCAGACCATGAATCTAACAGAGATCTTAAACATCCAAGTAAGCTTCCTGTGTGTGATGCAGTTGGAGACTCACCGCTCAAGCCCCCGGCCGCTGCTGGCCGCGGGGGCGCCACTTTTTCCACCACGACAGCCGACCCAGAAGGAACCAGGGGACGCCGACTCCTGCCCGCCTGTTCGTGTGTTGCTCTCGTGGGCGTCCTACTCAACGACCTGCAAGGAGAATACAGCCTGGGTGATCTGTCCGACTGCAGCCTCACCCGCCCTTCATTCCCGTGATCAGACCCGTCCTCACCACTTCCCTGCCTGCATCGTCCCTCCCGCTCGCTACTTCTCCTCCTCCGTGCCGTGTGGTTCCTCTCAGACGACCTTGACTCACTGCGCCGGCGCCGTAGCCACCTGTCCCGAGAAGCTGACCTCCTCCTATTGCTCCGGTTCCCTGCTGGGCTCCCGTTCCCATGTCTCCTACTGCCTGCAGACCCTGACCTGCTGTCCCGCCATTCTGCCCTTCCGCGCTGCCATCCTCCGCCATTCCCTCTGCTGGCGCTCCTCCTATCGAGCCGCTCCTGGGATCGACCCCTAAAGGCCTCCCGCCCACTGCTGTCCTGGGTGCCGCCGTCCTCCTGGCCAGTCACCCGCCTGCTGCCACTCCGCTCCATACTGCCACTCCTCCTGTCTCCTGGGTCCCCAGACTTGCCGATGCTGTGCCCGTCTCCCCTTCTTCCCAAGCTCCTGGCCATGCTCCTCTGATCCCTAGGATCCGCAGCGCTATCCTTCCTGCCTCCAACTCCAGCCGCCTCCTGCTGTGCCCTGCTGACCTGGTCCCTCTCCCCAACCTGTGAGACCGCTGTCCTGCCACTGCCAGCCCCTCTCAATCCCTCCTGCCCCACAGTGCTGCCCCCACCGGGACTCCACTCCTGGGTCTTGCAGCCGACTCCCCTCCGTCCTGCTCCATTCCGGCACCAGCTGTCAGCTCCGCCTGCCCGCCCGCCGCCATCCGGCAGGGGGCGCCCTTCAAGGGAGGCCTCCTCCTGGCCTGCAACCTCACCGCCCCGGCATTGCGCCTAGCTGGCGGTCCCGGCCGACGACCCGCTCCACGTCCCTGCTTTCCGGCCGCCGCACTGCTTCCCGCCGAGCTCCTCCTCCGTCTGGCTGCAGGACCCGCTCCAGGACTAAGCCGCTGGGGCGGCCTAGCTCTCCTCTCCGGCCTCCGATCCGGCACCGCATGGGGGGGAGCAGACGTGCTCGGAACCCCCAGCTGCTCCTGTAGCCACGCCATTCCCTTCTCCTTCACCACGGACCGCAGACCCGACAGAAGTTCTTCCAATGACGCCATGCTGCACCTGGAAAAGAAGAAAAGAGGAGCCCAACCGACCTGCAACAATTTACAGGTAAGAAAGGCTCAAGTTAGAATGAACTTACCCTAAAATGGCCGCTATTTAACCTTCCCTTCTAACCCACGCCCCCCAGCACAATCACAGGACAGCCTCTTGACCTGAACTTCACCCTGCCTACTCCTGGCTCTGTCAAGGCCCACTCCTCCCTGCGTTGCTCCGTGGTTTCATGTCTGCCTTCCCCCCTTTCTCAAAGTACTACTGTTCATTGAGAAACATTGGAAAGTCGCAATTATGTATTTTAAAGAACGTCATTGTTCGACTCCTCTTATTTTATGTCTCCTACCCTCCTCATTCTCTCTATATTTCATTTTTTCTATACTCAACTCCCATCTGTATCTCTCCTCCTTTGTTAACCCCTTTCCGTCTCTCTCATTCTGTGCAAAACCCCATTTGTGTCTCTCCACCTGTCCAAACTCCCATCTGTGTCTTTCTTGATCACAACCCCAGCTATATCTCTCTTTTCCTGTTAACTCCATCTGTGTCTCTCTCCCTTTCAACCCCTATCTGTGTCTCTCCTCCTCGTTACCCCATCTGTGTCTCTCCACATGTTAACCCAGATCTGTGTCTCTACACCTGTTAACCCCTATCTGTGTCTCTCCACCTGTTAAACCCCACCTGTGTCTCTCCACTTGTTAAACTCCAATGTTGGTGTCTATCTCCGCCTGTTAACACCTATGACCTGTTTCTCTCTTCACCTGTTAATTCCTATGATCTGTTTCTCTCCACCTTTAACCCTCACACTTCTCGCCACCCATCCCTCACTTACCTAATCTGCAATGTGCTGCTGGCTGAAGTTGCTGTGCAGTGTTGCTCCCCCATGTATTCAGTCAGTAGAAAGTGGCAGGGAGATGATGTGACTTCATATCCCTGCCCCTCTCCACACACTGCGACCTCTACTGTCCGGTGACTATATTGCAGTCTAATCTTAGTCTTAGAGAAAAATACCGACATTTTATTGCCGGTATATTTGTGATACTTGCTTACATTCAAAGTGAATTTCAAATTCAAGTCCAAAATAACCAAACTGGAAGCATAATTGACTTGGAGAATGTTTCCAGTTTGGCTGTATTGGCCTGGAATTTAAAATTCACTTTGAATTCATAATGAATTACAACCAATTCTCACATTAGTGGATAATACCCTGACTGAGTGGAGTACAGTACTGGCGTATGATAAGCCTTGTAGAAAATGTATTCAGCCCATTAACAACTCCAATAGGATCGTTCTCTCACTCAGGTTATAACAATGCATTTTCAAACCGTTAAATGTGTATCATTTAACATTTTTATTCACTCAGCAATAATCAATTTAATATATTCATCTGCTGCAGAGAATAGGTCTTGGTTTGGTGCACAGAATATATTTTCATTACTGAAAGAGGTATTTTAACAATCTCATTTGCTGTTTTGCATTAACTTTTGGCGCATTGAGAGATGTACATGTTTAACAGTTGTTGTATTTGCGGGATTTTTTGTGCTGAAGTTACACGTGTAACCTTCAGCTCATACAACATATTCTTGAACGGTAGTACTATTATACACATTAGCACAGCATGCCTCCCGACTGTCCTGATATAGGTGGGACCGTCATGATTTTGGGCCTTGTGCCGTCAAGACAGCTGTCCTGCTTTTAACTCCTTAAAAAAAAAATCATTTTTTGTTAAAAACCAAGCTTGCCTGGAGCCACGACCAGTGCTGCAATAAGTGGATCGTGTTACACTATGCCTGATCCTGACAACGCTCCTCAGGGGAGGGGGATGAGTGATGACATCACTGCTCTGTGGGCGTACAGAGGGCAGCATGGCTCAAAAAGGAAGCAGCCTGGACATAGTCTGCTCTGGAGGCAGTGCTAAACTAGCAGCCTAGGTTAATCATACACACGACCTGGGACCAGAACAGAACCTCAGAGTAGGCAATATCAATGTATACCACTGCAGTCACCTACTTGGCACACACAAAACTATTAAATTGTCCAAAAGCTCAGTTACAAATACATTATGCAGTTTACACACACTGTTTCTTTCACACATACACACACACTGTTTCCATCTCACAAACACTACGTTCCTTTTGCTATTTCACACACATGTTCCCTGTGTCACACACTGCCATTACACAGCGGTACAGTGTCCACTGACAATGTCCTAAAATTGGCACTGTACAGGAGACTGATGGCAGGAAGACCCAGGGCTGATAGTGGGAGGATAAATATGCTAAATTAAATGTCATCTAATCTGCAGGCAACAAAATGGTTAAATGAATACTCCGTTTCATTTTTTCTAACTATGTAGTAAATATACCCCCAAATAAAGCATACTTTTTTTTTCTGCATGCTTTCTTTTTTGGTATATGAATAAACAACTTTCTATGAAAATGAAGCTTTCTGGTCCATTTAAGATTGTTGGGCCCCCTTTATAAGTTAATTATTATATATTTTTTTTTTAATCAATACTTATTATACACCCCTTTTCTGGGCATTTCGCTCTCTTTCCAAACAAGACCATTTTGAATTTCACTAGTGATGTCATGGACAAGCCCCTTTAGCCCCCGTCCAATCATGTCCCTATGTCCCTATGTAACTGTCTGTATTATTTTGGCGACATTTTTTGTTACTTGGTATTTGCCTCGACAGTCTATTGAGGTAGAAGAATATAAGTATACCTTAGGGTGGATTTCATTAGAAGCTTTTGATTAAGTTTGACTCACCATTGTCACCACCACAGCTTCCAGACCTATATAAACAGGGAACTTTAAAGAAAACTTCTCATTTCCAGGATTTTTAAGATTATATTTACTTATATTTAACAAATATATATTTGCGAGGATTGAAAAATAAAATCACTGGGGTTTATGCTCTAAACTCCAACTTATACCAAATTTAAATTTGATTGATAGAGTTTAGGCAAAATTAGCAGATTTGAAAAGAAAGACAAATTCTGCAACTTGGCCTAAGTCGCAGATTGGCTATACAAGCCTTCCTTTGCCACATGGATTTATTTAGAGTTTAGTAAATAATCCCCACTGATTGCTTGGAAAAAGAAATGACAGTTTCTGCCTTGTATTTCAGTTTAAATTATTTATAGCTTATTTTATGTCATGGAGGAAGAGAAATTAAATTCATTTACACACCTGGCATTAACGAACATGTTATGGTATAAGATTGAAGCACCTGGGCATGTCATGCGCATTTCGTTACATGCAATGTATCTGAGTGAATTTATTACTTGGCTCGTGAACTTTTGCTGACACTCCTAGTCCCGTAGACCATCACAGTTAATCAGATACACATTGTTCTCCAATCCCGCGGCAGAGCTAATGTGAAAAGCAATGAATTTCAAGCACTGGAAAAAAAGCTGTCTGCAAAGGAGAACAATTAAGTGGAGGTTAATTGTTTATCGGTTAATTAGTGCTGGCAATATCATGAGTTCCTGCCTCTTTCTTGGAATACAAAAATACATATATATTTTTGACACATGTAACTTTTGTCCTACTGTGTTGTTATCTCAGATAGTCGTTAAACTTAAAAAATAAAGAAGTTCATATAAATGTCTTTGTCATCATCACATGCAGAAATTTAGATCCCCACTAAAGGTGGCACCGACCTATATTATATATAAATGAGCATTTAATTGGTTGCAGTATTTATGACACATGATAGAGATTTTGGTATAATATTATAGGCATGTCAAAAGGCAACCAATGGATTGGTGCCCTGGGTTTAATACCCTTTTTTTATTCTATAGGCACAAGAAAAGAGTGAATTATGGCTGAAAGTGGTTGGACCCCATGTCAGCTAGGTGGAAAAACAAGTCAATAGTGGATTGGATTTGTAGGAATGGGTGGTAAGAGGATGCAGCTGGACTGTGGACTATGAGAGGACGGTGCATGAAATACTGCACGAACGGCCTGGTTATAAGATTTCATACACAGACTTGACATTTTATTCAGTTCTGTAGGTATCAGAACAGTCTGTGAAACCAATTGGAAATTTTAAATGAATTGGTTACCAGCTTGCTAAGTAAAAGGAACTTGAAAATAATCCCACGGATCTAATCAATAAAGATGTATGTATGCATTTTAACAACGCAAAGTATTAAAACAATAAATATAATGCCACATTTCTAAGACTTATTAAAACATATATAAATTAAATCCCAATAATAATAAAATCCTACATAACAATAAAGAATATATAACAATAAAGAGGACTGGGCTTGTGTATGTTTTGACGTTGTTAGACAAAGGTATTTCAGAGTAAAGAAGAGGCAGAGGACTTGAAAGTAGAGCACATACCTTTACAGTCTTTTTTATGTACCTACCTTTTAATGATGTAACACTTTGAAGAGTGTAACATTCAGATTTGACAATGTTAGAAATATAGTGTATTACTTGTAGTCTTTTATTTGGATTACTTAAAACAACAGTTGGAGTTTAACTACAATTGGTTTAAAAAGTATGACATGCAGTAATAAGAAATAATGTCATTCTATTCTCTTTTGTTTTTTTTAACTTAATCAAGAGCATGTACTACCCTAGTCGGATATTGGAGAGGAGACCCCATGTTTTCCAGCTCTTTGCATTATTATAAGGCTGTCTTTTGTCAGCTCAACACTCAGTTGGAAAGATGTAGCCAGACACAAAAATTAGCACATTCCGCTATGTTCCCCCGGGCTGCCTGAAGATTTCACCATCCACTCGGATGTCACTTCAACTGCCATCATCCTCACCTACAGCTTCCATTTCTAATCGTGTGAGACAAATCTAATTTTTGTCTTGCCAGTTAATAAAACGTGTGTTGACTCTAATTTATAGAGCGGTAATCTTGTTTATTATAATGCAGTTAAGTGTTCCGTTTAAGGCTACATTTAGAAGCTCAGAAAATAGCATAGGCATAATATTTGTGCACACTTATGGTGGGGAGTGCGGGGTGGAGAAAACTCCTATTGGAAACCCCTACAAAACCCTCAAGTCAATGGATATACTATATAATAAACTACATTTTCATTCACCCATAATGCCGTGTGGTCACATTTATGCTGATTTATTTAATTTTGTTCTTCCTTTGGAACGTTCATTATAATGTAAAGTTCTTTCTGAATATCCAGTCTTTGTAAATATTAATTATAACCTGTGCCAGAAAGGCTATTAACTCTTACAAAGACCAATTACCAATTCTCCTATACAGATGGCTAAATGCATCTAAAACCAATCTTCATGGACAACATAATTTAATATGACCTACAGATATCTTTATTTATTTTCTTCTTTATTTTTTTTAAATTAATTTTGATTCTTTATTTATTTTACTGTTGATGTATGTTACAACGTCTCAAAAACAAGATGCACATACACTGGAAAATCAAACGAACGATTGTCAGATACAAGTGCTGACACAAGATGATGAGTGAATCCAAGTACAGATACAATTTATTGAATAAATCTCATGTACCTTCTAAGCTATGGAAATCCTCATACGTGTGAACATGCATTTTTTTCCCCACCAAGTGTAGGTTAGTATTTTGTTGTTTTAGTAGTTACATTTTGTTCACAAGCCCCCCTCCCCCCTTTATATCTCCCTTTCAACCTGTTGTGTTTTCTTTTTTGCCTATATAATACAATTGCACATGATGTCATCAAGTTGCATCACTAACAAATGAAAGCGTACAGCTGTAGTTTTATACAGTAGAAAGCCGATTACAAACCCACGCAAAATACAGCTGTAAAATTATTACAGATTCTATGTGCCTATTCATATTCATATTAGGTATGCCACTACAGCACTAATTGTGCATCTTGAAGACGGCAGAAATTGGCTTTCTTCAAGAGGCCAAACGCGTAGGGGCTGGCCAGCAGTAAGAATATTGTATCTTTGTCTGTCTTTTAATTAATCGCATACTTGGCTTTTGAATTATATTTTCTTTTTTAAATTAATTTTGTCACTCTCTGATTTTGGATGATCCTTTCTGATCACTACGGAGTTTTATTGCACTATTGATCACTTTTCCATAGAGACTGATCACGGCTCTATATCGTGTGAGTGTTTCCATTAATTTTCTTTACATCTATTACTATATAGACTTGTTGCACTAAAAGTCTCTCCATTTTTATTTAATCTCTATAGGGACTGACTTTCCATGATCCTGCAATTGTTTAGGGGGGTATACATATTTGTTGTTTGTTTTTTTATCACAGTGTGTAAAATAATTTATATATTTACATATTTCACTTTGCACACTTTATATTTATACGTGTTCTATTTTCCATCTTTGTTTAGTTCTCCTAATTGCCTTATGGACAATCGTTGCTCTTTTATCTTGTTGGTGAAATCCAGTTTGTTTTAGTAATTATTGAGAAAATGGCTGATCTTGGTTGGGCTGATTATTTAAAAATCAACAACAACAGCAACAAAAACAAACAAACAAACAAACACGGTACAATGCAGGGGGAATAAAAATCATTTTTTTTGGTTTGTAAACAGTTGGGGGCATCCTTATAAATCTGAGATTATAGTTTTTATTGATTATAGTATTTATTTAACGTGTATATGTGTCACGTTAATCTGTTTTAATAAAACAGTAAAAAAAAAAAAAACACTAAAAAAAAAAACAGAACTATTACACATTATACTCTCATAGAAGGTGCCTGCGGGTAGGACCTTCTCCTTGTTTATGACTGAGAGCACATGCTGATCATCTTGCACATCTTGAGCTTTTATATACCTCTTTACTAGAAAACCTAGTTCACATCATCTAACAGATGGAAGGCAGTAATGTGTTCTGTAATTACCAGACGTGCACTGATATGAAGGTATCCTGCTATCTGAAGCTTTGCCGAAGGAAGTTTCCTCTGTGGTAGTGGTTGCACATATGAAACCCAGCATCCACCCACGTTCAATATGTTCAATAAAACAGAGTATAATAAAGGATTGGTGTTACTTAGTGAATTATCAGTTCTTATTTGAAAGAGTGATTTATTGGATTGATCCCATCAGAATTAAGGTGATCGTAGGTGGCCGTCTAGGCCCTAGAGGTTAGACAGGGGCAGTGGAACCATGATTTTGCAACTACCATCCCTATGTGAAGTATTAAAGGGGGGAATACTGATAACCTGCCTAGGATCCTGTGGGAACCTAATCCTTCTCTGGTCGCATGGTCACACGGCATGTTGTCTCACTCAGTAAATGAGATCATGAAAAATCCGGACATAGTGGTTATTCAAAAAAGACTTTTAAGGTTAATATGGCCCAACATTATAAAGAACCACTGTAAGCTGGAGCGCATTAATGGCCTTCCCAAGTTGAATAGACACAGTGCATTGTCTTTACCAACCTTATACCCCAGATACAATATTTTATGGGTTAACAGAAGACATCAAGCGCAGAAACCACTTGAGTGCACCCCAATGGTGACTGCTCCACTTTTTGCCCAGTGGCTGCAGGGGAAGGTGATTTTTTTGTAACTAAGCCTATCCCTTGCTGCTGCCATAATGGCCTTACTGCCAGTCCTTTGCAGTTTCCAGTGCATCATCTGCACCTAATGCCAATTCTGTACTCTCGAACATGTAAAAGAGTAAGATACTGAGGTCAATGGAAGATCTGCAGGACCCTGAAAACCTCCATAGACATTGCCTTTTTCCCTACAGCCATCACTAGTGAAGGCTGCAGGAAATTACAACATTTGGCTGCAGTTGCTCTGCCTTTTGACATTTTGTCAAGCGTAGGGAATATACTGTGACAAAATAGTTCCTCGTTTGTCTTTTGATACCTTTTGACTGCGTTGGAATTTCAGTAAAATTCCAACACAGTCAATGTGAATATTTCATAAAGATATGTTTATATCAACTACTTATTTTGAAGGGGGTTCACAGAGCGACTGTAACTACTTACTACACTATCCTATAATGTACTATGCTATACTTTAGTCCTACAGTTTGCAGGAAAGTCACAGTTTGAGGATCCTGGCCCATTGTCTTGAGTTTGTTTTCTAATGTCCTGAGGTGGTTCTCTAATGATACCAGAGACAAGTCCATCTCGGACAATGTTGTCCAAACCTTTGCTAATACAGAAGTATGAACTTCTGCTTTATCATAGCAAGGCAGACTGAAAAAACGCAGGTGCCCAACAGAGAGATAAGTGTTCGCAAAAATTTTAACAGCTTGTGCTGTGCTAGGGAACTCCAGGCAACGTAATTTCTACAGTGCACTTGGCTGGTACTTATGGTATCCCTTTAATTAATGCAACTGATTAACAAGGAGATGGTAATGTTGCTTGCACACATCATCAAGTAAGGATTTGTTTGTGTTGTGCATTCAGTTCATGCATTAAAACACTGAAATATTTTTAGGTTTTGGAGATTTGTTATAAAGGCATTTCCAAGTCCTTAAAGTGCGTCTAACTCTTCTTTGTTAGAATTGCGATAGCTGAAATGTGTGGGCTTAACGTAATGTAGAAAGAGCACCTTTCATGATAATGGTAAAAGTGGAGTCAAAAAATATCAGAATCTGGATTTTTTTTTTATTGCTATATTTAAATATCTTAGTGCTTAATAAATGTGTAGAACTGACTTGTTCTATTTGGAATAAATATATCCAATGCAATAACAAATCATTTTTACATGTTTAGATTTTATTTAAAATATTCTGGTTTTACTGAAGTACAAAAGATGTACAGGTAATCCAAGCGTAACGATTTATAAATCAGATTATATACCATGTAAGACAAGCCAAAAAGTCAATATCACCAGGTACTCTCAATTAATTTTTAGCAATACATGTAGATCAATAAAGATAAAGAAAAAGATTGAAAGAGGAGGAAATCAAATAGCGTAGAGCAAACAGCGGAG